AGAATTTCATCAAGAATTGTGGACATGAAGACCTTGCCTCGGTCACTTCAACAACGTGCGAAATGCACCATGACGCAACACAATGGCTTCTAAAAAGTAGGCAGCAACGTCTGAGGCAGAGCCGGTGCGTAGAGGAGCGGTCTCCGCGTATCATGTGAGGTGGTCGACGGCTGTGACGATCCAGCGGTGGCCCGCTGGCGTTACGGGAAGTGTACCTACGAGGTCTATTCTGACAACGACAAAAGGTGTATCGGGACATGGAATGGGTTGTTATAAGCCAGCAGGAGCTGAAGTAGGTCTTTTCCGGCGTTGACAAAGTGCGCAAGAAGCGACATAATTAGCCACAAAGGTAGAAAGACCATGCCAGAAGAAACGGCTCCTAACTCGGTTGTAGGTCTTCTGAAATCCTAAGTGTCGAGCTTATGGGTCGTCGTGCAATGCTTCGAGAACTTTTTTTCGCAGCGAACGGGGAAGTACTGGCACCCACCATATGCCCATCCGCATAGTGAGTATAGCGCTGCAGGACATTGTTCTCTAGCTTGAACTGCCGTAGCTGACGACGTAGTCTGGCATTAGGTGGAGAAGGCGAGCCATTCAAGTATCCGATGATGCGGTTACAGTAGGGGTCGTCAGTTGGCACGCGGCAAACTGAGCGCTGCTGATTTAAGATAGTGGCCCAGCAACTGCCAGGGGTGATAACGTACGTGAGTGAAGAGGAAGCCGCTTGATCACCTGGGGGGCATTGAGGATGCGTGGTTGGAGATGAAAGTGGCAGAGGGCAGCGAGAGAGAGAGCGTCGGCATCCTGATGCTGTTTGCCATACCTGTACACAACGTCAAATGCGCACTCTTGCAAACGGAGTATCCAGCGACCGAGGCGCCCAGACAAATTCTTCAGTGAGGACAACCAGCATAGGGCATGGTGGTCGGTAATTGCAGCGAAGTGGCGTCCGTACAGATAAGGTCCGAATTTCCGGATGGCCCAAACGACAGCAAGACATTCCTGCTTTGTTACTACGTCTGCCAGGCGGCCGCTAGAAACCGCGTCTGCCGAGTTGGCTGTTCAGTGGATATAAGCACGTTACCACGTCTGCCGGGGCGGCTGCTTGAAGCCGCGTCTGCCGGGGTGGCCGTTTCGGTGGATATCAGCACGTAACCACGTCTGCCGGGGCGACCATACGGTGGATACACAAGCTCATAATCATGTCTGCCAGTGCGACCATTATAATAAGCTCGTTCGATGAATATATAAGCTTGTATGCGGGGGTTTAGTGTTCTAGAATATGGTACACTATAGCGGGGGCAGCCGCTTGAAGCCGCGTCTGCCGGGGCGGCTGCTTGAAGCCACGTCTGCCGGGGTGGCCGTTTCGGTGGATATAAGCACGATATCTGCCGGGGTGGCAGGTCGGCAGAGTTGCGTTCGGAGATCGGACATACAGTTGGCTCAATTTTAGCGATATGGACAGCAACCTTATGGACATTCTCGGCTGGATTTTTCGCCGGCGTCACCACCACCCACCGTATACATATTTATAAAACGGAAGAAAGAATAAAATTCAGAAAAAGGCTCTGGCGTGCGGATTCAAACTTGGAGCCTCTCGGTCGCGAGTGCACGAAGCCACCGAAAAGCACTTCCTACATTGTGCTAGAAGCACAATGTAGGACAATGTGTGTGTACTAGAAGCAAAAGTTCTAGTACACGCTAATTGTGCAAACGAGAAGCTATTTATATCTACCGCTTAGCGCTACCTATGGGTACATTTCGTGCGTTATTTGCGCATGAGAAACGCAGCGCACGTTTCGATTTGCTTACCATTCTGCGCGTGATCTTCCAAATTCTTGCTATTGCGTTGATTGCTTCGCCTTTGCGGCCAAGCTGTGACTTTGAAGTGTGGAAGCTTGGGCTAGTTGGTATGGCATGACGATAGTTATAGCGCGAGAACAAAACGACGACACAGAGACAAGGACACGAAAGACACAAGCGCTCGTGTCTTTCGTGTCCTTCTTGTCTCTGTGTCGTCGTTTTGTTCTCGCGCTATAACTATCGTCAAGCTGTGACTTTTTTTTTTTTTTTCCACGAGTGGATGGATGAATGTGGCTGCACCCTTTAGATCGGGCGGCGGCTAACGCCACCTAGCCGTAATACTTAGTGAACTAACTATTAGATTTATATTTTTTTTTTCCTTTAAGTAGTGAGGTTGAGGATTGAGTGAAGGGTCTAATTTTCACTCGTGCCTTGACTTTAGCCACCAATCAGATAACCTCCTTTTAGTTAGGTCGACCCACTTAAAATCTATTTTGCCCTCCCTGTCCTTAAACCCCAGTGCTTTGAAAAACTCTGCGCCATCATCCTGTTTACAGAACATTATCAAGTGTTCCGCAGTTTCTTCTTCCTCTCCACACGCACTGCATACTGTGTTTACCCCTTCGTATTCGGCCCGATATGTCTTGGTTCGCAATACTCCCGTTCTGGCCTCAAACAGTAGAGAACTACCCCGAGTATTATCATAGATCCTTTCTTTGGCGATTTCCTGCTTAAATGCCAATTCTCCACATGTCAGTCTCGGTTTCCTTCATTTTCTTCTTAACCGATAGTTCTTTTTGGTTTGGCCACCTGCTGTTTTCTAAGTATTTACCAGTCAATTTCCTGGTTCGCTTCCTCCATTTTGTATCGACATTCTTGATGTACAAGTAGCCGAAAACCTTCCAAGCCCAACGCTCCTCCCCCATTTCTCTCAATCGCTTCTCAAATTTTATCTTGCTGCTAGCTTCCCTGCCCTCAAATGATGCCCATCCCATATCACCTTGTACTCCCTGATTAGGTGTATTCCCGTGAGCTCCTAAAGCAAGCCTACCTATTCCACGTTGCTTTATTTCTAATCTTGCTTGAACTTCTGATCTCATGCACAAGACCGCATTGCCGAACGTCAGACCAGGCACCATGACCCCTTTCCATATTCCTCTCACAACATCATACCTATTGTAATTCCACAGTGCCGTTTTTCATTACCGCTGCATTCCTGTTACCTTTAGTCGACACGTATATATCGTGTTCCCTTAGGTACTCGGCCCCATTGTTTATCCATACGCCCAGATATTTGTATTTATCCATACGCCCAGATATTTGTGTGTAAAATTGCAGGTTGCTTGAAATCAATGTATTGAATATATATATTGTTTGCCAGTGCTGATGTTTAAGCTTTGCACTGTCACGGACTGCGGAGGGACAAGGGCCTTTGTCAGGCTATTCGCCTTTAGCCCTTTGCCCCTGCAGTGAGCTCTGTATCCGGCTTACTGTAAATAAAGTACTACTACTACTACTACTACTACTACTACTACTACTACTACTACTACTACTACTACTACTACTACTATCTGTTATCTCTAGCGTGACCTCCTGTATTCTAAGCTCACTACCTTCATTGTCATTAAAAATCATGACTGCTGATTTTTTCTTACTGAATCTGAAATCTAACCTATCTCCCTCAATACCGCAGATGTCCACCAATCTCTGCGAATCTTCCTTGTTGTCGGCCATTAGCACTATATCATCTGCGTACATCAATGCTGGTAGTGCCTGTTCAATGAGTTTTCCTTGTTTGACGAAAGAGAGGTTGAAGCCCAGTCCACTTCCCTCTAATTTGGCCTCTAATCCTTGTAGGTACATCATGAATAACAAGGGTGACAGAGAATTACACCCCTGCCTAAGCCCCCGTTTCACCTATGTGGGCTTAGATACCTGTTTTTTCCACTTTATAACTACCTTGTTACTTTTATAGATCTCCTTTAAAAAATTAGTGACTACATCTTCCATGCCTAGTGTGTCCAGTATTCCCCACAATTCCTCTTGAACCACGCTATCGTACGCTCCCTTGATATCCAAAAATGCTAGCCATAGGGGCCTGTGTTCCTTTTCTGCTATTTCGATGCACTGCGTCAGTGAGAACAGATTGTCTTCCAACTTCCTGTGTTTCCGAAACCCATTCTGCAGTTCCCCCAGCACCCCCTCATCCTCTATCCATGCCTGCAGTCTTTATAATCTGTATCGCCAGCCTGTAGACCACTGATGTCACTGTTATAGGACGGTAGTTGTTTATGTCAGCTTCCTTTATTGATCATGCTCATCCTGCTAAGTTTCCATCCATCGGGAACTTCTCCATCGATTATTGTTCTGCTCACTGCCTTTCTCAAAGTCTCTTTAGACTTCTGAACCAATGTCTTTATCAGCCTAATTGGAATGCCATCTGGGCCCGTTGATGTAACACTAGGAACCCTTTTCTCAGCCCTTTCCCACTCTTGTTGTGGAAATGGAGCCGTTGCGCCACTTGATTCATTCTTGTCTATTGTGGTGCATAAAGCACTTCTGTGTTGAAATTTTTCTGTCACCCTTGTTCTTATTATATCAATAGCTTCGTCCCCTTCTATCCTAGCACCTTGATCTGTAGTTATAAACTTCTGCTCTAGGCTTGTCTCATTTCTTAGGGAGTTTAGATGGTGCCGAAATTTCGCAGCTGCCTTTCTATCTTATTTATGCAATTCTGCCAGCCACTGGGCTCCCTTTCTTCTAATCTTTTCATTGATCAGAAGGGATGCATCCCTTCTACAGCTTAGAAAGATTTCCCATTTTCTTTCAACATCATCTGTCGGTTCATCCCGCTGCTTAGCATTTCTGTGTGCCCTAGAGGCTTCTTGGCGTTTTGCTATGGCTCTCTTAACTTCCTCATCCCACCAACTTTTGGGTTTGTGTCTTCTTTTCCGGGGTGACTTGTCACGTGCCTTAGCAAGCTCTAGCTCAAACAGTCTAATTAGATTCGTGTATGTCCACACTGTTTTATTATCCTCAGTGATTACTTTCTCAATTTGTTTAGTGGCTATTTCAATTTGCCTTTCTGAATAAAAATTTTTCATTTTTCAGGGCATTCGCGTCCTCTAGCGGCATTCTTGCTCAACCTACGAAAACGAAACCAAAACAAACAGCCTGTGGTTTGCCCGTCCATGTGAACTGCGCGAGCATCTTACACCTTGCATCTTATCGCCAGCGGAATGTTTTCCTCGTGTTTTCATCGAAGATGCGAGCCGCCCGAGTTGGTGCCGGCTGCAAAAGCGGCCTTGGCGTTGCACTCTGGAATGATCCGCGCTCGGCGGCCAACGCAGTTAAGCGGTTAAACCGTTTAGACAAACTGTTCCACGCTACGTGTATTGAAGCTAGAGTGTACTGGAACTGAAGCTGACCGGTTAACTCGTTTTACGGAGCGCACCAGAGGAGTTGTCTCAGTTGCAGCATTCGAAAACACGTCATTTTGTTTGCAATGGCTGGTGGGACAATCGACAACCTCTCCGCTGTGCTTTACAAGAAGAACGACATTCGTTTGGTACGTACGTGTTAAGCATTGCAATTAGTTTACGCGCGCCTCCTTGAAAACGCATGGCGTGTCATTCTCGCGGTCGCGGATTTGTGGATTCTCGCACTAATTTGTGGCCTTGCTCGATTTCAGGAACAGCGACCCATACCGGAACCTGGCGATAATGGTACTTAAAGGCTTGCTACGTGTACGCCCTGCGGAGTTTATGCACTTCGGCGCTCGACTGCTGACCTGAAGGTCGCGGGATCGAATCCCGGCCGCCGCATTTTCGATGTGGCGAAAACGATTGAGGCCCGTGTGCCCAGATTTTGGTGCCCGTTAAGGAATCCCGATTGGTCAGAATTTCCGGAGCCCTCCACTACAGCGTACTTCACGAGTGTGTCGTGATTTTGAAACGTTAAAACCCCAACAATTATGTGACGCACTATGCTGCGTGTAACGCCTTAGAGCTTATGTTGTCTGCTTTCAAAGCTTTCAAGCTCATTTATGTGCGAATGTAACACTTGCATTGCTAAAGTGGCAGGTATATTTATCTGGATGGATAAATTAAATGACACTGGCATGATCGGATCGGCATGGATTGGTGAATTCCTCGCTAACCTCTGGTTAACCAGTACCAGTCCTCGATAACCAGTACCACCAGAAAAGCAGGGACTGCAAGCTAAATTGGTACACGGTATCAATCACTACTGTAATGATAACATGGCTTTGGTGTGAGATATCAGTGATGCTTTCTCGGCTACTGAATACTTGTGAATTAATTGTGACAAAAGTAATATAGTTGCCTATACTGTGTGCATGAACACTAAAGTTAATAATCAGATGCAAGGTTACACCATTTTTGACCTTCTTGCTGGGCCTTGACAAGTCACATTGAGTGCATAGTTCAAACGATGTAAAAAAATATTGTAAGTATCTACTAATATACAATCTGTAAAAGATTTCATGCTTGCACATACCAGAAATTACTGTCATTTCACTCAGCACGTTTATGTATTTAACAGCACCGCACATGATAGCGAATTGCACGCTGTTAAAGAAAGAGCAGCACGAAAGAAGACGTAGCAAACAGATTGTTGCCACGAAGGCCGGTATTTGGGAGCGCAAAACCGACAAGATGCACAAGATGGCGTTGATAAGATGAGCGCTCACTAATTCAGACTAAAGTTTCTGAAAATGGCCAGGTTTTATTTTTCACCAAAAGCCAACAGAAGCAAGGAAGTGCAGTGCATGAAACCACCACTTTACAACTGAAGAACAGCTATCACCTTAAAGCTAAAAACTGCAGCAATAATATAAAACAAAAGCTACTTCTTGCGCATGAGGTTCACAAAGCTGAGAGGAACCAACTGAGGCGGAAAGACCACGGTCATGCCAAGTGTGTGCGTGTCTATAGCTGGCCTATTCCAAGTGCCGAAAACTTGTCATAATAAGCTACTTCACTGGTTTGTAGGTTAATAGACTGTTGACTGATGCATGTGGAAGCATTTCTTCAGATATAAAATGCTTCGATTACTTGTTATCTGTCGTGTAACTTTCTCTTGGTATCTGAGCTGTGGTGATGGCGGTCTTCTTGTCCGCTCGATCGGGTATTTATGTGCATGCAAATATGGAAGTGTTAGTGCCGCATCAACTGAGCTCCAGCACAATTAGTGTTTCCTGTACCTTCTATGGCTTCATTATCTGTTGATTTTAATTAGCATTGTATTAAATGGCTTTTGCCACCTTCAATTGATGCAAAAATTGACATTAGTATATTTTATATATCTATTTATTAGCAAAACATTGTCGACCCTCTTTGAGGGTACTAAAGGTGTGGAAAAAGCACAAACATTGTGCAAGGTAGTGCAATGCCAATACAACAAAGAGTACACAATAATAAAAAGCACGCAAGAGTGAAAGACATTATCACATGCAAGTGTCGGGAACATGGGGATTTATAATGTGTGCAATAATATGCAAGCATATAAATACATTGCTTATAGAACCAAAATAATGAAGGAAAAAATAACCATTTGATTGTGAATGCCTTCTTCCGTGCACAAGCAACTTAGAAGCACCGAGATCAGATTTTCAATACTTTCTAAAAAGTTTTCAAGTGTTGACTGCGCTACAGTAATTGGATCAAGTGCATCCCATTATGCACGTAAAAAAATAAAAAACAATGAAACAAATTGATTGCAAACTTAACTGCGGCATGTCCTGCTCCAGATGTCCAAATACAGATGCATTCGGTCGGCATCTGTGGCTCGGACGTGCACTACTGGACCCACGGTGCCATTGGAAACTTCGTCGTGCGGGAGCCGATGGTCCTCGGCCATGAATCCAGTGGTACTGTGGTGAAAGCTGGCAAGAATGTGAAGCACCTAAAGCCAGGTGAGCCACGTTGCCTGTTGTAAATAAAGTCGGTGTCGTCGGGCTTATAGAAGGAAAAAGTGACATCCACAGTTTTGTGGCGTGAAGCTTCAAGGAAATCTGTATAAATGTTTCGGAAAGGAAAGCTTGTTAGTTTATGAAATAATTCAACCGGTTGTGCCTTCGAGACATGGATGAAACAGTCAAGCTGGTGGCATTCCTTTGATCGGACTAACGTGTTTCCGCGTCGTGCGAGTTTCAGACTTGTTGTATCACTTTCTCTTCATCGAACACTCTTTGTTAAGCTTTGAAGTGGTGGCACAGTTTTGTTGCATATTGACCATATCACTCACATGCACATTTTCACAAGGAAGGGTCTTAAGGTCTCCGATATGTTGTATCACTTCTCTTAATAATGAGAACTAACAGACAATAATGCCAAGGCATTATTATGTGTTCGTTCTCATTAATATTGTGCCTGACAAAGAAAACAAGCCCATAAATTTACACTTTTTTCTCTCTTTATTAAACACTTTTGCTAAGCTTTGGGGTGGCAATACAGTCACCATCTTTTATAACCACACAGCATAACGTGGTAGTGGTGTGATTGTGGCAGTACGCAGGCTATTTGTTGTGCCAACCGCTGCGTTCTTCCTTTTTAGTGAAAGTTGTGCGCAGCAAGCACAGGACCGAGTCGACTGGCGAATTATGGGAGAGGGCTTTGTCCTGCAGTGGGCCTAGTCAGGCTGATGATGATGTGTAGCGAGACCTGCCCCCTTTCTGTGGCACATATGCATGTGTGATGATGATAGTCTTCCGATAGGCCGCACGGACTTCTATGGCGCACAACCTACTGTTCGGCTAACTGCTGCTATCATTTTTAGTGAACCAGTGCTGAGTAGTGGGATCTACCCAATGTCTGTGATGCTTACTCACCCACAAGCCCACAAGCGTTACCGCAAATCCCGGACATGAATGGCTACACCGAGAACAGCTTCGCTGTTCCGGTTCGTCCTGGTTTGGCACTCGAACTCGTTACTATTATCCTTTCGAGGTGGTCACCCTACCAACTGAATTAACTCGGAAGCTAGCGATCGGAAGTGCGAGAGTGAAATAACCCACAACTTCGAAGCACGTGTACAACAAATTGGTAAATTACTTCTGCAAATTTCACAAAATGTAGAAAGGGTACTTAGCGGAGAAATTGAACCTAGGCAGAAGCGTAAGTTTGGTGGTGGCTCTTATGGTATCAGTCAGCCAACAATATGATTCTGACATTGCTTGGACTTCCTCGACTAAAGGAAGTGCTCACGTTGAAGCACAGATAAAATTTGGTGTCATGACTCACAATTGCTTCTACTGGGTCATGCTTTAAGACAGTCATGGGAAGGCAGTGACAGTGGCATAAACTTGATGAATCTGAGCTGGGCAGACAACAGAAATGTTATGTCTTACAACTTTATTCTCTGTCAATATATTTATGTGCAATAGATTTGGTTATAGAAACAACGCAGAATTTCTGATTATGATCAGGACTAGAAGTGGAAAAAATTGTTTAACTGGGGGGGGTATGTCACTGGAACTGGCATAACGTATTTCCATGCGCTCGTTTCTTCATTTTGATGTGACTGGGTTTCACTGACAAAAACTGTTGAGCACCTTTTGGCACAGTTGCCCCGCCGCGGTGGTCTAGTGGCTAAGGTACTCGGCTGCTGACCCGCAAGGCACGGGTTCGAATCCCGGCTGCGGCGGCTGCATTTCCGATGGAGGCGGGAATGTTGTAGGCCCGTGTGCTCAGATTTGGGTGCACGTTAAAGAACCCCAGGTGGTCTAAATTTCCGGAGCCCTCCACTACGGCGTCTCTCATAATCATATAGTGGTTTTGGGACGTTAAACCCTACATATCAATCGATCAATCAACCTTTTGGCACAGGCCGCACAGTCATGTTTGTAAAGCTTTAGGATTGTGTGAAATTTATTAAAATTACGGGTGGGGTGCAATTAGATTAGTTGATTCAGGAGCATACAAGAGTATGAGCGATAACGCTGGAAGGTTCGATCACTGGTGGGTAAAAGACGGGCGCACTCCACTGATAATCGCCACTATCATTGTACAGTGTGTATGGCTTGGTCTTTTACTTTTCATGTTGTGGACATTAGTCCACTCAATAAAGAGTTTTATTATTAACAGCCCAACTTACTTCCACAGTTTCCTTTGCTTTTTTTTTCTTCATCATTAGCTCTAATGGCATCCTCGTTCTATGACTTCACAAGACTTTCGTGCGGTCAGCCATGCATGTTGCATTGATAATTGCCCGACCACCCTTCAGGTGACCGTGTGGCGATTGAGCCTGGCGTGCCGTGCCGCTGCTGCAGCTTCTGCAAGGAAGGCCGGTACAACCTCTGCCCTGATGTCGTCTTCTGTGCCACGCCGCCGCACCACGGCACACTCACTCGCTTCTACACCCATGCTGCTGACTTCTGCTACAAGTCAGTGCTTGCCATATGCAATTTTATCAGTAGTTGTTAACTCTTTACCTCTCGTTGGACAACTTGAGCGCAAGCTCCAATTTTGCACACCCGCTACTGTGTACTATGACCAGCTGGGTTGTGGTAAACATCAGCATACATTTGCCCATGCTTGGCAAATGGTCCATACAGTCGACTCTCATTAATTCAAACTCAAAGGGACCTCTGAATTTCGTTTGAATCATTAAGAAGTTTGAATTATAAGAAGTGCTCAGATAGATGACTTTGGGCGAGATGACACTGCACATTCTGACTAGGCATTAATTTTATCCCATTTAAAATTTTTAGTGTTTTTAAACCTCAAGTGCACGCAATGAAGAGAAAGCAAAGGTGTATGGCCCACAAGTTTGTCAGCCATTTATTGCTGATCAGACCTTTTAAAGAAATCGCAAATTGCCAACTGCTTCTTTGCTATATGTGCCTTCAGCACAAAGCTCTCTGTATCAGTTGAGAAGCATCGCGGTCTACCGTGCATGTGCTTTGTTTCAAACATTTGTCTAATAGCAAAGCCTTTTTCCTTGAAGGCCTGAGGTGCTTATTTCTAATTTTTAGACTGTTAGAATTATATAAGCTTGCAAATTTTAAACATTAGTGGGAAAGCAGCAGATATTTTCTTTACGTAGGGGGTGTTTTGTGCCTCTGCATATGTGAATTATGTGGACGATAAAAGAAAACTCTAGTGCAAAACTAGCCCTAGAAGTCGCCGGCTATAAACTCCATCCACCGCCAACATTTTGCCGTAGCTTGTGTGATGTCATGTGCTGCGTTGAGCAGAGCCATCATCTTTACTGAAGTTTCAGCTGCACGAGGTTGTTCAGTTTCAATGCCATTCTGAGGAAAGCTTGAATAGCTACACTGCACGCGCAGCTGACACTGGAACTCAATCTTTCCCGGAGTGCAGATGCTCGTGCAGCGAGCAGCCTTTTCCATCACGGTTTTCAGATGTGCCAGTGTTGTTCGACTCTCAGGGTTCTTGCATATTTATGAAGATATTCAGTTGTGAATGAGGTGTTCGACCAAATGCACTACAATTTTTCCACTTGGTATGCGAATCCACAAGGATCAACTTGCATAACACGGATTATAATTGCTAAGTGGATGTCATAGTCCCTTTAAGGCTGTCTGAGTACATCTAGTAATCTGCACATCTAGTTCTCTTTCTCATATATTTAGGCTGCCACAGTACCATGATATCGTTTCCCACTACAATGCCATAAAACTGAGAGCATGCCATACAGTGATCTGAACTTCCTGGTGGACCTCAAGAAACTTGAGGTATGTTCGATTCACCTGCACCAGTTGGAACCAGGTCACGAAGGTACAATAGAAGTTCAGAAATCGTGCAGCGCAAGTTTAGTAATGAAGGTGCAGTGCGGCACTAAAAACGAATGACGAGGTGCCAACATGGTGCGGGCCTTATTCTTGTTCGCTTTATTTACATCGACCACCTAACACTGCCAGGTGGCAAAACGCACCACGTTAGTAGATGCTGGTATGGCAGCTATTCCTTATGCTGCATCGTCTTCTCAGCTGCTATTATACACGTGCACTGCTGCACCTCTCCTGCACCTTTTGAAAGGAATGGCGTGGTTTGGAGGTTACGATTGCTGGTTCGCTAAAACTAATGGCAATGTGCAGCAACTCGTGAACTGGCTCAAGTGGCACAGACAAATTGAACGTTTCTTTTTTTTTTTTCGACCACAAACCTAAGGCGAGAAAACATGAGATGCAAGTGAAGAAGGCAGCGCAATCACCTGTCTGCGTGACTCATCTGTTATGACGGGCTCTTAGCGGCATTATCAACTTTCTCTCAATCTGTTTTCGTCCAAGAAAAACAGTAAATTTGAGAATGTTCTTTTAGTAATAATGCAAAACACTTGAATGTTCCTTCAATAATAATGCGGGACAGTTGAGTTGCGACTACTTGCTAGTGTTCCCTATAGTTGCCCACTCCCGGTTTATTTTTTACTGATGATTTAATTTTAGTTTCGGGGCCTCTCGGTACCACAGAAGAGGGTGGGTTACGGAAGCAATAGTTAAAAAAGAGCAATAAATAACAATGGCAACATCATCTGAAATTAGTGCAGTATTTGCTAATCATACTGTGCTAGCTGAGTATGTCAAGTATGCTGTACAAAGAAAGGTAAAGTACTAAAATAAAAGTAATGAAAATGCTTATTACATAATATTACTTGGGTGATAAAATACAGCATGTTAACAAGACTGTGGGTACTTTCTGAAATGGCATCGTGAGATTGACTAGTGTAGAACTAATAAAGTACGATATAAACACACAGATAACATTAGTTCATACAAATGCTGGTTGCTGTACAACGTTAGCTAACGCTTTACAAAACTTATTGTCATTCACAATGGACATAATATCAGCTGAAATGTTGTTACATTCACATTACATACATGATATAAACCATTTTGAAAAACTATCTTTGTGGTAATGATCAATTCGTTGATAAAAGTAATATGGTAAGGACTTCAAGATGTATAGTAGTGTGGTGGTATAGTTAATGAAAAAAATAATTATCAAGAATTTTTAGGATACTTTAGAAATAGAATACTGTATGTTTATGACGCTTACATACGAGTAAGCTAGGGAGATGGTTTTACATTTTAACTGTGGTGGTGATAATATTCCACATTGTTTCTCTCTCTCCGTATCACTTGACGCCAGTTCTGTTCTCCCTCTTGAGCAGTTAGCACCTACTTAATTTTGTGCAATGTTTATCTCGAAACACACTTTCAGTGAAAATATGAACTGTGTAAACAACTGTAGCTTTAGATAGAGCAGTTAATTAGACGTAGAGTAGCTTCTGTGCAAAATTTTACATTTACTTGGCTGAGAATGATTTGCAAGAAGTTGGCAATACCAGACATTTTTTTATGCTGAAAAAAATAATGCCGTTGTCACCACTTGCCAAGAAGCGACGCATGATAGTGAATGCTCGACTTTTTGGTGTGACCTGCAAGATTGATCTACTTTCAACTGAGGCAGTAGCCTGTGGCGCGCTGAGAGATATTTAAAACCGTGCTCTGTCACCCCATGTCTTATCTGCTGCCTGCCAGGTGCGCCTGGTTTGTCCACTTTTTGTTCATTAGACTGTTCATTATGAAATTAACACTTCACATGCCTATAGCTTTGTCAAGATCTGGTTAATAGTATATGCTGATTATTTATGAAATAGGTCAGAGTGAACTTCCATTGTATTGTGGCTTTAAGCATATCATCAACTGTAGACTTTAGAGCTGGTATTTTCTAGCAACGCATTGAGCTCAACTCTGTGCTGGGCTTCTCATCCACTGCTCACAGTTAACTGATCCCATTGACGTCATGGGCAGAGTGACATGTCACTCTGAACAGTGGCAAATTGCGAAAAGCAGGACATGGTCTTAGCATCGGAAAAGGCATCGCTATGATATCCTGGCCTACGACCCTGTTCTGAGCAGCAGTGCACATGGGTTTGTGCATTTTGTAAGCGTTCTGCTCTTGCAAATTAAGAAAAGACCACTCCTTTCACAGATGTGATTTTATGATGCTTTTATGCACAACATGCAGTGATTCTATATTCTGCACCTATTCTGTATTCAGTATGTACTCTGTACATCGATTTTATGTACCATAGTATACATCGATTCTGTATTCTGTACCTATTCCATATGGTGATTTCATGCACATTAAAGGGGCCCTGAAACACTTTTTCCAGTAACCACAAAATGAATTTACTGGAAAAGCTTATTGCCTCAGGAATTCAACGCCACAAAAATTTTAGGAATCCGTCCATTGGAAGTGGAGTTACAAAGGTTTGTCGCATGCTGCAATTGCATTCTCTCTTCTCTTGTTACGACGAAAGCGCTGGAAGCTAAGCAGAGAGGGATGGCAGGGCCACAGAAAAACGTCGCACGCGTCTCGTGTTATTGAGCACTTTTTTTCTTTCTTTTTTTTTCTTCGAATGCGCCGCTTTTTCGGTGTGATCGCGCGCGTGGACAAGCTGTGGCCTTTTGCGGCGATCTCTGTAACTAGAGAGCGTGCCGTGTTCAAATCAGCCAATGGCTGATAGATTGGTGATTCATGGGTGATTTTTTGGGCATATTCCGCCATTTGTCGAGAGAAGAGAAAGCAATTTTTAGCTGACCTTGGTAATTTATTGTGAATTCCAAGCCGCAGGCTGTGCTATAATATTTGGCTCACATGTTTTCGGAAGCCTCTACTACCGATCATCAGCGTTTTCTGACCTTGCTCAAAAAGTATTGCAGGGCCCCTTTAATGTAATTGAACATGAGGAGGACCTAAGCTTTCATTTTTATGCAGGTTGCCCGACCACGTGTCTTTCGAGGAGGCTGCTCTTTTGGAGCCTCTGTCGGTGGCGGTTCACGCCTGTCGCCGAGCGCACCTCCAAATTGGCCAGACGGTGCTGATATGCGGCGCAGGTTTGTCTCTCACTCATTTTATTTTATGGGTACCGGCCATTCAATTGCCTCAGTGACTTTGCAAATGCAGTGTGAACTGAAAATTCAATTTACGGGGACATCCCAGTGCTAGCAGTGGCTTCCCTCACTGCTTGCATTTGTGACCAAAAAGAAGACCATCACGTGCGAAGGAGGCATGCATCATGAAATGATGCAACAGAATGTTATACTTCTGTGTATAAAAAAAACGACCTAGTTATTACAGGATACAATCCACTCATATGAACCAAGTGAGGGAAGTGACGTTTTGTGTCACCGAAAGCCACAGACGCTCTCCTAGCTGACCATTTTCATGAATGCTGGTGTGCCCTTCATTTTACGAACAATATGATATTTCCCAGGCACAAAAAGCAGATTGGCTGAGAAATTATCAAAGCCTTCCACATTGAAAGAGTAAACTAAATATTGCCGCGAGGCGTACTGCGGATAGTGTTGCGCATGCCGATACCACCGGCACGTGGCCTTATCGTGGTCCAGGATGCACCGCGACTCATCTGCGAAGATCATGGCCCGCACGTCGACCATTCGTTGATAACGAGATAGCGCCAGACGCTACGGCGACTGTATCTCGGATGGTGAACGCGCCTTGCGTTCCAGTGGGACATTTCTGTTACCCGACGGCCGTCGAACGCGCCTTGCGTTCCAGTGGGACATTTCTGTTACCCGACGGCCGTCGAACGCGCCTTGCGTTCCAGTGGGACATTTTCTGTTACCCGACGGCCGTCGAATGCGCTGTTCGCCTCCCGCTAAGCCGGTGTGTCTGTTTTCCTTTAGTGGGTGTAAGTCCGCCAAATAAACGGATCTCCTTCTATTTCTACTAACCTCCCGGTCTCCTGTCTTCGGGGTACCCTCACTCTTACGTGACAATATGCATGAGCCAGCCATCGATTAGGCTGCAGTATACAAATATTTAGTCAGCACGTTTGGTAATTGTCACAAACGACTCCAATTTTCGGAGCATCCGCGGGCCCCACCTACCAAGGAAGGGCGCTTTTGTGTTGGGGGACGACATCCGGCGACTATAACGACCCAACGTGGCGCCGGCTTGTCTTCCCTGCACCGGTACCGGAAGGGGCACCGGCGATCTAAACAGGGAATATTACTCCCAGATGAGACGGGAGCACGTGTACGCCCCTGAGGCGGTTTGAACTGCATCGGAAGAGCAGTTGACGTACAACCAGCAACAAGTGCGGTCGTCGGTGTCGCGAGTCTCGCGTAGGCGGCGAGCACGGAGTGACCCGCGCAACGTATTGAGACGGCTGCAATTCCGGGCACCCTCGTCGTCTACCAAGCCGGCGAGACCTTCAGAGGCACCCGTCAACTCCCCTACGTGCACCAAGAGCTGGCCTGGTCCGTATGGAACTTTTATTGTGACTTTTTTTTTTACAACTGTTAAATTGTTTTAACCAGCCTTTTTTTTTAAAATTTGTAGTTTTGTGCGCTGCGTCGCACGTTTAAATTCTAAAGCGCCACCATGATCATTCTGTAATTAATTTCTAGTGTCTCTCTCCTTTGATTTCCATCTTGTTGTTATTTTATTAATGTTCCGCATATTTGTCTTTAGCCTGTATCTTTTGTAGTGGTTTTTGCCTATTTTGTTATATAGCTGTTGTTTCCATCGCGCGTATCAGTTTTCCTCATTTGTTATTTTTGTAATCTCCTGCCTTTGCCCCTGTTTTAATTAAATGCTTGTTTATGTGTAATCAAACTCCGTGTCTGCTCTATGAGTGCGTCAGTCAGGCCCACACATCACTACACGTGCAACCCCGCACGGGTCGACCAACCCGCAAATAAATTCGAAATGTGCCACTTCGAGCCCTTTCAGGCGTCGCAGGCCGAAGCGTAAAGTGGAAGCTTGCGAGTCTGCCGCACGTCGATGTTGGATCGGCGGGGCCTCACCCGAAGTGTGTGACTTTATCTGGCGTCCGCGCGACAGGACTGGCCGACCACGTCGTGGTGTCTGGGAGACTGACGTAACTCTGAGCGTGCAGTATGTAGACGTCCTTTTATTGCTTTGTTGGTTGACAACTGTTTATAGCAATGGACGACACGGAGTTTGAGAAGCTAATTGAACAGGGCAAAGCCTTTGGCTTTGTAGGCAAGGAGTTATATAATTTCGTTGAAAAAGAACGAAATAGACTGAAAGAGGAGCGCGATGCCGAACGCACTAGGTACATGCAAAATATGCAACTTGAGATGGAACGTGAAAAAGAGCGGTCCAGACTCAGAATAGAAGAAGCGAAAGAGCGCTTGAAATTAGGACCGCTCACTACGCAGTCGGACCCCTGCTCAGGCTCTGGAATTTCCAATAGTGCGACCGTCCATGCCCCGAACAAGTTGGCACAGTCGTACCATGAGTACGTTGAGAAACTGCGCCTGAAGATTCAAAGTAGGCGGCGCGAGTTTGAGGCTTTTGATTTAATGCATAAAAGATGCAAAGAGCCCGAATGTGTAGAGCCGCCGAAGGCCGGGCAGGCTGGTAGTACTTTGGAGGCGGACAGTAGGTTCATTCCTGAACCTAATTTGTTAGCTGTAGAAAGCGCTTTTGTGGCAAAAGTGGCCAATAAAAGCTGGAGACATGGTGACGAGGAGCTGTGCCGGCAGGGTTCGAATGGTACAGAAAAACCCTCTGCTGGTGACTCGCCACAGCCACCATGTATGTTCGTCTCTATGGCAGCTTACACTGAAGTCCGCAGTACTACCAGATCGGCAGGCGAGAACCCCTGTAATTACATTGGGTCAGAGCCATGTGCTGAAGTGCATTGTGGACTGGACGGTACAATTGTAGATAGTTCTTTCAGGTGCGAGCGGCGCAGCCCTGAGGAATCCATTTGCATTGTTCAGGAGCCGGTTAAGCTGTCCTCAAGTGAGGATAACATTGATTCAAGAAGAAATAATCCCGACTGTGTTCACAGTGTATCAATTCAGACGAACCAGAGTAGTTATGCTCAAGATTTGATGGAAGCAGACGCTCCAAAAAAGTGCACAAGGAAATGTGCCAAACGAAAAAGACGCCGAAAAGTACAGAAAGCAGCCAAGGCTGTAAGAAAACTCAAGCAAATGAGAGGCCCCAAACGTGACACAACGCAACGAAAGATTCCTTTGCGCGTGGTGACATTCGTGAGGCGAGCCCGTCCCCATGCCCCAGACCGCCCGAAGGGTAGGGGGGTGGGGCAGGCGATTGTACCTGCAGCTCGGAGGAGCCAACCCCCACCACTCCATTCTTGTGTTCGAGGAGCGGAATGCACGGGGAAGGAGCGCATTATGCCTAGACGACGCGACGCGGTTGCGAAGCCCATTTCCATAGAACGCGGTGTTGACGATGGCTTGCTGCCATGGGGTAGACTAACGGGAAACAGGCGTCCGTGTAGCGGCCGTACACGCTTTTCTCTGCCCCGTTTGTTTCGAACGGCTCCCCCAAGAGCGCGACCACCTCGAGCACGTATAAAGGTTACGTACATAGGAACTCAAAGGTAACCTTAAAGGCAAATGACTTGTTGGTTGAAACAATGTTTATTTATGTTTTTCGATTTTAGGAGCATTCCATGAATGGGAGGACTAATAGCTTAGTTAATCTTTTGGTTTGCTTTTGTCGACTGTGTGTTGTAGACGATGTTCTCTTGTTTCAACCTATTACCCGTTCTGTTAGGGAAGCCTTGTTTTAGGGATTTTGTTATTTTATTAGTTCGGCTTTTCATTTTGAGAGACTGGTTGGTCATAAAATCGAAGTGTATCACGGCACGCATGTGTGATAAACATGACGCTATGTTATTGAAGACTTTCCTTTTTATTATTATTTTAAAATAGAGCGCTTTAGTGGACAGTAAGTTCAGGAACTGCGCGCAGGCGATCATGCCGAATAATTTTTCATCCATCCTTGTCGGAAGCTGCGTGTGAGTAAGTGATTTTTCAATACCGCTTAAAGCGTGTAGTTTTTTTTTTATATGTGGCATCAAGGAATGCTTACCTGTCTTGCTCCTGAAGTGTGGAGTATTTTTGTCATTGTCTTTTCATGTGTGGTGTCATGACGTTGTGCGCAAGTTCTGACTTTCATCGTATAGTGACCGTGAAAGTGTGGTGTGTCAGGTGTTCTCTGCGGTGTCGTCCACGTCAGCGAAATGGTGCGCGAAAAAAAGAAACGCGTTGGTGGACGACCGGAACACTGAAAGCTGCCGAACATTGTGCGTTTGTGATTTTCCAGAATATTACGGAGTAATATTCTTAAGAAGGGGGCTATGTCACAAACGACTCCAATTTTCGGAGCATCCGCGGGCCCCACCTACCAAGGAAGGGCGCTTTTGTGTTGGGGGACGACATCCGGCGACTATAACGACCCAACGTGGCGCCGGCTTGTCTTCCCTGCACCGGTACCGGAAGGGGCACCGGCGATCTAAACAGGGAATATTACTCCCAGATGAGACGGGAGCACGTGTACGCCCCTGAGGCGGTTTGAACTGCATCGGAAGAGCAGTTGACGTACAACCAGCCACAAGTGCGGTCGTCGGTGTCGCGAGTCTCGCGTAGGCGGCGAGCACGGAGTGACCCGCGCAACGTATTGAGACGGCTGCAATTCCGGGCACCCTCGTCGTCTACCAAGCCGGCGAGACCTTCAGAGGCACCCGTCAACTCCCCTACGTGCACCAAGAGCTGGCCTGGTCCGTATGGAACTTTTATTGTGACTTTTTTTTTTACAACTGTTAAATTGTTTTAACCAGCCTTTTTTTTTAAAATTTGTAGTTTTGTGCGCTGCGTCGCACGTTTAAATTCTAAAGCGCCACCATGATCATTCTGTAATTAATTTCTAGTGTCTCTCTCCTTTGATTTCCATCTTGTTGTTATTTTATTAATGTTCCGCATATTTGTCTTTAGCCTGTATCTTTTGTAGTGGTTTTTGCCTATTTTGTTATATAGCTGTTGTTTCCATCGCGCGTATCAGTTTTCCTCATTTGTTATTTTTGTAATCTCCTGCCTTTGCCCCTGTTTTAATTAAATGCTTGTTTATGTGTAATCAAACTCCGTGTCTGCTCTATGAGTGCGTCAGTCAGGCCCACACATCACTACACGTGCAACCCCGCACGGGTCGACCAACCCGCAAATAAATTCGAAATGTGCCACTTCGAGCCCTTTCAGGCGTCGCAGGCCGAAGCGTAAAGTGGAAGCTTGCGAGTCTGCCGCACGTCGATGTTGGATCGGCGGGGCCTCACCCGAAGTGTGTGACATTATCGTCCTGTCGCGGACGCCAGATAATGTCACACACTTCGGGTGAGGCCCCGCCGATCCAACATCGACGTGCGGCAGACTCGCAAGCTTCCACTTTACGCTTCGGCCTGCGACGCCTGAAAGGGCTCGAAGTGGCACATTTCGAATTTATTTGCGGGTTGGTCGACCCGTGCGGGGTTGCACGTGTAGTGATGTGTGGGCCTGACTGACGCACTCATAGAGCAGACACGGAGTTTGATTACACATAAACAAGCATTTAATTAAAACAGGGGCAAAGGCAGGAGATTACAAAAATAACAAACGAGGAAAACTGATACGCGCGATGGAAACAACAGCTATATAACAAAATAGGCAAAAACCACTACAAAAGATACAGGCTAAAGACAAATATGCAGAACATTAATAAAATAACAACAAGATGGAAATCAAAGGAGAGAGACACTAGAAATTAATTACAGAATGATCATGGTGGCGCTTTAGAATTTAAACGTGCGACGCAGCGCACAAAACTACAAATTTTAAAAAAAAAGGCTGGTTAAAACAATTTAACAGTTGTAAAAAAAAAAGTCACAATAAAAGTTCCATACGGACCAGGCCAGCTCTTGGTGCACGTAGGGGAGTTGACGGGTGCCTCTGAAGGTCTCGCCGGCTTGGTAGACGACGAGGGTGCCCGGAATTGCAGCCGTCTCAATACGTTGCGCGGGTCACTCCGTGCTCGCCGCCTACGCGAGACTCGCGACACCGACGACCGCACTTGTTGCTGGTTGTACGTCAACTGCTCTTCCGATGCAGTTCAAACCGCCTCAGGGGCGTACACGTGCTCCCGTCTCATCTGGGAGTAATATTCCCTGTTTAGATCGCCGGTGCCCCTTCCGGTACCGGTGCAGGGAAGACAAGCCGGCGCCACGTTGGGTCGTTATAGTCGCCGGATGTCGTCCCCCAACACAAAAGCGCCCTTCCTTGGTAGGTGGGGCCCGCGGATGCTCCGAAAATTGGAGTCGTTTGTGACAGTAATTTTATGTAAAAGTCATTTTGCACATATTTAGTTAAAGGGAAAAAGCTAAAAATGTTCGTTTTTTTGTAACACCTGTCACTTGGTCTGATGACTTGCCTAGTTTATGTTCTTATGAAGTCAATTTACTAGAGAGTCAGCGCATGTTGTGTGCACTTTTATCTGTGGTAATTTTTTGTGTGCATCGTGAAGTCATAAGTTTGAGCCTATACCAGCTAGCTCAGTGTTCCAGTCTAAGTCATTTTCTTTCCGACTCCTGTATTAATTGGAAATAAATTATCGCTGTATTGTTACCTCAGCATAGCACATTGTTCGTTATAAGGTTCAGCCATATATTGGCCTACTCTCTGTATTATGTTGTGCATTCTCTGCTTCATCAAAAAACGATATGAGGTGGTGCTATTCTTAATCTTTTCTCTTCTGTTTCTTTTTTTTATTTTTATAACTTAGGTCCCATTGGACTTGTAAACCTGCTCACAGCAAAGGCAATGGGAGCCAGCCGCGTCGTCATGACTGGTGCGTGTGGACTGAAACTTCCAACCATTGTAACTTGGAACTATCCTAAAATGATATTTACTTACTACCAGAGCATAATTTCTCATTTTTAAGAAATTGTACTAGTTCCTCAAGACAGCAGTTTGTGTTGCGATAAATCTACACACCTGTTTGCTTGCAGATTGAATCGGGTGTGCTCTATACTTTGATTTTACTTACCAATGCAGGGGAAGCTTCTTCGAATTCGAATTCTAGGACTTTACACATATTTATTTATTTATTATAAATACTATGGTGCTGGACCTAGGGTTAATTACATACAATAAACTGTAAATAGAATGTGTGAACAGCAGCAAAACAACCAATCAAATCAAACAGAGAACAAGTTTTTCTCGCTTTCACTTGGGGACTGCCAAAGGTAATATTTCTTGGCCCTGGAATCCGATTTAAATTATGTAAGACACTACTGTATTGTAAAATACATACGGGAATCTGTCCTCGTTAGAGGCCGGATTTTAGGCACTAAAAAGTGTGTTTTAGGCACTAAAGACAGGCAGGTAAAACACCATTTTAGACCCTCAAAATTGTAATTATAAGCACAATAAATTTCTTGAAAAATTGAAATATCTCAAAACAAGGACGTCGGCGACTTGTATCTACGACAAGAAGCAAAAAAATCTATATATTGTTTAAGATAGCAGAAACGTACCAACGATTGAACACAGGTGTGCATTTTCCGCCTGATTCGCAGTATGTGATCTTTCTTTTTGTTGTCTAGCATTGTTCGTCAAGTATCTACCATTCAATTAACACATCGCCTGGGTCTCTTTTGTGTTGTTGTGGCTGAGATGGGCAGCACAGGAGCAAATAACCAGACCACTGATACCCCACGAAAGAAGGATGCTAGGTCTAATCGCGTAGGACCGATTTCTCCCCTATCCGTGAACACCTTAAAGGGTCCCTTTCTAGGTTTAGGCATTTCGAGCTGACAAGCGTGACTGGTGCACTGGGCACTCCACATTATTCCTGTTGAGGTTTGCAAAATTACATGTCGCGTAAAAAGGCTCAATTTCTAATGAATGCCACTTGCCCTCCTTGCGGGCGTGCACCCCAAGATCTAGGGAGTGACGTACAGCAAGCAATGGTCCTGTTTTTACGTCGCTCCTTTACGATGACATTGGTGGGCTGACGTTGCATACTGTACGCTCTTCATCAGAACTACATTAAATGCTAGATATATCTAGAAAAACAGATGAAAATTGTCCCGAACAGGCAGCCTGAGGCAGAGTGTGCGCACGCAGCCGATGATGATGGTGCTGCTGACACTCGGTGAAGATGAGGACAGAGAGCCAGACAGATGATGATGATTATAATAATGTACAGATGAAAAGAAGCGTATAACAAATGCCCACATTATTTAGGCGAGTGTGTGCTTTTCACACTGCAAACCGGCAGAGGGTACGGTGCTGGAGGCATACATGCATCAGTCATGTTTGTGTACAGTACTCGGCCATTGAAATGCGATACTCGAGCTGCTGGTGACGAGAGCATTCGTGATACATTATGACTCCATCCAGTAGATGACAGTTACGTTCGGCGGGGTTCCGCTTGCAACAGCTTCAATGCACCGCACTCGCATGCCGCTGCCAAGCGGCTGGAGCTGGCAGGCATGAGTTATGAAGTGTTGCAGTGCTCTGCCACCAAGAACCACCCAGGGAACGACTGTTTACTGGATTCTGTCACCATGCGTCACGAAAGCTGTCGCCTTCATTGTCACCCTTTCCTCCCAGCAGCCACACGCCCGAGTATCACACTTGAATCGCCGACCAGTGCACTTTTGGTTGCATAATATTTAGTTTCACCACATTAGGTAAACATGCTAAGGCACAACAGTGCTCTTAATACCGTGCATTTCACTGATATCTGTCAGTCACCATGTGCCAGCTTCAAGGAAAATGGTTAGTATATTGCATTGAAGTTGAAACTGCTTTAAGTTTTTTGAACAAGCGTTGGTTAATTAAGTTAGGATTACAGCTTTCAAGAGCTGTCTTAAAATAAATGCGCTGTTTTGCAAAGCTTCAGGGCATGCACACTGTGCAAATTTGTGTTCTCTGTGCATGTTCTAGCCCATCTTTCTGTAGAAGAGACGTGTTCCTGTCAAGATTTCTTGTAGAAGAGACATGTTCTGTAGTGCGTTTTGTATATTCACGATGGCCCTGCTGCTAAGAGGATGCGACCATGAAAAAAGAAAGTAATAAAAGAGACTAATTATTAAACTGTTATAATTTGTTAAAAAAAATTATTCAGAAAGGTTAGACTACTTGTTTCATGTAAAGGTATATATGCTACAGTTGCGCCCCTTTGTAAGAAACGTGCCAGGGGAGGAATGCTTGTCTTTTATATGAGGTGCCCCTTATAAGCAGGGTACCACATTTTCATTTTCGTATCAACCCTTATTTCTATGTAGGCCCGCTGCTGTCTCTCGCACTCATCTGTCTCATAAATCAGTGTCTCTTATAAAAGGGTTCGACTGTATAAACGCTTGTCATGCTTAGTTGCTGTTCGTACGTTTCCTTGGCAGACATTGTGAAGCAGCAGACTTCAGATGGCAAAGGAGCTTGGTGCCGACTTAGTCATCAGCGTTGCCTCGAAGACTGTGCAGGACACAAAGCAGGAAATTCTCCGCACGCTCGATGACTTGCCCGATGTCACCATAGAGTGCACGGGAGCCGAGTCATCCACCCAGCTTGGCATGGTGGTAAGTTGTCGCAGATCTACACGTTGTCAAACTACAAAACATTAACGCGATATAACTCTTCATATAATTTCCTTTCTTGTTGACATTGAGAACTATTAGTACTAAAGGGATTACCACTCCAAATAAAGTTGTTTCTAGTTTGAACTGGTCTGTGAAAGCATATTTTCTTTATTGACATATTTACTGCATCACTATTTGTGGTTTCTTTGACTGCTGCAATACATAAGTTGGCAGCTATTCTGTCTGCCCTTTTTGTGCGTGCCTGTCATATACCCTGCACAATTGCATATTTTGAGAGGAGTTTATGAATTTAACATTATAAATAGCCCACACGCAGATGTCACATGCTCTTTTCACAGGCTACAAAATCTGGAGGCACACTGGTTCTCGTTGGCATGGGACCCAATGAAGTGAAGGTTCCCCTGGTAGATGCCGCCTGCCGTGAGATTGACATTCGCGGAATCTTCCGTTACGCAAACTGGTGAGTGTGTCATTCATAGCTCTGTAGCTTCTGCATTTTGGGTTTATACATCAATCTGCATTCTGTCAAGTTAACTTACAAATCATTTGTAGATTGTTTGCGGTCCCAGAGTAGCAGTACAGGTGCTTTTTAAACCGGCACTGGCAGCAAGCGTGAACAGACATAAGTGTGCATTGATGTAGCATCATGTTCTAATTTCGTGACAATGTGCAAGCTTAGCATTGTGTAAAAAAAAAACACAGCATATCCATGGAGTGAATAATGATGAGTGGGGCGAAGCGTCCGTCAACTCGACCGTGCTTCGGTCTGTTCGTTCTTGCTTCCGTCCGTCCACGCCACCATCCGTGCATCCATCCAGTCAGTACGTCTGCGCTGTCAATCCGTCTGCTAGTCTGTCCGTCCGTGCGTAGTTTGGAGTGTCCGTTCGAACACTCCAAACTACAAGTACCGTCATCTCCCATCTCGCATACCCGCTCTAGAGCGGGTATGCGAGATGGGAGATGACGGTACTTGTAGTTTGGAGTGTTCAATTTTTGGTGATTTTAACCTTCCGGCTATTGACTGGTGCAACCCCGCTATCACGCCGGCGCACAAAAGCGTCGAAAGCGATTTCATAAACACGTGTCTTTCGTTCGGGCTTTCGCAGTTGGTCACATCACCCACAAGAACTACAAACCACTCGAACAATCTACTTGACCTGGTTCTTGCTTCTCACCCCGATAGTTTCTCCCCACTCACCTATCTGGATGGTATCAGTGACCATGCTATCATTCATGGTACGTTTTATTGCCTACACAAACGCCCACCGGAATTATCGAAAACAATAACACTTTACGATAAAGGTAAATATCTCGATATGAACGCTGAACTGAGCCACTTTTGCGATTCGTTCTTGTTGGATTTCGAAACTCGCTCGGTTGAAACAAATTGGTCAATCTTTAAGTATGAAACGCAACGTTTGATTGCAAAATACATACCTACAAAAACGATAACAGAGCGGATCGCATCCCCATGGTTCAGCGTTACGTTAAAATGGCTCAAAAGAAAAAGAAATAGGCAATTTAGAGCGGCAAAAACATCCACCCACCCACGCACATGGGATAAATATCGAGCAACATCGAAAAAGTTCGATTCACTCCTGTCTAAATCCAAACGCACCTTCTTCTCGTCGACACTGCCAGCTCTGATTCGCACTAACCCTAAGCAGTTCTGGAGGACCATTAACCCCAAACACGTAAACCCTACAGTTTCCTTGCTTGACTCCTCAGGAACTGCTATTCCTGACTGCAAGGTTGCCGAGTCCCTTAACTCCACATTCTGCTCAGTATTCACCCGCGAGCCAGACGACGGCCCTGTGTCCCTTTCTACTATATTGCACTCCATCATGCCCAGCATTACATTCCAACCACACGGCATCTCAAACGTCATTGACTCCCTGAAGCTATATTCGGCCTCAGGCATTGACGGCATAAATGCAAAAATTCTTAAAAACACCAAACACCTCTCTAGCATCATTCTTAGCCCTATCTTCCAGCAGTCCCTCTCAACAGGTTCTGTTCCCCAAGATTGGAAAACAGGAAAAGTGGTACCTGTCCCCAAGAAAGCCTCAGGTAACGTGTTTCGTCCAATCTCTCTTACATGTGTTTGCTCTAAAATAATGGAACATATCATTTACACGCACATAGCTAGCTTTCTGAAATCCGCAAAGTTCTTTCATCCCAATCAACATGGCTTCCAAAAAGGTCTCTCCTGCGACACTCAATTGGCACTCTTCCTGAGTGACATTAATTCTAAATTAGACATTAACGTCCCCGTCAATGCTATTTTCATAGATTTCGAGAAGGCCTTCGACAAAGTTCCCCACAAGCGTTTGCTATCTAAACTTTCACATTTAAACCTTGACGAACATGTATTTGCATGGCTTTCAAACTTTCTAACTAACCGACAGCAGTTTGTCTATGCTAACAACAGTTCTTCATCCTTATCTCCTGTCCTATCAGGTGTTCCTCAAGGGACGGTCCTCGGGCCCTTACTTTTTCTCATATACATCAACGACCTACCAGACAATATTTCTTCAAGCATTCGGTTGTTCGCGGACGACTGCGTCATTTATCGCCCCATTATCGATCCCAGTGATAACGTAGCACTCCAGCAAGACCTAAGGAAGATAGACAAATAGTGCAACAAATGGCTCATGGTGCTAAACGTTCACAAAACATCCATCATGTCATTCCACAGGCGTCACTCCTATTCCACGTACAAATATTTCTTAAGTGGCTCCGCTATATTTCCTGTCTCGTCCACTAAATATCTAGGTCTTGCTTATTTCTCATGACCTTACATGGTCATCCCACATAAATCGCATTACCAGTGACGCGAATCGCGCACTGGGCTTCCTCCGACGTAACATTAACCTGGCTCCGTCCACAGTTAAATTATTGGCCTACGAAACGGTTGTTCGCCCAAAGCTGGAATTCGCGTGTGCACTCTGGGACTTACCACAAGCTAACTCAAGTACCATCCTTGAATCCGTTCAGAACCGTGCGGCCAGATTCATCTTTTCCGATTATTCATACCACACAAGCGTAACACTTCTTAAAGGTAAAGCTAAATTGCCAAGTCTCAAAACACGAAGTACAGTAGCACGATTTTGCCTCTTCCACAAATTCTACAACTCGTTATCATGCGAAAGCCTCCACATAAAAACTGCTCACCACCCATCGAATCGCCTCAACCACTCAAAAGCAGTATACCCACCTCGTGCACGCACGACCGCCTATCTAAATTCATTTCCTGTTCTGACAGCCATCGAATGGAACAGCCTTCCTGAAAGTGTCGTCACCAAACCCGACTCAGTTCAAAGCTGCCGTTGAAAAACTTATGTACTGATTATTTTTGTGTCATGTATGCGATTATCCTTAGTGGTGTTATCTGCTTCACTGATTGGCATTGTATGCTTTTTATGCTTCGTTGGTATGCTTCGTTGGTTGGCATTGTATGCTTTTTATTAACAGAGCGTGCTTGATACCCTTTCGTGATACGCTCGTGCAGTTTTTGTTTTCTTTTTTTGTGTTTGTTGATCAGTTGTGTAATTTTCGTGCTTCACCACCCCTCATGTAAAACCCCACTCATTGGGGTCTTTGAGGTACCTGTAAATAAATAAATAAATATGTGACACCGGTGGCTACGTACTACTACATACATGGGATGGACAGACCCACGCCTTAAGGAGCTTCGCCCCTAAAACCAAGCTGCTAAGCGTCACATCTGCTGAGGATGAAACTGTGATAGGCAATCATAGGCACACACGTGGCCTACACAAACAGATCCACAGCTGCAGTGGACAAAACCTGGGTCGTCAATGCATAGTCATGGATTGCGCCTACACAGTTCTTTAAGTCACATGGCAAAAACGAAACGTGCTTTTTGCAGCCACTGCAGACGACACCAGAGTTTCGACAGACATGTTAATAGGACTAATGCAGTTCACAGTGCAGTCGCGTGAAAATGATAGCGAGACAAATCTGCCACAGCCGCTGAAGTGCTGGGTTTCCAACAACATGATTGTAAATTACCATTCCTTCCTGAAGGCCCGTGGCCAATGCGGTCTCATGCGGTGGTAGGTGCAAATACCTGGAGGCATGAAATGTTTAGGATTTCCTGTGGTTATAGATGTTCTCTGTTGTTACCATACGGTTTGCACTGATGAAGATGGCGATGCTTATTGTGCCGCCTTGTTTCGGTTGTTCACAAACACTGTTTCCGCTCTTTTGCGACACATCAGTCTCGGCATGCTCCGAGGATCGTCGGAATTAACTGGCTCACAGCCAAATACACTGAATCAATGAGTTTCATGCCATTAAACAACACATACACTGACCGGGACCAGAGAATGCATCCAAATGCTTTTCCAAATAGCGAGCATTGAATTACCGAGCTTTTACTGTATATGGCAACTATATTGAATTTACAGAAAGGCACACAATGTCTGCACTTGTCTTTCACAGTTACCCCACGGCACTTGCCATGGTTGCTTCGGGCAAGGTGGATGTCAGGCCTCTGGTGACTCACCACTTTAAGCTTGCATCCACAGTTGAAGCCTTCCAGACAGCCAAGACCGGTGCCGGCGGGGCCATCAAAGTGGTTATAGACTGCAGCTCCTGAGGGTGCTTTTGTCTGGATGCGCTTCTTTCCTTTCCAGGGTTCTATGTGCGTATTTGCAGCGAAGCCTGAACATTCGTTTCTCTTCAGTAGCTGCGATTGTTAGCTTTGCGCATTTACGTAAGTAACCAAAACGTTAGTCATAGGAGTGCGCCGGGGGGTGGGGAGGGAGAGCAGGGACGGCCACCCCCCTCCCTAGACACCTAAGAGGAGGCATGCAATCAACCACCCCACCACCCCCTTCCCGAAGGGGAACCTTGCACATGCCTATGATTACAGTAACATTTAAAAACGGGCCACATGCATACTGCACAGTTTGAGCCACCCAGTGATTTTCAACAATCCATGCAGGAATGTTGGCGAACCCATTGGAAAGGACAATTGGAGTTTTGGTCTCTCTGCATCATTATCGACATTTATAGATTACTAAGTTGCTGAAAGAGTAAATGTTGGAACGGTGATTGACCAGGTAAATTCAGTACTCTGTATTGAAGTAACCGAGTGTACTTTTTTTTTGCAGGAACCCGGTATCAGTTGTCAGCAACGCTGTAATTGCAAATGTGTCACTTTTTGAAATGTTTCTGGAATAAGAGTGCTTGTGAAAAGCGATGTGTTAGGCATTGGGGTGATTGGGAACACATCAAGATCTCACTACCGTCGTTCTGTAACTTCATATCACGCAAGAGCCGTTGCATATATCTGAATACAAGACACACTAAAACTCTCCTACTTGACCGCAGTTCGGAAGAATGTTATCACGCTTTACATCATGACAGAACTTACACTGCCAAGCCCTGCCACTGTGGTCTGGTAAGTAAGGTACTTGGCTGCTGACCCGCAGGTTGCAGGGATCGAATCACGGCTGTGGCGGCTGCACTTTTGATGGAGGCGATAATGCTGTAGGCTCGTGTGCTCAGATTCGGGCACCTTTAAAGAACCCCAGGTGGTCGAAATTTCCGAAGCCCTCCACTATTGCGTTTCTAATAATCATATGGTGGTTTTGGGATGTTGAACCCCACACATCAATCAGTTCCACTGCCAAGGTTCTTAGATATGTATTTGTGCAACTTGTGAACACAGTGTGCACATATGTAAGTAACCATGACGTTAACATTACTTTTGAAAAGGCTGTGACGATAAATGATGGCCTCGGCAGAAAGGAAGTTAATCAGGTATAAGAGTTTTAAAAGATGAAAGACCTCTAAATACCTCAATTTCGGCAAAGCCAGGGCACAAAGTAAGGCACTTGGAACTACTGTCTGTTACATACAGTATGTGCATTTGGCACATTGAAAGACTCTCTTGCTGGCTGCATACCAAAGTGCACCGAAACTGAGGTTCCATGCAAAATGTACGCCGCATCTTTTGAAGGCAACCATCCGACAGCTATGGTGGCTCACAGTGTTAAGTCTGTAGGAGTTAAGTCTGCAGATAGATCCAAAAGCTGCACTGCGCTGCAGGCAGACAACACTGTTGTATGAAGTACAGGGTTCGGTAACAAAGAATGTCTGTCGGAATGGCCTATCTCTGGAGAAGTTTTTACAGCAACAAGTACAAAGCGTTCAATTGAAATTTACCATAAGCCAACACAGGCACACCTCAATAGGGTAGGGTGAAGTCGGTATGCTGTTTCCAACGAATAATGGACAATATTACTTGACTTCTCTCAAAGGGGCTAATCTAAATACATAAAATATTTTTGAAGCAGGATACATTATATGGTACATAGCACTATTACAAGTTTTTTTACATTTATACAACAATGTAGGAAGAGGGTACCTATTGTTAAATGCAGCGGTTTTTTGTTTTCTTTATTAATTTTGGCAAATATCTTGAAACCCAGCATAATGCTTCATTTGAAGCTTTTAACATGCTCGGCCATGTTGCCATATATCTGCTATCTCTCTTAAAGTACACTGTATGTGATAAAATTGGGATGAGTGCATGTGGTAAGGGCATGACAAATAAGGATGTGGGCTCAATCTTTGTTGCGTTCAAGCTGGTTGTGAAGCATACAGGAAGACAGTACCTTGCAAATTTGTGCACAAGTTTATTTAAATACATGACTAGGCACGATAAAAGTTTACAGACAATGACAAGACACTCTGCAAGGACGTAAAAAATTGTGCCATATCATAGTATCATCACTGGTTTGAGAAAACAGTACCATCACAAATTACAAGATTACAGTGTAGTGATGTTGTAAGGCACAGGGCTTGTTGCTAACAGCAACAGGCCAAGAGACAATACAACCAGAGAAACCGAATGGTTTACTCAGGATTGTCTCTTGACATCGTATTTATGTGGTCATACAAAAAGAAAACTGCTTTCTGTTTCCCAAGGGTCATTCTTGCCGTTTGCAATTTTGGTGGCAAATAAACGATTTGTTGCCTACTCAGACCTTTTGAAATGCATCGGTAAGCTCATCATATGCCACAATAACTAGCACCATGCATAGCAAATAGTAATCTGTATCTTTTTTTTCTTGCACATTGACTCTCCACCTTGTACTGTGCACATACATTGAAGTGAAAAATTGAAATGACCAAGGCAGTCTCCCAAATGAACATACAAATAGCGCAGTTGGAAAGAAGTGGTATTAATATTGGAACAAGGCATTTGACAAAAATATATAAAAAATATACTACCTATCGTCACTGACTTGAATATCAGCTGATGAAAAAAACAACCATCATAACTTACAAAACTACGTCACTACACTGTAAGGCACAAGGGTACCATTTGTACAGATACAAACAGCTCATGACATCTTTTAAATGGGTCTGAATTAGTTTGCCATGTAATCATTGAATGAGCTTAGTATCAGAGTTTATTGCCTCACGAGTCGATTACTCCGAAAATGCCTTGAATTCATAAAAAATCTGCAGTGTCATAGGGATTTGTCGCTTGCTTCAAGTACTTTTTCTTCTTTCGTCCTGGCGAGTACACTGGACACTACACAAGGACAGGATGACACTAAGAAAAGAGGCTGCATCAGCACGCATCGTGACCTTGAGTGTGCATGACGAAACTTTGTCACTCTCTCTCATTGTGATTCCTGTGTACGCTAGTGTTGCTGTCGCGTAGATTCTTGGCTACGTCGTCGCGTTCCTCCGCAGAGTCTTTTCCCTCGCTCCCGGCGTGAGACACGGCTGGAGTGAGACGCTGTGCGGACGTGCTTTGCAAGAGCTCCGGCCCGATGACCAACTATCGGCGGACGCGCTTTGTTCTGGACTTGCTGTTAGTGGGCTCGTCTTCAAGAGGTTGCCCTGTACCTACGGACACCACTCGTATAGGCAAGTTTGTCCCCGTTTTAGGAGTTTCCAAGATTTTCCTATCAACCCGGCGGTGACAAAGCTAGGCCTATTTCCTAGGCAAAGCCCTGGCCACGGCACCGGGCGTCCGGCTTGCGCCTGGTGACCGTGGGCCTTGTTAGGCTGAAAATGGAATACTACGTCGAAGGAGAGACTATAACGCCCGAAGATTTTGTAGCGGAAGAGTAGGCTTCACAGCTGAAGACACAGGACCGATTTAAAAAGACTTTGTATGGCCTGTAACGCCAAGGGTAAGCCTTGAGAGATGCAGGCTGGCAGCAACAGGCGCAAGACGCACGGAGCGCAGCAAGTCAAGCGGGGGAAAGCGCTGGTGTGGAAGAAACGCGGACCGTTTCTCAAGATGCCAGCCACTGATTTCAAGGTTGTGTACAGGCCCCAGAACTGGGACTTGAGTGTCGTGACAGCGACAGAACTCGAATGTGCACTGAGAGCAGCAGCGTGTCTAACAAGTGCAATTGCCGCGGAAGAAGACGTTGTGCGGGTTAATGGCACAAACAACACATTGACGGTGAGCACACCGTGTATGAATCGCAGTGGGACATTTGCGACTATGAAGACGCTCAAGCTGGGTGATTGTGACCTGCCGGTTTCGGCGTTCGTGGCGCCGTTGGAGAACTCCGTGTGGGGAGTGATTTACAATGCTTATGATGGATGCCCAGTGGAAAAGTTTGGGAGGAATTCTTTAAGAATGAAGGCATAGATATTCTGGACACGAGACCTCTGGGAAAGTCGAAGGCGATTCAGATTACGTTCGGGGGAAAACGCATACCCCGGTAGGTTATTCACTGGAACTGTCTGTACGCTGTGATCCCATATAGAAATTTAGTCGGGACCTGCTACAACTGCAGACGAGTTGGACATCGAGCGGATGTTTGCTGTCGTCCGAAGAGTAACCTATGTCACCGTTGCGGGAAGGACCATCTTGCCCCGCCAGAAGGAGAGCCACTTACGTGCACGCCGGACTGCATCGTGTGCCATGGTGCGCATCACACAGGGAGCCGGAACTGCAAGTTTCGCCTGGCTCGCAAGCCACCGACAGGCCGGCAGCAGAGCATCAAAAGAGAGGGCGAAGCTTGCAACAATGAGCGGTCCTCGAGGGCCACAGAGCGGTCATCGAGGGGTAAAGAAAGCACAAGCAAAAGCAGGGACCGGTCGAGTTCCTTCCCACCATTGCCACGATGCGGGGGCGGCCAAGGTGGCGGACAGGTATCCAGTCCCAACAGCCACGCACACGACACTAACAAACAGGTGAGCTTGTCAGGCACGGCCTCCCAGAACGAAACTGCTCGAGAGAGGGAGTTAGCAGCGCTGGTTCAGCAGCAGGGAGATTTGATTAAAAGAATGGAAAATAAAATTGCAGAGATGGAACGCACACTTAAAAACGACCAAACACAAGGGACACAGGCACCAGTACAGCAAGGCCTACAGAAAGCGACGGAAGAGCCGTCTGCTCGCGTACAAGAGAGTGTGGCTATGGAAGTGGAGAATCGGGGGACAGTGAAGAGACTACCACCGGTAGACGAGAAAGCTAATGCAAAACGATTAGTGGAAACGTCACCAGTAAACATGCCACAGCCCATTTTTAAGGTCACTAGTCTTAAGTCGGATGTGACTACCCTTGCGGATAAAGTAGGCAAACCAGGGGATAGAACAGATTGGGGGCTCGAGTCGAAAAAATCAAAGCCAGATTAGACACAATAAAGGAGCGTTTCAGCATGCTTTCCAGTGAATTTAGGGCTTCCCAAACCCAGGTCATGGGCATGGCTCTGCAGCTTCATACTCTATTGGAGGCAAGACTGCCTCCCGTGGGTGACCAAGTGCCATTAGTCAACCTGGTGCCTCATCAGAGCACTTCCCCAACAAATTGAGGTTTTGCAGTGAAACTGCAGGGCCTTTCGTCAAAAGCGGGGTAACCTGCAGTTGCACGTACAAAATCTGGATAGTAAACCGGACATAATAGCCTTACAGGGGGCTAGTAATTCCGTAAAGTTACCCAGATTTAAGGCATTTGCAGTGCCAGGGATTGATTCAAGCGGCGTATCACGCATCTTCACAGCCATGCTAGTCCATTGCAACATCACTGCCATTCAGCATTCCGTAGATAGCAGCAGAGAAGACTACGTCCTGCTGGAAATTTCACCTAAACGAAAGGATGAGAAGAATCTGTTTTTACTTAATGTGTATAGTTCTCCAAAAGAAAAAGGATTGGGCTTGCCACAACTCCCAATTCAAACTCAACGGTTAGCAGCTCGCGCTCAGCGTATAATGGTAGGAGATTTCAATGCGCCTCACCCAGAGTGGGGTTATATTCCAGCCAGCCCAAAGGGCAATCGACTTTGGCAAGTTGCCCAGGATCTGCGATGAACGCTGTTAAACAATCTGCAAGATCATGTGAGGATAGGCAACAGCATAAGCATGAATACCTCTCCAGACCTTACGTTATTTAGAGGTATCAGTTATGCAAAGTAGATTAACACGGGAGAAGCACTAGGAAGTGATCACTATATCCTTTCCACGACGTTTAGCGCTGCGAAGCATAAAGACAAAGTGAAGCGGCATAGAATTATGAATTGGGACAGATTTAGGAAAAACGGAGCAGGCACTATAGACGGGAAAATTAGACCTGGACGCATCGGTAGAGGCGCTCAAGAAGGATGTAAAGAATACCACAGTAGAAGAGCCAGTCGAGCAGGAGGAGTTTACGGCGGACTCTAGACTAATACACATGTGGGAAACGCACGCGAGTCTCTTGAGAAGATGGAAGAAGCAAAAATATACTGGCATCCTTCGCAGAAGGACTGCCTAGTTAAAACGGAAAATCGAAAATTATACAATTGAGTTGCAAGCCAAGCAGTAGGACCTGATTTGTGATCGCATGAATGGACTGTTAGGATGCAAAAAGACATGGCAGCTGTAGAGGCATCTTTTGGATCCTGCAGCAACCAAATTGGCGCAACGGGGACAAATGACTCGAGCAATGCATCAATACGAAGGCACAATTAGAGAGTTTATACAGGAACCCCGGAATCGGTACATAACTGATGGAGTAGACGGTTGCTTACCCCGCTACTCGGGGGTGGAAAACTCGGAACTAGATAAAGAGTTTACAATCGCGGAGGTGGAGTTTGCCATGGGGCAGCTGCGTACTTCGTCTGCCGCAGGCCCAATCGGGGTTACTAATAAAATGCTGAGAAATCTAGATTTCAAATCGGTTGTGGCATCACTGACTTGGTAAATGAGTATTGGGTGGCCGGGGAGATCCCAGCACAATGGAAGCATGCTAGGATTCGTATATTTATTCCTAAGCCAGGCAAGAAACTCTGCTTGGAGAACCTGTGCCTCATATCCCTGACATCATGTGTGGGCAAAGTGATGGAGCACGTGGTTCTCAACAGGCTTCAGGGTTATGCAGAGGACAAGGCGATATTTCCCCCAACTATGATAGATTTCAGGGCCAATTTGTCCACGCAGGATGTCATGATACAGTTGAAACATGATGTAGTCGATCCCGGGCATGGCACGGGCACCAAAGCTGTGTTGGGGCTTGACCTGAATAAAGCTTTCGACAATGTTCCGCACGAGGCAATATTAAATAACCTATCGGAAGTTGGCCCAGGGGCCAGGACATTCTGCTACAACAAATCATTCTTGGAGGGTCGAACCACAGAAACTTTAATAGGAGATATCAAATCGGATTCTTTCGCATTGGGGGCAAAGGGACACCACAGGGTTCTGTTTTGTCACCGTTCCTGTTTAACCCCAATATCGGTATCTCCTCCAGGAGATACAGAGACTCATACATGCATTTTATGCAGATTATATTACTCTGGTCATTAAGGGTTACAAGCACCACCGTTAAATGGGAGCATAAGTAGGACAGTTTTCTTGCACATGAATAGCGCGATCAGAAGGACATCGCCGTCTACACAACTTGGGAGTTGCACCACACGACATGAGATCCAGTGATCAGAAGCATTTTAACAAGAAACTAATATTAAATAACCTGCACAAACAGACCTGTCGCCTTCCTGGACATGGTTAATACCATTGCCTAAACACCACACTAATAACAAGTCTAGAAATTTCACCGTACAAAAATAAGTTAGGTGCTAGTTACACTCTTGCACACTTTTATCATGTTCATCATATATTACAGCAAATCTGGCTGCAAAAATAATGCACACACAATGGCCTTACGAGTTTTCATGCAAACCACTAAAACAACCACTAGCATGAAACACATTAATGATATCACCATGCTGACGTGCAAAGCGGACGGGGGTATATCAGCCATAGTAGCTCAGTTGGTAGAGCATCAGACACGTTACTCAAAGGTCGCAGCTGTGGTCCCTGCCCAACAGCAAGTTATCTTTTCATCCACTTTTACTCCTTCATATTTACATAACAATTGCTTCTAATAACATACCTTGTACTTGGCATGATTGTCTGTTAGATCTCATTAATATTCTACATATATGCAGTGACACAAGTGTGTGCCTGTATGGGAAAGTCAGCTTCCGAAAGGCATGAGACATGGCAAAAATAAGTAAGCGTTACTGAATAGAGCTCTAATGCAAATACTCTGTGGGAGCAACAACGTCTGTGGACAAAGCTCGGATTTTCATCCTGGACTGCAAGAAAGTGCAGCGAGAAATGCCCTTTCCCACTGAGGATATGCAGGTAAGAGTGCTGGAGGGGTGCGTCTACCTGTCTAGACTGACTTTCTCTTGACTGTTGGTAAAAAAGAAAAATGTGGAAAGTTTGCACAAAGTTTGCACAAAGTTGCACAAAGCTTGGCAAAGCGAAGCTGTTTGTTCCTCAGCTCGCAGTCACGGCAGTCTCAACACTGGTGGTGATTGGATTCAGCATGCCTGGCTGAAGAAGCGGCAACCAAGTGACAACAAAGAGCGGATTCAGAATAGGCACAAAGCTTGCTACTCTGAATGTGTTGAAACCGCTGTCCCTGAGCCACAGTCTAAGAAACTGTGGTGGTTGCTATGGCGACGGCTGGGCTATCTTCGGCACAGGTGGCATGCAGCTGTGGCGGTTGCTATGGCAATGGCACAACGCAGCAGGGTTTTTTTGTGAAAGACCTCTCCCTATCAGCTTTCACAGCTTGGCTGTTAAAAAAAAATGGTAAAAACAATTGACTGACTATCTGTATTGGGGGCCTAAACCACTGCAGCGGTGTTTCACTCCTTTCCCAGGTAGAGGGAACGAGTGAGCGTGTTGCCGACTTCCGAGGTCTGGCTTGACCAGTTGATATTCTGGCCATTGCTGGACACCACGGGGATGGGTCTGTCGGCAACACCGCTGTTGATGAATGTCCCGATCTGCAGCAGGTCGTGGTTGCGCCAGTGTCGCCGCACTGCATCCACGAAAGCTTGCACGAAGATGCTGCCGTAGTGGGGGTCACGGTAGGACAGCGAGCTGCAACGTTATGTTAACATCACATGCATTGTTGGGACTGTCGGGTAATGCTATGTGGCATATTTTCAATCATGTGAGAAGCGAAGTAACGTGAAGGCTGCCCAAACAGCCGAAAACTACTGTAACCACTGCAGTGGTGTAGTGGTTTGGATTTGCAGTACTAACCCAAAAGTCACGGGTTCGATTCCAGCCACGGCGGTCACACTCCAATGAAAGCAAAATATGCTGGACTCATGTACATATATGCAGGCACAAGTTAAAGAACCACAAGTGGCCAAAATTTTCGGAGCCCTCCATTATGACTTGCTTCACATCATATTGCAGTTTGGCACAATAAATTTCATAAATTATTATCATTAATAAACTACTGTAAAAAGCTGAATAGAGGTAGAATTATTCAAGAAAATTGTACATGAGAAAGCGACGCATTATTTTATGTAAACTATATGGCAGAAGTTTACTTGTATGGCAGCTATGAGCCAAGATCTTTGTTTCCGACGTTGCTGGCCCACATGTCTTGTAGACAGTACGCAAATGAGCACAACTAATGTTTTCTTGTGAGAAATTGACAGGTTTCCACTGTGCTATATTGTTGTGTTCAAAAATGGTGTGAGAGAAAACACTTAAACCAAATGACAGTATAGCATCGCTGCGCTGCGTGGTTCCCGCATACAGGAAGTGGAATAGTGCTACTACATACTCTCACTGAAGGCTTCCTTCCATGGCGGCTGCATTGTTCATTCTGAACTCGAACTTATATGCAGAATTCATTTGAAAGCACCGCGCATAAGAACGAGTACTTGTGAGGAATAACTGGCGGCGCTGAGGAGGGACCCTGTGGAGTCTTTCAACACGACGCCAAAAAGCTGCAGCTGCGAACGACAAGAAATAGACGATCGATGCGAGTGACTTGCCATCGGAGGCTAACACACACACGCTGCAGGAGTCAGCAGCATGCACCTCGAGAACCCAGCGAGTTCTGCCCAATTCCACGTAGTTCCGACTGCATAAAAAATGTTTGTCCATTACCAGTGACGCAATGCCGCACAAGACTAGTGGCCAAATAATAACGGCCATCTGCAGATGATAATCCTAACAATATTCCTGATATAACAATAATACTAAGAGTTCAGTTTTCAGCTTCGGCAATAGATGAATGCAGTGAGAGAAATCGGAAGATATGTCTTGTGTTTACCAAGCCACAATACTTTTTTTTTCAATTTTTTGCTAATTGCAGCATCGCAAAGCAAAGAGTCAAACTATATTCCAGTCCTTTTTAAAGTAGGTATTTTTTTTAATTAACACCATTGAGGTAGCTTCGCCGAAGATAAAAAAAAGTACCTTTGTCTCGCAAAGCGAATTCCCATTTCGCGTGAGCATGCATTCTCTCGCTTTTTGCCATCATTGTTCATTCTGTTATTTCCACTCTTACTGTTTCTTCCATGTGCCGACACGGAACTGATTGCCCATGTTCCGAGCGCCGAGTTATGTTGGGTGCAGAAGCTATCCACTCTGCACCGTGCAACCTGTGAGCGTCGACACCACTCTGGGTGTGCCTAAAGTCTCTAGATTTTTTTTCCTTTTACCTTAGTACCGACAACTGCCTCCTCACCCAGCCTTCTCTTATGCGCAGCCGGCATCTGCCGCAATTTTCTTCCAACTTCGAAGGTTTACAAAGCTACGTACATCTAAGTAGACTAGCCACGCATATTTCAGCGGACAATATATGTATCAGCGTAATGAGCCTCCCTCCTCCCATCAGTCCTTCGTCGTTAGTGAGTGGGGGATGCATTTCACCAGAAGCTGGAAAGGCATTATGAAGAACATGGCCATCGAAAACAAGCGTTAGCTGACGAGTTTCATTGGTGGCACTTAAATGGTTGTTGGTACTTCAAAAGAATAGCAGTGATGGAAGTGACATTTTGCTTTTTGGAGCAGATTCTGGAGCAGAAAAAATGGTGCTTTAAAGCAGCCTTAAGTGTCTTCAGGGCAGAAAAAAATGCTATAGCTTATGGTTTCTAGTAGTGTTTTCAAAGCAGATGCATGTTCCTAACGACTACTGAAGTCTAAAACATCACTTAAGGATCTGATAAATATTTATATTCATTATTAAACATGCCGTACGCTAGTATGCAGCTAGTATACAAGGAGTATGCATGGAGGCAACGTTGTCTTCATTCTCTACCTGCGCTTCCCTTGTTTTTCCTGGTAGTGATACTTCTTATCAATATGTATAGTTGGCGTAAATCATGGGGGAGGGGGGGGAGTCAAGGGAGTCCGAACTTTTCTGGTGTTCAGGCTGGGGAGCACACGTTTTGCAAGTGTCCCACTTAAGATTTAGCACATGATATAATTGAGTTAACAGTTAGGTATAATGCAATCAACTTTTTAAAATGCTTTCTATTACCATGTGTTAAATGCCCCTCAGCTTTGTGAATTATAGAAATCAAAAAAGGTGAAAAAAAAAAAAAGACTGAATAGAACAATGCAATTGCTCAAGCTCATACCCCATGATAGTCTTTTTTTTATTTTATTTGATAGCATGATGCATTTCCTTTATAAATAAAAATACAACCCGTATTAAAAATATGAATTGGGCACTATGGCCTGATATGTGTCACCTCTTGAGATTTTTTTCTGGATTTACGCCACTGAGTAGCATACTAGGATGATAGTGTATACAGCTTGCTTTTGGTTTGGCTTAGGCTCACAGGATCGTACCACGATTCAACTTCATTCTTTTTAGTTTGCCAACATCGTTTCGGAGCAGGTTTGGAGCAGTTACTAGCAAATATTGCACTTTGGAGCAGCATGGAGCAGGAATTCTCTTTTGGAGCAGTTTGGAGCAGCACTCCTATCACTGGAATAGGGAGGAATCTCGGCACTTTAGATGTGCCAAAGCAGCCGTCTGAAGGGGTGCTTGTCTGTCCTCATTTAAGTAATTTATCCTATCATGTTCTATGACAGCCGTGCCACTTACTTCACTTTTAACGCTGCGCCAACTTTTACCACCGAGTTTCATGCCACCCACATTGTATGTCTTTGCAGCGGGACAATGCTTGCATGTAAAACTATCATCCTGCTACAAGGAAAGCCTACGTAGGCTTTTTGAAGAGGAAGCTTAGGTACGCTAGTCAAAAGCATTGAGTTCGGAACCAACACCTTTCCAGGCCGAATTCATGGCTGAAATGTCAGCAGATAGCAATATAAGAGTAAGGCTGAATTAATTAAGTCGACAATCATTGTGCCTTGTGCCAACTTTTTCTCTTTTTTTTTTAAATTCCATTTGAATGTTTAGATTTATTTGATTGCCTTTTTTTTCCTTTACATCGTTACATGAAGATAGACAAAGGGTCATTAACAAAACTGTGTTTTGTGATATGTGGTTTTGTGATATAAATAACCTCGGCTGCAACAATCGCCTCTGGCCAAGCTGTTTGCTGGGGTAATTTTTTTTTTTTTCAAGTCTATAATTTATTGCAGTCGAAAAAAAAGGGTGAAGGAGGGGGGGACAGAATGCCTGTAAGGATATCAATATGACAATAACAATCTTACAAAGGCACGGTCGACATGAACTTCAGCATGTGGGCCCGGCTACGCCTTTCGCCTGTGCCCCTAGGTGAGGGTTCTGAAAGGCAATCGAGACAACAAATCTATGTCTCTTGCTGTACTTGAGGATAATCTGACAATGGTTCAGTTTCAAATTTCCACGGCTAAAGCAGCAACTAGCCTGTAGACAGCACGGACAGGGAATGAAAACACCCCAAAACAGACATTTAGTCGAGTGTTCATATTCACCTCAAGGCATAATTTGGGTGTCCTGGACTCCACAGTTCGTTAACTGCTCAAGAGTATATTTCAAGAGCCTCAATCAACGGTGATTTAATGACACAGACTATATATATATATATATATATATATATATATATATATATATATATATATATATATATATATATATATATATCTGTGTGGTGTGTGTGTGTGTGGGTGCGTGCGTGTGTGTGTGTGTGTGTGTGTGCGCACGAATAAGGCTGTCTGATAGCGCATGGCTGCAGGACTATGTTGTACAAACTCAAATTGTCATAGCAAAAGTAACATTAAAGGCATGTATAGATGCACACAGAAATGTAATAATGTACAAGCTCTTACAAATGAAAAACATTTTGATAGGCAACTGAATCATCAAACTGGGACTGAATCAAGGAAACAGCAGGTTTTGCATGATTACGTAGGTAACAATGCCAAGTATGTAAAAACGCTACATTTTGCGTACAGCACATGCACAGGACTCTTCCTCAAACACATCATGTGAAACGTGATGTTCTTATGTACACAAGGCCTTTATGGTTGCAACAAACATGGTAATAAAACTTTCTAATGTGTGGCTCTGTTACATCAGCAGATAGCACTCATTTACCACGCCAACACTAGCCAACATTAGCGAGAACCAATCGGTGCTCGTAGTATGCAAGTAAATGCGGAAGTCGCACTCTGCCAGAAATATCTATCGTATCGCATTGGAAGATGTGAATGGAAAATCATTCAGAGTGTTTCCTGCACTACTTTGAGCTCCTGATAGTTATAGGACTTTGAATACTCCCAGCCCTTTTTCCCACGGATTCAAATTTCGTGAAGCTAGAGCACTACTTTGCTTGCATTTCTCAGCTGTTCTTTGTTCATACATGCCTATGCAAACAAACACCCCCAGTACAATAAAAACAAATACAAATAGAAGCTTAAGACACAGTGGAACTAACCGGAGTTGTCTTCATTCTGACAAGCCTGGATGCAAAGCACCTTCGGCTTGTTCTGGAGGCCGTCGCATTTCTCGCAGAGGTAGCTCTCGACTGTGTCGAGGTCCACCTTCGCGCAGTCACTGGCGTAAAACCCACCTGGGAAGACGTGCAAGAACATGTGACAAACTCAAGCATGTCTTTCGTTGTGATAGCAATTTGTATTGAGACTACAGGTGCATTCTTGCCATCTCCCTAATGTTCTGTACAAAGCCCAAATCGATAGCATCCATCTGCACGCTGTGTTTGTCATGTGCAAGTGAAAGCGTGCAAGCACTGCGGACAAATGCGGCTCGAGCAAAGACCAAGTGGGCCAGCCATCTCCATCGTGCGAAAGGCATGCAGAGATGGGAGCTGACTGAAGTAATGAGAACAAATATACCCATATTAATGGGGTTTTTATGACAATGAGCAATACATATGCTGGCTGGGACTCATGAACATGTCCAAATTATATGATTTTTCTTAATTAACAGGGTCAAATTACCAAGCTTTTGCTATGCTATCACCAAACTAGCGCAGTTGCCTGCGGTCATGTGCTATGAACCAGCAGACAGCTCATACATATGGACCTGCTGTACTCTGATCACAAAGTTTACATTGAGGCTGCAGACAGCACGAATGTCACTTTACTCGCTGCAGCAGCAGCAACACTAAGGGAGCAAGCTGCTAGCCTTATTTTGTATAACATTCAAATTTGTTTCTATCACATTAACTGCTTCACTCTTCTGACTAAAACCGTGATTATTTCTCAACCCATTGCAGCAGCTCCATTATGTAGGGCAGATGAGCATGATGTTGCAGGTCAAGATTCCTCCCTATGGCTGGCACACCCCAACCTTAGTACAAATGAAGAATATGTTTGTGTGTGTACTAGATTCATAGAGAGAAACTCAGTAGCGAAGCATGAAATTGGATCACTAAATACGGTTGTGAGCAATGTGAAAACGATGAAGTTTCCGCTTAAGCGATGGCTGTATTCGTAACGTGCCAACATAAATTCGACATATTAGTTTCTAAGCAGTACATCTTCCCTTAACTCTTTCCTTACCACTGCCACTAGGCATCGTTCACTGGTGAACGATGATTTCGCAGCCCCTATTTTTCAAAAAACACCGTGCCTATGGACTTGTAGTGCCATCTAGGCGATGGTACACACACTAGAATTGCTTTTTCTGTACGGTTCGCATTTTTACCGCGTGGCGGTGATTTTTAAAGGTCACGTCCGTTCAAAGGTTGAAGCTCATGTGATTCACGCGATGGCGTCAACATTAGAAACCACGCCCGCTCGGAAAAAAGCGATTTCACTCGATACCGACGCCTCGACGAGCGATCTTTTGAATTCCTCGAGTAGTGAGGAATCAGACAACGATGTGGTGACATCGGATTTTAGCTCCGATGAAGAAATTTCATCAGATCAACCGGGAACGTCAGCTGTTAGTCCCGGGTATGTTTGGTTTTCATCTTCTGTTTTGTTTGTCGTGTTCTGGGGCTGGCTGACTTGCTCTATATGTGTCCCACATATTGTTATTATTATTTCTAGCGTGTCTACTTCATATGGGAGCGATGTGCTGCCTCCAGCACAAAGACGCGTGGACTTCCGACCCCAGAGGGATCCGGGCATCGACCTCGGCATGGCGCTCCGCAGTCGCGCACATCGGCTGACGAGAGCACTGGATTTTTTTCGCCTCTTCACGGCGGAGGTGATCCGCGCAATATGTCTCAACACCAACAAGTATGCGTGGACCCACATACTTGAAAAGCCGACATACAGTGAGAAAGACGGATCGTGGAAGGAAGTGACACCGGAGGAGATGATGAAGTTTATCGGACTCCTGATGTATATGGGCATATTAGAACTTCCGCGTCTAAATTTGTACTGGAGTACGACTAAAATGCTTTCTGAACTTCTTCCGCCAAAAGTCATGTCAAGGCGGCGTTTCACTGCACTTCTGGCCATGCTGCATGTTTCGGATCCCGAAACGAACGGCGCTACCGCACAAAAACTAGACAAGGTGTCTTGGCTTCTTCAACACATCAATGACTGCTCTGCAACGTTTTTCCAGCCATATCGCGAAATTTCAGTTGATGAAAGAATGGTTAAATCCAAAGCCCGCTCCGGAATTTGGCAGTACATTCGAGACAAAGTTGTGAAATGGGGATACAAATTGTGGGTTCTTGCAGATCCGAAGACCGGCTACACCATTCAATTCATAGTTTACACGGGGAAGCGTGAAAAACCAAGCGCAAATGGGCTGGCATTCGATGTGGTGACGAAGCTTTGCGACAAATACCTTGACCGTGGCCATGTCATTTACATGGACAATTTCTATACGACCACATCTCTTCTTGTGCACTTGCTAGAACGCAAGACACTCGCGTGTGGCACTACTAGAAAAGATCGCCGCGGGTTCCCGTCAGAATTGAAAAATATCACCTGGGAAAAAAAAGCCAAGAGAGGGGACATTCGCTGGCTACGGGATAAAGGGGTATTGTACCTTCAGTGGAAGGATCGGCGTGTTGTGCATATGGTTAGCACAGCTCACACCGCTAACGCTCACGTGCTCGCTAAGAGAAAGGAAAAGAAAAACGGGAAGTGGGAGCAGATTCACAATCAGGAAACCTAAACTCATCGACAAATATAATTCCGGCATGTTAGGGGTCGACAAGTCTGACCAGCCGATTGCTTCTTATAATGTTCTTAGAAAATGCGTCCGCTGGTGGAAGACGTTGTTCTTCCACTGCATTGATATCGCAGCTGTGAACAGCTACATTCTTTTTGAAGCACATCGGAGCCAAAATCCAGAAATACCTGAACTTTCTAGGCTGTCTTGCTTCGATCAGCTGGCTTTTAGGACAGAACTCGTACAACAACTTCTTCAGATAGAGGACACCGCACCAGCTTCTATTCCTCCCACCCCAATTCGGCCACCCACAGCTGTACAGCACCAGCCTGAACGATTGGAGATACGCCACAACTGTAAGAAGTGCTACCAAGAAAACAAATCTCAACACAAGACGAACGTTTTCTGTCGCACCTGCAATGTCTATTTGTGCTTCACAACGAGAAACTGTTTTGGTGCCTGGCACACTGATCTCCCTGAGTGAACAAATTATAGCTCGAAAAGTTCTTCAGCTATAACTTCAATTTTTTCAATCCTAGTCCAATACGCTGTTTTAAATATTTTGCATCTCTCATAATTTTTCATAATTTTATACTCGGAAGATATAAGTAAATCATTAAGACATTTGTTGTGAACGTACCTAATTATTTGTGTTTGTCAATTTTCGTTACCTATTTAGATCTGCCAGTTCTTCCGTCAAATGTACCTTTCGAACTCTACATTTAGTACTTGCATTTTGGTATGTAATATTTTGCTGTAAAGTTTTTTTTCTTAAAAAAAAAATCGCGCGTAGGACCAACTCAGAACTTCACTATTTCGCTATGCATCAGGCAATTTTTTTGTAACTCAAAAACAGCTTTGTCAATTTTAACGATTATTATAAATAATGTTGCCCTGTGATTACTAAACATTTTGTATATTTCGAAATTTCTCAGAAAAATTTTTTGTCTGAGATATTGCTTCGTTTTCAAATAAAATTTTTGAAATTTTTTTTATTTTTGTGTATACGAATTTTTTTCGCCAAGTAAATTTTCTTTATTGTTTTAAAATAAAAAGCACTTCAAAAGTACATTCATTCTTCTTTATTTTGATGTATTGCATGGCACTGTAAATCTAGTAGTGACGGCACAGAAAATTCCTAGCTGCAACATACAAAAATAGGCCAATTTTCCCGTGGTAAGGAAAGAGTTAAAACAGTGTTACCTTGGTCCTGGCGACTTCATTTATTCACTATGGGCTTTCAAACTGAACTTCAGTGTTTCCTTTAACATTGGGCATGACTGTATGTGCAATCACAGTCTATGAAAGTCTGCTGAAATTGCATACCAGGTTACAACAGTAAAGTAATTTTGTCAGAATACATACTACTTGGGAGGCAAAGAGCAATAAGTACTTTTCCTGAGCCAACAATATGGCTGCAATACTCCTACTAGTGTGACTTAAACTTGAGGTTATGGGAGGAGTGGGTGTGACAGTTAACATTTCTGCAAACAACTTGGCTTCAGTTTTTTGCTCACATGTAGGACACACACAACATTTGCTTTCACAATCTTTTCAGCAATTTCAAAAGCAGTTGGGCATTGGCATAGCCAATGCAGGGGCAGCGTTCAATGCAAATATACAAATAGTTCAGCAGAACAGTCAACTCCCAATGAATGTGACATTTATGAACTAGCAGTTGGATGTTTTGATCTCTCATTTCCTTTGTTTGCAAACTTAATTAACAACAAAGTTGAGGGCGAGGCAAAAGGTCCTGCATGGCACAAAGAATCACTCATTAAAACAGGCAGTACCTAGGTGTAAAAAATTATTACTTTTTGAGAAACTTGCATTTGAGAGACTCATACTAAACAAGCCTCCCTAGCAGGGGCTATATCATTCAGCTTTAATGAAAAAAAAAAAGAACGTTGAATAGTGCCAAAATGGATGTACTACACAATGAGGAAGTTATACTCGATAGACGCTGAAAAAAAATGTTATCTTGGTCAGCATCTGTCACTTTTTTTTTTTTCATAGACCACTCGCAACACACTACAAATAAGGCTCAAAGTACTGTTCATTCGAAAACTATTTTTCGAATAAGCAAACAGTATGAACGGCATTAGTCAACTGCAAAATATTACCTCTGTACCCGTGGGACAGGATGATGAACACAATGGCATCACTCTTGCTGTGGTCCCAAACTGTGGCAATTTCCAGCAGCAATTTTTCAATTTCACTTGATGTGAAGTCGTCGTATATCCTTACATTGAAATCCAGTTCCTCCCACAGTCGCTTCAGCACATCTGATGAGAAGCAGTTTTAATGCATGTTAAAGCCATGTACAATGCACAGACAGTTTATTAGCAAGCAAATATTATTAACATTCTGAAGACAACATAGCAAACATTAGTCTGTAAAATGGAGGGGAGAGTTTGATCGGTCATTTGCACGTATTTCAAATCTCAAAAAGGGGGAGGAGGCACGTGCTCGGGATTTTATGGTACTCTTCAGTCTAATTTAAGGGCATCGCACTATATCTTTAGTCCAAGATTTCATCCTATTCATGCAAAAATTGAGCTTTTAACGTTTATGGGCACCTACGACATCTGACAGTTTACTTCAGAAGTTTTCCTCCCTCTTGAGAATTTCTACGTTTAATAATTTACGGCTGCTTGTATACATTTGTGTACCCAACTTGTTTTTCGACTAGGGGCAAAGACACAGCCAGATCCACTGTGAACCTTCCGTGTCACTGAATGTCGAATGGAACCATCTCAGTCATAATTTAACGTCATCTTGCTGTGTATTGCTGATATGATCACTTCCCTGAAAGCACAACTTTGTTCAACAGGTTTTTCACAAAGCCACGTCAAAAAGTACAAATCTTATCGCTTGAAATGAATATAACCGGAAAACAAAATCACACTATCTGAGATTTCATTCTACTTATGCGAAAACAGAACGTGAATGACTCCAGGTTAAGTACATCATTGATCACACCGTATTTAGAATCTAATGCAGGAGAACACACAAATCAACGTATCATGACATTATTTTTTGTTGCAGTAGAATACTGATTGCCTTAGAATAGTTTTGTGTAAATTGAGCATGTTTATAGACATTTCTTCGTAAGTTGTGCCTGCGAGGGTCAGCAACCTTTGAAAATTATTTGAAACACCCGGCGGCAAGCAACGAACAGGCGCGCTTTGTTTCCCTGAGCACCCCAACATTATTACATCAACAGAACGTAAAGAAAGCAAATGTCTTGATCTTTACCAACGTCTTTCTTTGTGCCTTGCCTCTCTAGCAACTTGATCTCGTTCTTTGGGTCTTTGAACACGTTGTGATTTAAAATGACGGCATATCCATGAGGACTGTTGACCATAGGATACCGCGGCACTGTCTCACCTGGACGTGAAAAAATTGGGCATTAATAAGCAGCGACAAGTTTGATCTGACAACACTGGATGCATTGTTTGAGTACATAGTAACACAACACCTTGCTGTCTATGCAACACTAGATATAAGAGTCTAACTTCTTCACTAAGCATTCCGTGTTTGATGGGAAACTTTATATGTGATGGTGAAATCACAGGCAAAGTCCAGCACCCATATATGTGTTCAAGAATGCACCAACTAGCCCAAACAAAAGCTTTGCTGCTTTGTATGTGATGGTTGACTTGCATAATTAGCCACACTTAGCATCACTAATAACATGGTTTCAATATAAACCTATGCCTCAACCTACTCCAGTGACGGGTCTGGTTTGATTATGCATACGAAATGACTAGTTACCAAACCCAAACTCATATATGACGGTTAGTTGTACTGTCGTAATTTATGAAGAAAAAGTTATCTAAAGTTACTGACAATGTAAATTTAAATTTACGGTGCTTAGCTTAACCAGTCATGAGAACAGCCAAATAAATATAACTGTCAGCATGTCACTCTATATAACAGACAAGGCCACTGTGCTTTGATACTCGTGGAAGACCTAAAAAATGGATCAGCTACAGTGCTCTACTGGTTACTATGCTCGACTGCTGACGTGAAGGTCGCAGATTCCAAATCTGAAACATAACGTAGCACTGCAGGTGCCTCAATGTAGCTTGAGTGTCTTTGCATGGCATTCTGCGCTTCTCATTCCACAGTGATGTACGAAAGCACTAACAGTGGTACAAGCAAAGAAAGGCTTGAGCATTTTATTCCTGCCACAGACTGCTGTGGCTTCGCTGCAAAACAAAGTGTCTATGTCACAGCAACAATGAACACAAGTCAACTCCTACATCATAATGTATTGTAGTTCGAGGAGTGTGCTTTGATCTGGGCCAGTTGCTCCATTGAAACTAAGCTTCTTCAAAGATTTCTGAACCAGCCCTGTGAAGCGACAGGGTTGAAAGACGAAGCTTCTACAGGTTTAATGTTTACAACAATTCGTGACCCGTGCATACCAGATATAGAACGAAGCATACATGGTCAGCACTTGTCTGGCTTCCTGCATGCCTCATGTTAGGACTTGGTTCACACTGGTGGCAGAGGCCATGTGACCACAGCGAAAGACAATCAAGAAATCGCTTGCGGCAAGCAATGTTTACACCAGCTAGCATACACCATTCCATTTCAGCACTGGAATTTCTTGCAATTGGAGTCGTTGACATCCGCTGATAGTGCAAAGCAGACATTCCTCTTCACGCATAGCTGATTGGTGCCCAAGTGAAAAAAATCTAGCACTCAACTCTGAACAGGCTGCATTGATAGAAGTGACCGCTCATGAACAAGTACATGCGACTGGTCACGCGACCACTTGAGTTACTAATGGGACTTTGAACCCTTAGTGCATTGCACTGTCATCGTAATGTGGAACAGACCCGCACGAATCTACCCTGGCTAATGCTTCAACTTGCCTGTCGCTGTGGTGTTGCAGCTATGATGCTTGACAGATGAACCGAAGGCCGCGGGATTGAATCCCAGCCGTGACAGCTGCATTATTGATGAAGGCAGTGCTTGTGTGTTTAGATTTAGGTGAATGCTAAAGAACCACCAAGTGGCCAGAATTTATGAAGCTCTCCACTAAGGCATCTCTCAAAATCATATCGTGGTTTTCGAACATGAAACCCACACAATTATTGACATTATCGGTCACCACCACCAACATGAAGGTGAATCGGGCACAAATATGCAACTCACAAAGATGCTCCAAGAGTTCCTCGTTGTTGTACGTGGTCCTCACGTGTTCGTACAGGGCAGAGTAGTTGTCTAAGGTAATGACGCTCCGCTCGTACAAAAGCACGACAACTGCTTCCGCATGCGTTGGCACACCAGACAGCGAGGATTCGGGAAGGAAGTGCCTCGAGATCTCCGCAGCCTCCTCATCCAGGCAGGACTCGCAGAAGTTGGCCAACTCACGCCTCGACAGAACAGGAGAGAAAAGTTGTCACAAGTTCAGTCTGGCGGCGTCAGCCTGGCACTTACACAAAAGCCATATGCCCTCGCGCTTTCATTTGACACCTGAATACTTCCTCACAAGCCCACGTCACTGCCTTGGCAGTGCATATTTGGGAGGGGGTCATGCCTATTTACCACAGCTCGGAAGGTATTATGTCGGCACCCAGGAAGCCTTCTGTGAAAAGTTCTATAGACAAGCGACACTGACGGCTGGTGACATAAATGATGGTGACAACTGCATATTGGCATCGCGTTCCACCTTCTTCGTTTTGGAACGACTCGTAAAAGACACAGCTGCAGTACAGCGAGCACTTACCAAAACTTCCTGACGCGCCTGGGAGACTGGTAGAGCCTGCTGGCTCGGTGACGACAGACTCCGAATATCCTTCGCATGGGCTCGAACTTTCGCATCACGTACAGAATCTCCAGCGCGGTGTCGTCCACCAAGGCTCCGAATTCGTCGCGCAGGCAGCTCTTGACGACGTCGAAGTCATCGCCGCCGCGCCCGGTCAGGTACCGGACCAGGGCGCGCGACTGCCGCGAGGGCGGGACGCCGTGCTGCGAGTTTATCGCCGCGTACACCAGAAACGCGAAGCGCACCCGATCTACATCCGCCAATTCGTTGAGTAACGCTACGTAAAGGCGAGCGGGCGCCTGCGACGCAGGTGTCACGGGGTTGGAATCCCTGGGAATCAGTTGAGCGTCGGGACTGCAAGCGACTGCCATGTGGGTTGGAGCAGATGTCGCCGCTGAGAAACTTCCTCTGCGATTGCACCACGGCTACGCAACACGACACGCTGGGGCGGCTTCCACAATGGTAGAAGCGAGAGAGTCGATGCGAATAGCACGCGATCAGCCGATCGTACGTCAAACCATGGTCGAAATCTGGGGGCCATGCAGCGATGACTGATGAATCCGAATCCCCTACGCGACGATTAATCGCTAATCCTCGGCAGCTCAAGCACTGCTCATCTCACCACACTTGCTAAAGGTGTGGTGAGATGAGCTACAATATGGTGCAATGTCGCTGGCCGAGACAGCTGGAACAAAAGCTCCGCGCGACGTTCTCGTCACTGATCGCTCCGACAGCAACAAGGTTCCGACGCAACAGAGGTTCCCGGTACGCAAGCACACGGCTGTCGGTCCACGCTGTGCCGCCAACTCAGCTTGGTGCTCACAGAGAGTACCCACGTGCGTTGGGGCATCCGTGTCTACCGTGAGCGGGCGCACGTGTGCTGCCGATTGTTACAACGATCAAATCCACAATCGAAACTCGCACCTATCTACCAGGCCAACGGAAACTTGCACGGATAGCGTTGATTGGCGTGGATAGTCCCAGCATGTGACCAAAGGATATAAGGGAAAGAAGTGTATATCTAAGGGCTCGTTTTTCGTGTTTTGACACAATATTAATGAGATCTAACAGACAATAATGCCAAAGAATGTATAGGGGTAGTTATTAGAACCAATGTAATGTAAATAAGAAGAAAGAAAAGTGCCGTGAGCAGGAATCGAACCTACGAATAACGCATTCTCTAACCACTGACAGTGCCTCATACAGGAGGCACTGCCACTGAGCACATGCACTGAGCTATCACGACGGCCATCCCCCCATTTACTTTTTTTAGTTTATATGTGAATTTAAACGTATGGATGGATGAATGAATGTGATTGTACCCTTTAGATTGGGCGGTGGCTAACGCCACTTAGCCGTAATACTTAGTGAACTAACCATTACATTTATCTTTTTTTTTTCCTATAAATAGTGAGGTTGAGAATTCATACTTTGCAGTGAAGGGTTTAATTTTCACTCGTGCCTTGACTTTAGCCACCAATCAGATAACCTCCTTCTTCGTGAACTATATACGTCTTACATATAGACGAATCTGTAAATCCACAGCATGTACTCAAATCAACACGTGAATGGAAAATCAATTAAGTTATTACAAAGTTAAGTTTAGGAAACTATGAGCTGGAGTGGTTTGTTACTATCACTTTATTCATGCAGGTCGATGCAGAGTCAACGGGAGCATATAACCACATGGATGTGCCGTTCAATGTGTATATTAGGAAACTCTACGCTCCAGCTACCACGGCTGGAGTGGTTTCTGGTAGGTGTACTGTGCCACGGCTCCTTCAACCAGGCGCAATATTTGGCCGCACAGATCCGAAACTATAGAGCGTCAAACGCTGTGACTGTCTCACCTGGTAATGCATTGCGGAGAGTGGGCTAGAAACTGTTGTTGTTGTTGTTCACCTATTTATCGTGGCGTGCTTCGCGCATGATTTCACACGCGCTGGTTAAACTGATTATGAGAAGTAGAACAAATAAGCAGACGCCCGTATCCACAACTTCCGGTCATTACCGGCGTGTGCAACTGAACCAGCTGAACGGAGTACGCAGATGGAGGTGAAAAAACTCAAAGGCACTCACGTTGGCTTACACTGAATTCGGCATAATACTGCACATAATATTGCTTTCACTTGCAACAGCAGTAGGTCATAGACGTCTTCATGAAATGCTTTTCCGAACTTCCCCAGTCGCTGCTGTTTCGCAAAAGCCTCCACTTCGTACCGAAAAGGGTGACATTGGTCATATCTCTAATTGTTTTAGTGCTTCTACTCTCTCTAGTACGTTGTCACATCTGCTTCTGGTGGCGCTGCCATCGCTATTCTGCTGAGCTGAGGGCGACCTCGGAGGATGTGCAGATTGCTGTCTGCACGGTGCCGGAGGTGCAGAAACAGGGAGTCCACGTAGAAAGGGCGGTGGTTACGGCAAACAGGGAGCTTTGGACTCTGGGTAAAACGATGAAGTTCGAAGTGGTCAACCTGAACCGAAACCTGGTCCGTGCAGGACGCAACAGGGCGTTTGTGTCTGACGGCATACACTTCAGTAACCGTCTAGCTGAGCATGTAGGGCACCGATTGGCAGCCCGCGCGGTGGCTTTTTTGGGGGGAGGCCAAACGTTCAAGAAGAAGGCGGACTGAGTGGAGGGGGTGGTGAAAGGCAGGAAGGAGGGGGCAATGATGCACGGCGGCGGAAACACAAAGGAAAGAAAAGGAAAATAAACCGGGGGATTAAAATTAGTTATATAAACATGCAAGGCGGCCGCAAGCAGGAAAAATGGATGGAGATACAAACCTAACTCGAGAAAGAAGAAATTGGCGTGTACGCCCTGACAGAAACCGACCTGAGAGATATGGAGGAGCCACCAGTGATGGATGATTACGTATGGGTGGGGTGCAACAGGGCAGCGGGAGAAAGGAAGGGTGGAGGCGTGGGCATGTTGATTAGGCGATGGAGCGAATTGGCAGAGGGAAAATCAGGGCTGTATAAGGAGCACTTATGGGTTAGTGGAACAATGGGGGGAAAAAAGACACGGTTGGGAGTGGCCTATCTGTGGACAGGGAATGACGCCAGAGAACAAAATAAAGAGTGGGTGGACTGCCTCAGGAAGGACATAAAAAAATTTAAAGAATCTGGCGAGGTGATATTAGTAGGAGATTTAAATGCCCACATTGAGGATCTGGATGGATATACAGACTATAACGGTGAAATGGTTATCGATATGTGTGAAGAACAGCAACTGGTAATAGTTAACCGGGAACATAAATGCGACGGGCAGATAACGTGGCAAAGCGGCAGTAGACAGTCTTGCATAGACTACGGCCTGGTCTCAGAACACACGTACGAGCGGTTGAACCAAATGACGATAGATGAAGAAGGAGAAAACAGTCTGGGCAGCGACCACAGGCGTATAATCCTGAAATTTGACAGGGGGGGGGGGGGGGGGGGCTAGGAAGAAACACAGGAGGTTGGGCTCCCGAAAGTAAGCGAAAAGCAGATAGCAGACATCGTCAATAGCATCGAAATAGAATTAGAAGCACAGCCAACAAAGGTGTGGGAATATGACGAGGTTGTTAGTTATATACAAAAGGAAATAAACAAAGTAAGGAAAAAAAACCGCTGGAAGGGTAAACGGAAACCATGAAGCTGGTGGGACAAGGAAATTAAACTGGCTATTGAAGAGCGACGACGGGCCTCTAGACTGCACAGAAAAGCAAAGCAAATGGGATATCAGGATGATGAGGTGCAGTTACGGTGGAGCCGGTACCGAGAAAAGAAATTTGAGGTGCAGAAACTAGTACAAGCGAAGATTAAAGCTGCGAGTGAGAAATGGGTATCAAACATACGTAAGAAGGATAAGAGCGCCCCCCGAAAACTCTGGAACCATTTAAAAGCACTGGGAACGACGACTAAAGAGATGCAGACTCAGATACAGGACGGGGACGGCAACGTTCTCCTGGGGGACAGCGCATTAGAATACCTACATGGAGTCATAGGAAATACTTTCGGCCAAGCACGCGAGAGGTCGGCTAACTGGACACAGGTGGAAAATAAAAGAGTGGCAGATGAAAAATTTAATATCGAATTTTTGGACTGGAAAAAGGCAGAACACAGTGTTCCCAAAAGTACGGCAACAGGACCGGATGGAATCCCGATAGAGATTATCGACCATTGGGGACCAGCGGGACAGGCGCACTTGTATGGAGCCATCGAGCGCGCTATAAAATCCAAGAGGATTCCTGCGCACTGGCGCGAAAGTAGAATGAGCTTGATCTACAAAGGCAAGGGAGAAAGGGACAAGGCGAGCTCTTACAGGCCGATTACAGTCACGTCAGTGCTCTATAGATTAGCTATACAAGCCATCAAAGCCGAGTTGTTGAAGTGGGTTGAAAGTAACGGTATTTTAGGGGAACTGCAAAATGGATTTAGGCCGGGTCGACGCTTGGAAGACAATCTTTTCGTCATAACCCAGACCATCGAAATTTCGGCAGCACAGGGCAGACCAACATGGCTACTGTTTCTGGACATAAAGGGTGCCTATGACAACGTGGACAGGGGATTGCTGTGGCATATACTGGAAGAGGAGGGGATTGGGTCGGAATTTGTAGGGCTGCTAAGGGCAATATATGAGGGTAACAAGGCACACATTACATGGGAAGGGCGTACATACACAGAGCCCGTGTACATTCGAAGAGGTTTAAAACAGGGGTGCCCTCTTTCGCCATTGCTGTTCACACTGTACATTAGAGGAATAGAAAGACGACTAGAGGAGAGTGGATTGGGCTTTGATTTGTCACACCGAAGCAATGGAGTGTTAGTGGAGCAACGGATTCCGGGATTGATGTACGCAGACGATATAGTGCTGCTGGCGGATAATGCGGAAGAACTTCAAAAACTGGCTGACATTTGTGTTGATGAGGCAACGTACCTAGGCCTACATTTTAACCCACAGAAATCTGGAGTCATGGTGTTCAACGAGGAAGCTCATGTAGCACCAATAAGGATACAACAGGAAGCCATACCATTAGTAAATAAGTACAAATACTTGGGGATCTGGCTTAATGAAGGAAAAGGCTACCTGAATGCTCATGAAGAACACCTCAAACTGAAAGGGAGACGAAATGCAGCAGTAATGAAACATAGAGCACTTTGGGGACACAATAAGTACGAGGTAGTACGAGGCATCTGGAAAGGGGTAATGGTGCCGGCGCTCACGTTCTCTAATGCCGTATTATGCTTAAAGTCAGATATCCTGTCGGGGCTGGAGGTTAACCAAAAGGCAGTCGGCAGGTTAGCTCTGGGAGCTCACAGTAAGACTACAAACGAGGCTGTACAAGGCGATATGGGTTGGGCTTCATTTGAGGCGAGGGAAGCACAAAGTAAAATACGGTTTGAGGAGCGACTTAGACATTTAGATGAGAAGAACTGGGCAGCCAGAGTGCACAGATACCTGTACCTGAAAAGTGTGGACACCAAATGGCGGAAGAGGACGCGAAAGCTGGCGACTAAATATAACTTGACCGCGGCAAATAAGCAAAGGGGGCCAGTTAAAAAGCAAGTGAGGGAAACAGAGACGCTCATGTGGAAAGAGAGGATGGAAAAGAAGGGATCGCTGGGAATCTACAAGGCAAGCAAACAAGAGATCCGGAAAGAGAACTTTTATGACAACAATAAAGGTAGTGCATTGCTCTTTGAGGCGCGGGCTGGCTGCTTGAGAACTCTAACTTACAGGAGCAAATATTCGTCACAGGATGAGACATGTGTTGGATGTGGCATAAATAAAGAAACAATCGACCACATAGTCATGGAATGTCAAAAGATTCAGCCGGATAGAAATGGGGGGAAGGTCACACTTCCTGAGGCGCTGGGCTTCGCGGTTGATGGAAGCATTAACTGGTCAGCAGTAGGTATTACTAAGCAGCGGCTGGAGTATTGGTGGAGGAAAAGCAGAGAAGTCGATAAAATAACATCCCAGCCAAGAGTAGCGGCTGGGCAAAATTAAAAAGACATCCGAGTTGAGGGACAGAATTTAAACTCGAACTATTAAGGTAGGCTAGATGGCGCATGCCGTCACCCCGATTCAAAGGGGAAGCCTTTAATCATCATCATCATCGCACATGGCGGCGTGCACAGATGGGTGTTCGCGTCGTGCTGTCGCGAGCCGTGTGAACACGTGTTGATCAGTTTCAGCGTTGCTACATTTGTACAAAGACAATGAAGCGTCCGGCCAAGTCAGCAAAGCCAATGGTACTACTGCTACCAGATGCTTTCGCTTGAATGCAATTCTCGAAGATGATCATCAGTGCAAGCGTGGTGATTGCGGCTGCCGTTTTTACAGCTGTCGTCGACATGTGTGGTGCCCGGGACTGTGTTTTTTTTTCTTTTAGACCTATGTTTCTTTCTTATAGACACGCCTTGCCTTACTGAGTGCTTTATCGTAAGCTTCGGCTCTAAACCTTGTGTCGTGGACATCGGGCGTCATTTGCGACGAGCCAAATGCGCGGTGATATATCGGGCTGTCGTCTGTAGTTTTCGAACACGCGACGTTGTTGACGGTATTTGCGAAGTGCTCTTTCCCGTTTGGTGTGTAAAGTTTAGGCGAAAACGGTCAATCGGTTGAGTCAGACCGTGTGGCGTCAACGATCACGACATTGTTTACCCTGTCGACTTTCCAGCGCGGTACGTCATGGGACCCCTGAGCGCGACGGTTGGTTACATAGCAATCGATCGCCCACTAGATCGGTTTTTAATGCGGGCTAACGTTAGGGGGTGTCGCTGCACGATTAGCTTGTGTACCTGTACTTGTGGTAACATTGCTACACCAAAGGACCGATTTGCCATTGACCGTTAATTGATAGTTCACGTAATTAATAAAGGCGTTGAGCTGGCTCAACCAAATCACCAAAAAGCAGTGTGCTGAACCGGAATTGTAACTTTGGGCTTGCTGCATTGCACTGAAAGAAAGGAAAGGCAAAAGAGATTGTGCCCAGAAATGAAACGAAAAACACGAAAAACATACTGTAGCCGGCCAGTGCCTGTTGAAAAATTCAGTAAATTGGCTTGCCCTGTAAGGATTTTTTATTGTTCGTTTTGCTACACAACTTAGTCATAGCCCCACAGGCTTAATTTTTGGTGTGATGCCAAGCTAAAAAGTTTCACAAAGTGTCCTTTCATTGGTGTTTGCATGATTTTCAGTGCTTAGCGCCTCCTAATTCCTTAACTATGCCTAAATCATAAGTTCCAAGCTCTCCTGACTTGCTTTACATGCTGTCTCTCTTCCTTCATACCAGTGAGTGTACAATGGAGTGGATTACAAAGGGGCAAGAATCTACGTTTGTCAGTGCGCGTCATAACCTTGAACACTTTTTTTTTCCTTTGAACTTACAACTTACTACTGCTGTAATCCCAAGTTTACTGGTGTAATTTTATGCTTTGATTAATTCTAGCACAACAGAGTGCAGCGTGGGCATCTCAAGGCATAGTGCGGTGGAAGCAGTTAGCTGTGCAGTGCACTGCCCCCAATTCAGCCAACGATTGTGGGCTTTGTGTTTAAGAAGCTGTCATTTTTGGTTATGGCATCTTTTATCGAGAGAAGTGAGCTATTTCCAGCCAAATTCAAAAATTATTTGGGAACTCCAGGGTGCACGTGAACAGTATAATATTTAACTCACATGAGCTTTTTTTTTTTTTAATGGGCCAAATCCATAACTGAAGCTAGCTGAAATAAGGCTGTGTTGACACATACATACTCTCAACTTTCATGTAAAACAGTAATGATTTATTAATAATAATGAGTAATTTATTATTTTTGTTTTAGAATAAAGTTGAAAGTATGTATGTGCCAATACAGCCTTATTTAAGCTATTTATGGTTGTCGATTTGGCCTATTTAAAAAAAAGGTTCCTCACATGTTCTCAGGAGGCTTGACTACTTATTGGCAGCGTTTTCTGACCATTCTCAAAAGTGGCTAGGCCTCATTGAAAGGTGCCAAGTGTCCTTATCAGTTTGTGACAACAATTTTTATCATTATAATAAGATCTGCATGTACGTAGCACTCTAAGGGTCCAGCTTGTGAACCATCCGCTGTCTCATGTTAAAAGGTCATACAATGGTCAATACATGTTTGAAACAAGTCTAGTAATTCTCAAAAGCAGTGCAAATAAACTGACAAGGTCTAAAGTAACATAAACTGTAAAAATAGTCATGTAGTTATCACAATAACTTACCTAAAATTATGAAAACGCTTCTAAAATATCTGGCCAGTACCTGCGCTGTGTTGAAAGCCAACTCCGGCGATTTTTCAAAGTCAATGGTTCTCAATGAAATTCGCTGGATACGTTTCGGTTTAACACATTTTTGCTTATTAAAAATTATTCTGAAATTTCCTGAGCATTTCAGCTATTGGGCTCAAGACAAGAGTGTCTCATGAACATAAAAACACCATTACCTTGACATGGTCGAAAAATCGCCGGAGTTGACCTTTAAAGACGGTGCTACCCCCACGGCAAGTGCACAATTTCCAAGAGAATCGTTGGGTTGTCAGGGCTATGCACTTCCTCAGGTTTCCCTCTTGTGGAGTTGCCTGCAGCTTAGTATTTGGAACTATGCCAAGATCAGGGTTGCTACTTGTGGCTACTTTTCGCCAAACTGGTGAATTTGAGAGGCCGGTGGTGAGTTATGATTATGAATGGCAAATTTTTGGCGATTTTCAGCTTGGGTCCTGACTGAGTTATGCATTTTGTACTCAGTGTCCTTAAAAGGATTGGGCGACAACATTTTTAATATTTTTCATAGTTTTAGACCCATCAGTAGAAGGTGCACTTCACGTGTGATTTAGTATGTCTGTCCTGTTTCTTCAGTGTATCTCCTCAGTTCAACTGCATAGATTCTGGAGGCACTGGTGCGTTCGCCAGCAACCTTCCATCAAAATTTAGCTCAGTGGACTGCTCCGTGTGCCGCGAGATGGTGGTGTAATACTATGTTTTTAGGTGCTTTAAGGGCTTTAAAGTTATTTAAAGTTTCGCTTCTAAGTGACTAGGTGGCGGTTAGGCCGCGCGTTCTGACCACAGCTGATACTGTCCTGAGTAGCTTGTTGACTTCACTGCTTTAGTACCCCGTAACTCCCCATGTAGAGTTTAATTTTAATTAACGTACTTCTCTGGCTGGCCAAGAGGTCGGCTTCTTTGGGCAGCCATCAGAAACTGCACCAAGGCGAATGTGTAGCGTAAGCATTACCGCACAGAAAACGTGGTGTGGGCATTGCGACGGTTACTCAGTGCTTTCTAATTTATTTCTGTTGTTTTGTAATTGGGTTGTTCGATTATCGTTCACACTATTCCACTACAATGAAATTCTCGAAACCTACAGGAAGGCTATGCACGCCATCCCTTTCTTGTAGTGACTGCTTCGATCTGTATTCACTACAACTGAAACCATTACAATTTTTTTTACGAGGCGCTAGCATCCAAGGACGCTGCTGGTACGTGGATGTTTTTTTTTTTCAGTGCCCCCACGGTGAAGCGGGTGATGCGACTGGCATTGAAAAATGTCAATATAATTTGTGTTGTGGACAGTAATTGGCAACCTTTATTTCTAGGCACGCCACACATATGTAGAGTGGCAACTTTATTGCTGAAATTTGAAGGAAAATGGCGACATTTGGAGACTTTCCGCTCATTGTTTGGCGAATTTCACTCGAAAGTCAGTGGCAACCCTGGCCAATATGTATACGAGAACTGCATTACCTCTGTCTTGACCGCAAAATTAGTCTTACTTCATGAAACACTAGATTTAGAGTTCTTGTGTCATTGTTGCAACTGTGATGGCTTAACTATTCCTCCTTCACTTTTTGAAACTTCAAGGTGTCACAGCGAGCCAAGATCGTGCCATCCAAATCGAGAAAGCCTCCGCCAAAACCGCCCTCACCTGATCCTGAGTCAGAGGATGACTTAGAGGATGAGGAGGACGAAGACCTAGACTACTCCGATGGCGACCAGGACATCTCTCAGTTTATGGGTGGCCTCGACGACGACGATGACGAACAAAATGCGGAGTCTGGGGCAGGCCAGAAGCGAGCCGTCGAATCTGCGGCCGACTCGCAGGCTTCCAAGAAACTCAAGAAGTCAGACCTGTACAAGCCACCAACGGCGGAGGAGCTCAACAACCTCAAGGAGGTTGAGACGCTCTTCCATTCGAACCTGTTTGGCCTGCAGGTGAGATCGTCAATCTTGGGAGGTTTGTTCGCTGAGCTAGTTACTGTGGCGGCCTCCAAGCCACTCTTTTAAATGCTGAAACAGTATACTTTTCTACAGTCTCTTGTATGCATTTCTCCATGTAACAATATGGATGCTCTGCTATTAGTTTTTGTCGTCTTGAAACGTAGTGTGATAAAACGTTAGAGTAAAGCAAATGTGGGACTACCGTTATTGACACTGGTGCAGTAGCCTTAAGTGTGCAAATTAGTTGCTTATTTGTTAATAAATGTTTATTTAGGCTTTTAATAACCAAGACTCTCGCATTTGTTCTGAGAAAATTACACTCTTTGAATTGTTCATTAGTACGAATGTCTTTCTAATGGATGAGAAAATGTGAATGCGGTAATCATCAATCGCTGTTTGGTGTGGTATGCATAAAAAATGTTTTTAAAAATACAACAGCAGTAAACTCATTGTAAGCTTACCAAAAAATAATTAATACTGAAGCAAGCATGCAGGATTACTCCAACAAAGCAAGCACCAAATAGTTCTGCTTTATATTAGCTGCATTTTTATTATAAGTGTAATTTAAAACTTTAGTGACAAAGTGAATTCACCAAGTTTGCTGTTTCTTTTATCTTTCTCTTTTTCTATTCTTAAAATCTTATGACAAGAGTTGAATCGTTGGTTGTTTACTGTCTCGCAGCTGTCGGACATGCTGAAGGAGATCACTCCGAAAGAGAAGCACAACCACCACTTTGACGCCTGGCTTGGTCTCTTTCGAAAGACACTCACAACTATTCCGTCCTGGGACCACCCTCGAGTGAGTCAACCTTCTGTTTCTGATAATGTGTGATCTCAGTCGTTGAACTTTCTGGAAACTTCCCCAGAGGTCAATGTACCGGAACGGAATGAAAACCGAGAACGAAAAACAACTAAAAAAAGCATTATTTTTTTACCTGAACTAAAACGTAACCCAAATGTTATAAATTATTCAGTTTCGGAGTGAAACCGAATTTTATAAATCATTTTGCGGTTTAAATGAAAACTTGACGATCTGGGACAACCGAGGTCACACAACGCGAGCAATAATGAGAGTACCGTACCAGGACGTATCTTAGGCAGGAATTGCAAAGTAGCAATGTGTTGAAATTGTACAAAAAATGAAAACAGTGGCAACCAGCGGTCTTTGTATTAACCCAAGTGCACTTTCGTGCGCCTGTGGCACATACCAAGGTGGAGAAAGCATGCTTGGTGCGGAAGTGTGTTTTATATGAACAGCTGGTCTCACATATGAGAGGTACGCTCGTTCACAGGGCTGCTCCTGAGATCACACTCAGCTGACGCAAAGTGTTGGGCCTGCTAGGAAAATTCATAATTAAATTTCTAGAAAGTCTACTTTAATGTAGAAGGGCACTGGTTTGCGCTGATTTGTAGCTAATTGTGGTACAATCAGTTGTGCTCATCCAAAAACGTGGCTGGAACGGGTCCTACCCCGTCCCACTTTCGTTGGAGGAGTGTAAGTACAACTAAACATATATTTTTATTGTTACTCGACAAAGATTTCCACACAACAATATAATGTTATGAACTGTTACAAAATATTTCTTCTTTTTCGTCCCGGAAGAGAAACAGAATAGAATTTTTTTCTGGTGGAATGAAACTAAGACGGAAACGAAAAGCATTTTGTTCCGTCACCCTGCCAGACTTGAATCCTGCCCTGGTATCTGTGAGACCTATCAGTGTAATGGTTCAGCTGGCACGATGGATGGTGGCCGATACATTGATTTGCCCAACGTATTGTTCTGATGACTTTGAACGACATTTTCACTAGTCATATATATTTATTTGTTTTGATATTTGTAGTGTATAAGCACCGTCTAAATGTGCACACAAGTGAGGGTTTCCTTTGAGCGACAGAAGCACATCTCGAAGACGCCAGAATCTTCACAAGATCCAAAGAACATGTCATAGCCACTGCATTTTAGACAGCACTACATCATATGTAGTTAGAACCAGTCATAGCTATAATGCTGTGCTGGTTGCAATTATATGTATGATGCAAGAATGATAAATTGATAAGAGTATTGCAGGGACCTATTCACTTGTTGCTGGGGCATCTTCTGAACTGACTCTTTTGAAATGAGTGCTTCTGAGATAGGTCCGCCTTGTGTTCTTTCTTGTGGTGTAAATTTTACACGATAGGAATATTTTTTATCATTAGCAATAACTGCATGAAATTCAGTCTCCAAGATAACGTAATTAGACCTCACAAAATAGTTTCCCTTAAGGGGGCAGACTGGTCTTTGGGACTAAAAAGTGACAAATAGTTTCATTTTTTTTAAATGGACATATTTGGTTTCTACAAGTATTTTTCTATGACTCTGCAAAATTTCACACACCAGGAAGGGGTATGTTTCTTGTAATGTCATTTTAACTGTCCAGATTCTTGGTGCTGTTAACATGCAGAACCTGCAAAAAAAAATAGGGAACCGACTTCGAGGCTTCTTTATAATTTGCCAGCACCTGTGTTAGAAGCTCTGCTACGAATTTATGAGCACCTTCATGAGGATTGCAAAACATGCGCACCATGATTGTTGATTTTCAAAGAAGCTGTGTGTTTTCTGTTGTTTTCCATTTTTCTCAAAAAACTGAATTTACGACTGTTCAATATTGAGGCCTCAATATCTCTGCAGCTAGGGCAGGTACAACAATAATTCTTTTTGCAATGGAAACCTGTATGCGTGTAGAATACAAGTATGGGAGCAGAATTCAGAGCACAAGCCTTTTTAATTAAACACTCATCAGAATTGTAACACAATGCCAACTACTTTTGAAAGTGGATAGTTCATTTTGCTGTAAAATAACGAAGAAAGGTTTAAAAAAGAAAAAAAAAACTCTTGCATACTTTCAACCTATAGTCATTAGTCTATGTTGGCATATATTAAATATCACTTTTAAACTTTTTTCTATCTATGGTGGCCTTAAACAATAGGGGGTGAACAAGTTACCTCAGGAACAAGATAAGTTATAAGAAAACTAATTAAATACTTGAAATCAGCAGAAAAACTGCATAATCCTGTTCAGCTTGCTCAAGATCACTGAATAAACAAACAAAAAAGTTTAAGAACAGTTTACCCCTTAAAGGGGCCTGACAGTACTTTTTCAAGTAGCTATGGAATCGATTCACTAAAGGAGCTTATTGCCTCACAAATCCACTGCCGCAGAAAGTTTTAAAATTTGTCAAGTACGAGCGGAGTTGCAAAGATTTGTTGCACTGCAAATGTATTCTTTCTTCTCTTGTCCCAACTAAAGCGCTTGAATCTAAGCCAGGAGAGATGGCAAAGGGAAAAGAAAAACATAACACATGCCTCGTGACCTTGAGCACTCTTTCTCTATTTTTTTCTTCGAATACACCGCTTTTCAGTGCCACGGCACGTGCGCATGTGGACAAGTCACGGCCTCCCTCGGCGATCCCTGTCACAAAAGAGCGCACCATGTTCAAATCAGCCAATGGCGGATACAAGGGCTGTGACGAGTGATTTTTGCGCTCCTTCCGACATCTGTTGAGAGAAGAGAAAGCAATTTTTAGCTGACCTTGAGAACGTATTGTGAATTCCCGGCGCATGCTGCGCTATAATATTTGGCTCGCATGTTCTCGGGACCCTCTACTACCGATTGGCAGGTGTTTTCTGACCATGCTCAAGAAGTGTTGCAGTAGCCTTTTAATTTAAGTCGTTTGCATTTTTTTTTTTCATTTGTTCATGTCGTCCCAAAACAAAGATATGATTATGAGGGCTGCTGTTGTGGAGGGTCCTGGAAAATTCTGGTATCTGGTGTTCTTTATTATGTACTGACACCGCGCAGTACACCAGCCTCTACCGTTTCACCTCCACCAAAATGCGACCGCTGCGGCCGGTATCAAATCCGCAACTTTCGGGCCAGCAGCCCAGCACTGTAGCCCCTGTAGCGACTATATCAACCTGGCAGACTAGTTTGTGTTTAATGGATTGCTTTCCTTTCTGCCCTGTCAGGACAATCCTGAGGCGGTGCTCAAAAAGGTGGCAGTGCCGCTTCCGACTGAGTTGCCACGTGACCCAAAGTGCCGCTTCCGGTTTGTGCCCCCCAGCACCGTTCAAGTGGTGGGAAGTCACGCCTTTGGTGGGGCCGTCGGTCCGGATGCCGTTGTAGACCTGGCATTGGAAATGCCTCTGGTGTGTACCTGGAAAGGGCTAACCCTGGTATTCAATTGTGTGGTTGAGCTATGAAAACAGATTAGTAAGTGAAGCTTCTATGAGTTGCAGGTCTTGGTGGCGGCAGTGGCACTACCGTATTTTCTCGCATATGACCTGCCCCTGCATGTCAACAGCACCCCCAACTTTAGCTCTACAAAAGAGAGAGAGAGAGATCGAAACCTGGCACATTACCCGCACCCCTCTGTTTTAAGTATTTGTTTGTTTGTTTGTTCGGGTTATGTGTGAGAAAATATGGCAATTCGCAAAAAAAAAAAAAATATGGCACCGATGAGGCTACAGAAATGGGTCTGCATGCAAATACTAGGCTCTCAAAGGTGCACCAGTCACAAGCACGTTTATATGCTCCGTTTTTCTATAACTGATGATTTCTGGCTTGTGGGCTTGCTGGCGATTAGCCATTTATAATGTGGAAACGGCACCTTTTGTCAAAGAAAATGAGCCCTTAAGTATACACTTCCTACCTTTAGTCAAGGTCACTTGTGATTTCATCGTTGCCTTTCAGTGTTTTTGTGCCTGTTCATCATTGTTGCCTGTAGCAACAGATGCGCTGCACTGGTAGCACATATATGAAGGACCCATTTCCGTCATGGAGGGAGAAAGAGGTTGGGATGGGGTATTGCACAATGCAACAGACAGAAAAGTACTGGTAGGTCATGCACTGTCATGCTGGGCTTTGCTGGGCCCCATTTTTCCAATAGGGGAAGAGACCCTCAGTTTTTTTTTTTTTTTAAGGGATATCTATTACAAGGCTTACTTGGTTAGTTCCGCACATCCTCTTTGCAGTGTTCACTTGAGTGAAGAAATGAAGAGAGTGCTTGCAAGCTGCATGTCCGCTTTGCCTTTGCAGCGTTCTTTTGAGCAGCAGTGCAGTAGGGACATTTAGGGCGAGCTCAGTAGCATCGTTGGGGAAGAGGAGGGATTTATCAATGATGTGCGCACAGAATGTACTGAAAATGTCGTCACTACACGTGGCAATGTGCTCGTGCACCTTGCATAAATCACATCGTAGACTCGAAGCCTCCTTCCACACCCTAAGGTTCCTCTAGGCTTTCACCGTAGAATTCTTAATAAGAAGTTCCAAGTGTCCGCCATAACTTTTATGGCTGTCTGAATCAACATAACTCTTTCCGTTGAGTCAGATAGACTAGAGCTCTCGATGGAAAGGTTTCTGTTCACGCTGACGTGGGTGTGAGGCTTTTCTCTCTCTCTAAATTGCCAGGAATGCTTTGAGAAGACAGACTTCCTGAACCAGCGCTACCATGTGAAGCGGGCGCTTTACCTCGCGGTCATAGCATCTCGTCTCCGGAAGTCGGAACTGGTTGAAGAGATGGCATTCAGCACTCACCGCGGAGATGTCGCAGCTCCCACATTGCTGCTGAGGCCATCGGGTAAGCAATTGCCAACGTGACGGTGTGTTGGGATGTTGCCGTATGACAAGTGTTCAGAAGCATGGAATTCGTTTAGACTGACCGATTATGCCTTAAGAACACTTTTTAATTTTTCCATCAACTGTTATTCATTTAACCGTACAGTCCAACCCATTCACAGTTAAACCTGAATATATTGAAATTGACAAATTGCCGTAAAAGTTTGTTGTAAAAAGGATTTTTAATATGCAGGTTTGGTATGAAAATACAAAAGTAAATGCACAAATTAAAGAAAAGCGGGACTGAAGGCGGAGCTAACCTAATACACTTACTTAGTGGTAAAAAGCTCCGTTATTATTGGGATAGCAATTATATGGGCACTCTGGGCAGGGTTTTGTCGTTGCCACCATGTTTTGTAACAAGTCCAACTTGACAACATGCCCCCGCGCATTGTATCTTTTACAAGCGGGTAAAGGTGTGCGAGTGCTGCTGAAGCAGGGGTTTGCAAGTTAGGCGGCAAATGTAAAGCCTACCCGGCTGGTAGTTTACATTATGTAAAGGTATACGTTCCGTAAAAACCCGCGCGTGCGCAGATCCTTTCCCGAATCTGGTAAGACGGTACCGCAAAGAAGTATACGTACAAGCTAAAAGCCCCTAATAATGAGCGCTCGCTCTTGCCTGGTGCGCCTTGCGCGCCGCCGCCACATTGTGCTATGTCAGTGGCGGAACACCCTCGGAAGGTGCATGCTTGTTCCAAAATGATGAAATCCGGGGCAATATTCCTAGATTGTACGTGGGGAAAATTTGTTATATCAAGGTTATAGCAGGCTTAACTGTATAACGAACTCAAAAGTGCCGCAGTAAATAGTCATTATTTTAGTAGTTCGTTGTATATTGACCTGCCTGTAAAAACGTCCACCTTGTGGCCAAGCCGCTTTCTTTTTTCGTGTGCATTTTTTTTTAAAGTGTGAACAAGCTGTCTGCTGACTAGTTAGGTATTTTCTCGTGTTAAACGACGCTCGTTTTCTCACGAGTGAACCACATTCGCAATAAACTCGCGCCGTTCCACTGAAGTGCGCGGTACTGCCACGTCAAACCAATCATCCGTGGCTAGTTGTCTACAGCACGTTGCCTACTCGGTTCTCGCCGTCGCATGCCAGTCGCATTTGAGTCCAATGTATGTGCGCGTTTGTGTGTTCTTTGCACATGCTTCACTCGGGATCGGGCTAAGGTGCGGTGAGTAGCCTGTTCATTTAACCATAGCCTCCTCTATGGTTTAACAAAACGAACAATTTTGCGAGCAACGCTCACAAGCAGCCTTGCACGACGCAGGGGCAGTGAACTTGCGAACGGCACCTTGACACGCTTGTGCTACCTTAACTCTGCCAAGCAGCTATCTGCAAATGACTGGGATAAGGTTGCCGGTGATGAGCCAAAATGGCATGTTCATCGCCACCGACCACCTGGCCATCGCTCTTTTTGGATGCTTATTCCTTAAGTGCACGGAAGTCGTTATCACTAATCGACTGGTGTCTGCCGTTACTGAAAGGTGGAAAACCTTTCCTTTTGCAAAACCTTTTGCAACACACTGTGGTGTCGGAGAGTTGAGCGTTGCAGTGAACTCTATGCGACAGAAGTTATCGCTTCTCGCAATTTTAAAGCATTGTTGGTTAATCATCGGCGGTCGTTGATGCAGGCAAGGGCATCAGAAAAGTTTGCCGTGCAAAAGCTGAACGCAAGTCTTCATGCTGTCTCCTATTTATTTTAGTTTATTTTTACCCTCTCGCTTCCGTTCTGCCGGTGAAGAAATGTTTGGAAAGTGAGCGACCTCGCTCGCTACGTCCGACATCTGCGTGCGGTGCCCGCCGCGGCCTACGATATCTTTATCGCAAGTTTCAAAGGGTAGCATAGGGAAATCGTAAGTGCACCAAAATAAGGTAGTTATAACCGATAGATTGTTATATCTGGGATCGTTATAAGTGTGTTAGACTGTATTTGAATTTTGCACACTTCTGTGAGGAACTCTGGAATGATTTGTCTGTTCAGTTGACTTACTCATTGACTGAATCACTATCAAAGTACATGTGTGTCGTGTATGAGGTTGTCAATGTTAAGTACTGTTAAGTGGCAAAATAAACGAGACAGTGCAGTGAAATGATATTCCTTTGTTATTTCTATAATAAATTATAGAAAAGAGTTACAAGTGGGAAGAAAAGAAAAATGCTGAGCGTATAAATACATTGTCAAAGAGTTCAGATTAAAGGTAAGCTAAGAAAGTCAGTGTCCACAAACTACAAAGAAAAGTTTATCTCACAGTTTGGTCGATGTCAGAGTGTCATGGTGGCACTGCAGTGAAGCCTCGTCTCCACCGGGTCTACTGGCTTGGGTCCAGAGCCCAACCGCCCTAAGACCCTTGAACAGCTCGGCACTTACGTCTTCTCTCGGGTGTTCTGAAAACCAGCCACCTCGTTTTCCTCTTTCTCCTCCTTCTTGCTGCGTTCAGAGCATTTCATTTGTTTCCTCCTCTTTTTTTCTTCACTTTGATGGACTTCATGAGATTTCGATTTCGAAGTTCCACCGACACAGGGCAGCACACCAGTCCAACAGTTACAGTCAGTACTCATGACAATGTGGGAACACTTCATATAATTAAGGAAATACAAGAGGAGGTTTCTGTGCTGTGAACTTTTCCTTAAATTGAACATCAGAAACACTGCTTTGAAAAACAATGCATTCTGTCATTATTCGTTCCTTGAACTGTGCTTGTAGTGCAGTGTGTAACTTTTCTTTTACTACCTTGAGTATAGTACACCAAAATTATGATATATACAGGGAACCTATTGAATTGCCCTCAGTGCTCTTCTTGATATGCTGAAGTTAGCTTTTGACTGAGTTGTTTGTATTTTGGCCAATTATCTTATTAATTAGGTTTCACTCAAGTAACAGTTTTTAAAATGTTTCTTTTACACAAACATGCCTCTACGACCAGGTGTTATGCAGGGTAGTGTTGTAATGTTTCTGAACTAAGAAACATTTTGTGTGATATGTGTTCGATGTGAAATGTTATACTTCTATTAAACCAGAAACATCAGGAGCGCCATGTGCTCTAAATGATCTTTTATTTTTTGTGAAGCGCCAGCGCCAAAGCACTGTGCTGTAGTGGTTCAGAGCTCCCGTTCTCTGGAAACCTTTCACAGGCCAAGCTTGGAAGCACTTTCGAGTCCGACTGCTGCCTTACCCATGCGCAGAGCAGTTCAAGGAATCCCGATTCGTTCCGGCACGCAGCAACCTGCGGGCGTCGTGGTATTTCAAGGAACACCCCAGTGGTGCGTGAGTGCTCATGCTCGTGTTTCAATTTGTCGAAAAAATGGAAGAACACTCCAGTACAGACAGCTTGTACCCCAAAAACAGTAATGTGCAAATGTAACATGAATGAGAAGTTAGTAAACAAGCGTTTGCAAGCGTTAGCCTGAGAACACCATCTCACACAGTTGATTAGGTGGTTGCCAAAGGCTGTTTAGGCCTCGCAATAAACGTGCAGTCTGAATCTATGCTGACATTGCACATGCTGACGAAAACAAGAACAAAAGAAAAACATGCTTGTGTCGGCGTCATTTTTTTCGCGTTTAATTTCTCCACGATTGTACTGCACGGCCATCTCTAAAAGAGAGCGCCAAGTTGGTACTTTTCAGTAGTATATAACCGAGCCGCCACGAGACGTTCTCCAGATCTTGTTTGCAATAACGGATGTCTGCTTAGCACTTTGTGTAGGACCCTTCCTTGCCTATTAGTGATAAAAAACTGCTGCTGTAATACAGTTGAATCTGTTTATTGTGAACTATAAAGTACCATGAAAAGTGGTGGCTATATCAGTAGTTCACTGCATATGAACTCACCAACTCACCTTTCAGAACATGTGGGAATTTCAAACCAGATAATTTTTTTTTTTCGGTAAATCAAAAATTTAAGGGCTACTTTCTCTGTGTTAGACACAATATTGCCACGTTCCATTTCCCGAGTTTTTGTTATCGTCCCACAACACCACACGATTCTCAGCGCAAACCGCGCCTGCAGTTTTCGAGAAGGTTCCGGACTGTAGTAGATCATTTCGATAAGATCACGCCCACTGTGCGAACGGTACAGATTGTTCTGGAACCTACGCCACCGCCAGCGATAACGCTAGAACATTCGACGGCAAGAGTATAAATGCCGACGCGCTTCGCCGCTTGTCAGTTGTTGATCGAAGGCCGACGCTCCGTTCGCCGCTATCAGTCCGAGACGGCTATCTGTGCGAGACTGCTGCTGTAATTGGACTTTCCGTTTACCGGGCACAGGTTCGCCCAAATAAACAGTTAAATCTCAACACGAAGTCTTCTGTCTTCGGCCACGTCAAGACCCCGTGACATCTGGTGGAGGTGCTGCTTCGTTCATGTACCGAACGCCCCCGTCAAGCCGTGAACCCAGCCCACGTCGCGGAGAAGACACTGACGCCAACCAGGAGCAGCGAACAAGCCGCTGACAGCAAGGGCTACCACAGGAGTATGGGCTTCTACAAGACAAGGCGGGGAAGACCAAGGCCATGACCACGACTGCAGCGACAATGACAACCGCTGCGTTCCAGCCCACGATGGTCATGCATCAACCCAGGGAACCACCAATTTTCCATGGATCATCGTTCGAAGACCCGGAGTCCTGGCTAGAAACATACGACCGTGTGGCCGCCCTCAACCACTGGGACCATGACGAAAAGCTGCGTCGTGTGTTCTTCTATTTGGAAGACAACGCAAGGACCTGGCTCAAAAATCGGGAGTCCACGCTCCGAACGTGGGATGTTTTCTGTGGCGCATTCCTGCAAACGTTCGCGAGCGTCGCTCGCAAAGAGAGGGCCGCTGCTTTGTTAGAGACCCTGGTTCAGCTACCAAATGAAAATGCCGCCATTTTCACAGAAGAAATGACCCGACTATTCCGTCACGCTGACCCAGACATGCCTGAGGAGAAAAAAAGTTCGTTTCCTCATGCGAGGGGTCAAACAGGAGCTCTTTGCGGGACTGATGAGAAACCCACCGAAAACCGTCCAAGAATTTGTAGCCAAAGCGACCACTATCGAAAAGACCCTGGACATGCGCACCAGACAGTATAATCGTCGCCTGATTGCAGATTGCGCTGTTGCTCAAGCCAGTAACTCTGGAGCCCTGCGTGAAACGATCCGAGCGATCGTGCGGGAAGAGCTGCGCAAGCTGTTGCCTTCGGCGCAGCCTTAAGTGGATTCAATCGCCGACATTGTGTGAGAAGAAGTTCGGCAATCGCTTCAAATTCCCCACGCACCGCTGCCCGAGCCGGAAGCTATGAGCTACGCCGCTGCACTGCGCCACAACGCTCCTCCCCGTCCACGCTAAAACGCCGCCCCATCGCACTTCCGTCGACAGACGCCACCGCCGCCACCACCCCTACCGACGTCATACCGTTCCCCAGCGGCCCAGCGCAGTGCACCGAGGAAGACTGACGTCTGGCGCACCCCTGACCATCGCCCGCTCTGTTACCACTGCGGCGAGGCCGGACACACATACCGCCGTTGCCAGTACCGACAGATGGGACTGCGTGGCTTCGCCGTCAATGCACCGCGTCCACAGCCAGGAGAACGACCACGTGACATCGCCGACTACCTGACAGGAACTCGGTGGACACCACGAAGCCCTTCGCGTTCGCCGTCGCCCAGCCGTCGCACGTCACCGCACCACCGGCAGTACTCTGGCCCAACGCGGGGCCGGTCTCCCTAGCCCGTATCCAGGAAAATAAGGGCAGCAACCGGTGGAGGTGCGGTTGCTGTGCGACGAACTACCGAAGATCCTCCGACGACGACGCCGCCGCGACGGAGCTTTCCGAACACAACGCCAACCAGGCAAAGCCCTGACGGCGAAAGCTCACTTACCGAATGTGGCCTGACGACTCAACATGGAAGCAGCGGAACAAGCCGATGCAGCCGTGACCCGACGCCACGCCCTAACTGTAATGCGAGACGGCGAACTAGTGACCTCGACGTTCTTATCGACGGCCACAGTGTGACCGCTCTCGTCGATACTGGAGCCGACTATTCTGCAATCAGTGGGTCATTCGCCGCGAAGTTAAAGAAAGTTAGGACAGCTTGAAAAGGCCCTGAAATCCGCACAGCCAGAGGTCATCTTGTAACGCCTGCAGAAATCTGCACAGCGAGAGTCACCATTAACAGCCGTATTTATCCTACAGACTTCGTAGTCCTACAGTGTTGCTCGAGAGATGTCATCCTTGGCTGGACTTCTTATGCCTCCATGGTGCTGTCATCAACCTAAAAACAAAGTCGATAACTTTATCCACAGAAGAAGCACTACCGCCGCGCACGCCGTCAAGACACCATGCCTGAATGTGCTGGAAGAACAAGTCACCATTCCGCCTCGCTCAAGCGTCATTATTTCAGTCGGCGCTCCTAAATCACCTGACTTGGAAGGCGTCGTTGAAGGCAGTCAGCATCTGTTGGTCACCCGAAATATTTGCGTCGCAAGAGGAATTGCAGAGTTGCGGGGAGGCAAAGCAACGGTTATGCTCACGAATTTCAGCAATGAGTACAAACATGTGAACAAAGGAACAACGGTCGCATACATCAAAGAAATTGTCGAAGCCACCAGTGCTTTCGCCCTCGCCGATTCTGCGGAACCTGCTCAGAGGAACGAAGCCCCTCCCATAGCTTTCGACGTCAATCCCAGACTTCCGAACGATAAGCAAGAACAGCTCAAGGCCCTGCTCCTGCAATACGAAGATTGCTTTTCGTCGTCATCGAAAATTCGGCAAACCCCAATCACGAAACATCGCGTCATAACCGAAGAAAATGCTTGACCACTCCGTCAGAGTCCGTACAGGGTTTCGACGCGAGAACGTGAGGCCATGAAGACACAAGTTGATGAAATGCTGCGGGATGACATTATCCAGCCGTCCAAGAGTCCATGGGCATCCCCCGTGGTGTTAGTGAAGAAAAAGGATGGGACCCTACGTTTCTGCGTCGATTGTCGCCGTCTGAACAAAATCACAAGAAAGGACGTGTATCCTCTCCCACGAATAGACGACGCACTTGATCGGCTCCATAACGCCAAGTACTTTTTGTCAATGGGCCTCAAGACTGGCTATTGGCAAATCGAAGTCGACGAAAGAGACCGAGAGAAGACGGCGTTTATAACACCGGACGGCCTCTTCGAGTTTAAGGTGATGCCCTTCGCCCTTTGCTCAGCGCCTGCAACTTTTCAACGCGTTATGGATACAGTACTGGCAGGGTTGAAGTGGCAGACTTGCCTTGTGTACTTGGACGTCGTCGTCGTGTTTTCCTCGAGTTTCGACGAGCATCTTCGGCGCCTTGAAGCTGTACTTCAAGCCATCAAGACTTCCGGACTCACACTGAAGCCAGAAAAGTGCAGATTTGCGTACGAGGAGCTCTTGTTTCTGGGGCACGTTATCAGCAAGTCTGGAGTTCGTTCCGATCCACGGAAAACAGCCGCCATTGCCGACTTCCCGCCGCCCACTGACAAGAAGGCCGTGCGCCGATTTCTGGGCCTGTGCGCCTATTATAGGCGGTTCGTGAAAAACTTCGCCCGCATCGCCGATCCTCTCACTAACCTTACCAAGGCCGACGTGGAGCTCAAGTGGGAAACGCCACAGGAACACGCTTTCCAGGAGCTTAAACATCGCCTCCAGACGCCTACGTTACTTGCCCATTTCGACGAATTCGCTGAGACAGAAATACATACTGACGCAAGCAGCGTAGGTCTTGGCGCCGTTCTTGTGCAGAGGGCTGACGGACTCGAAAGGGTTATTAGTTACGCCAGCCGATCCCTATCCAAAGCAGAAGCAAATTATTCCACAACAGAAAAGGAGTGCCTCGCCATCATCTGGGCTACGTCGAAATTTCGCCCCTACTTCTACGGCAGGCCCTTCAAAGTTGTGAGCGACCACCACGCCTTGTGTTGGCTAGCCACCTTGAAGGACCCTTCAGGTCGCCTCGCACGATGGAGCCTGAGACTTCAAGAATATGACATTACGACATTACTGTCATTTACAAGTCCGGCAAGAAGCACTCCGACGCCGACTGTCTCTCTTGTGCGCCTGTCGACCAACCGCTACCCGACGACCCGGATGACGACTACTTCTTGGGAACGATAACTACCGACGACTTCGCTGAACGACAGCGGGCCGACCCGGAGCTTAAGGCCCTAATAGAATACCTCGAAGGTAGGACCGCCGAAGTACCGAAGGTATTTAAGCGCGCACTTGCATCGTTCTTTCTACGAAACGGTCTTCTACAAAAGAAAAACTTTTCACCGCTTCGAGCTAAGTACCTCCTTGTGGTGTCTTCAGCTCTGCAACCAGAAATCCTGCAGGCCCTGCACGACGATCCGACGGTAGGGCACCTCGGTGTTTCTCGCACGCTCGCGACGATACAAGAAAGGTACTACTGGCCACGTCTTACCACCGACGTCACTCGTTATGTGAGGACGTGCCGGGACTGTCAGCGACGCAAGACACCGCCGAGAAAGCCAGCGGGACTTCTGCAGCCAATTGATCCACCTTGCCGACCTTTCCAGCAGATTGGTATGGACCTACTGGGGCCGTTCCCGACGTCGGGTTTCGGAAACAAGTGGATCGTGGTAGCTACCGACTACCTCACCCGCTACGCCGAGACAAAAGCCCTGCCAAAAGGCAGTGCATCCGAGGTAGCTAAGTTCTTCGTCGAAAATATCGTCCTACGTCATGGCGCCCCGGAGGTCCTTATCACCGACAGAGGAACGGCATTCACTGCCGACTTAACTCAAGCGATCTTGGCATACAGCCAAACAAACCACCGCCGGACGACAGCGTACCACCCACAAACCAACGGCTTCACCGCGCGGCTTAACTAGACGATCGCCGACATGCCGTCAATGTACGTCGATGTCGAACACAAGACGTGGGACGCCATTCTTTCATATGTGACCTTCGCATACAACACGGTGGTGCAGGAGACGACGCAGATATCTCCATACAAATTGGTCTACGGAAGGAGCCCGGCAATGACGCTCGATGCCATGTTACCGAACGTCAATGACGAAGAAAACCTCGATGTGAGTGAGTACCTTCAATGCGCCGAGGAAGCCCGACAACTTGCGCGTCTCCGTATCAAGAATCAACAGACGACCGACAGCTACCGTTACAACCTTCGACGACGCTTCGCGGAATACCAGCCCGGTGAACGTGTTTGGGTGTGGACGCCGATACGCCGACGTGGACTAAGTGAAAAGCTTCTGCGACGGTACTTCGGACCGTACAGGGTGGTTCGACGTCTCGGCCCACTTGATTATGAGGTTGTCTCCGACGGCATCACGAACTCTCAATGACGCCGATCGCGACCTGAAGTCGTCCATGTCGCGTGCCTCAAGCCGTTTCATGCGCGTTAACAAACTGAAACAGTGTTTTTTTGTATTATTGTTGTATCGTAATTTATTCATTGTACTTTCTTGCATTATTATTGTACCTTCATTTTTAGTCAAAGCATCCGGACGATGCCTTTTTTCAGAGGGGGGGCAATGCCACGTTCCATTTCTCAAGTTTTTGTTATCGTCCCAAAACACCATTGATTCTCAGCACAAACCGCGCCTGCAGTTTTCGAGAAGGTTCCGGACTGTAGTAGATCATTTCGATAAGATCACGCCAACTGTGCGAACGGTACAGATTGTTCTGGAACCTACGCCACCGCCAGCGATAACGCTAGAACATTCGACGGCAAGAGTATAAATGCCGACGCGCTTCGCCGCTTGTCAGTTGTTGATCGAAGGCCGACGCTCCGTTCGCCGCTATCAGTCCGAAACTGCTATCTGTGCGAGACTGCTGTTGTAATTGGACTTTCCGTTTACCGGGCACAGGTTCGCCCAAATAAACAGTTAAATCCCAACATGAAGTCTCCCGTCTTCGGCCACGTTACGACCCCGTGACAATATTAATTAGAAATAACAAAACAATGATTCCAAGTGCTATATAAAATGTTAATTTTAGTAACTATGGTATAAATAAGAGGAATGTAAAATGTGATGATAAACGGAAGGGTTGCTAGTGCTCTGCAGTTTAATTGCTAAGTGCTAACAGTTCTTCCTGTGTCTAGATAAGTTTTTTGTTTCTTGAAGCAGCACTCATTGCTTGCTTACCATTGAACTGAGCTGCCTTTGCAATGAGTTGAATGTGTGCTACTGGAAGAGTTCACAATAACGCCTGCAAAGAAATTCTTCCAGGTGTCTTCAAAATCCGTACCTGCCTTAATGGCTTTTATGGCTGTGCGTCAGCACTAGCAGGCTGACCTGCTGGGTCTATGTGTCCAGAGGAGCGCAATAGATGGAAGACTGCTTAATTGCAGTGGCAACAATGAGCTTCCTACGAACGACACCCACTCCAAGTCCCCGTAATGCTCTGGCGTTCCTGCACAACGAGGCCATAGCACATTGTGGCGTGTCAGCAACAATTAGTTGTTTCCTAATTAAAGCGTTCACTACTCTTGCTGTGATATTTCTTGGGGGCCATGCTGCTCACAGCCAATTGACCAACAGAGTTTAGTGCTACTGCGTTATACTCGTACATTGTTAGATCAAGGTAATGTCATAATGTTATGACATGACATCGTGACTACCTTTTTTGCTGCCATATAGTGCGTGTGCATGTTTAATTAATTAAGATTATTTCGAAGTTGGTCAATCACCTGTGAAGACAAAGCATCCAGACTCAGTGCAGTGGAACTAACGACAAGACTACCAAGAGAGTGGCAGTGCCTGAGCTTGAGGCTGACGTCCCTTGTTTGCTGCACACGACGCTATTTTTTATAACAGACACTCACATTCGAATGATGCTACAGTGGAACCACTCTATAAGAGACATGCGCCGGAGAGCAGTTTTTTTTTGTTACATGATGTGTCTCTCATGTGAGGTGTCTCGTATAAGCAGGGTAGCACATATGCATTTTCTTATCAACCCTTATTTTAATGTAGGTGCACTGGTGTCTACTATACCCATTTGTCTGTTACATCAGTGTCTTTTATAAAGGGGCTCGGCTGTATATGTATTAGATGTTACGTTACGACATACAGTTTCACCCACATAAATGAATTGTGTATATTGGACATTTGCCAAATTCTCTTAAAAAATTTTTTTAGATACAAAGTATTTTATACAATGGAATCTCATTTATTGAAACCTGAAGGGTCCGGGAAAATATGTTCCATTCAACGGAAGTTCCATTTATTGAGAGGTGAACAGGGGTGCAGAATACAAATACGAAAAAAATCATATCAGAGGCATTTGTTCCATTAAGCAGCACCTTCATTTAACAAATTTCGTTTACCGGGTGTCCACTGTACACTCCAACTTTGATATAATGAGCCCGGATATAACGAAATGTCCATTGCAACGAGGGAAATTAAAAGCACTCTTGCAATAGAAGTAGGGCTAGAAATATACCTTCATAATGAATTTTCGGATATAACGAATTACTTTTTTTTTGTAAGATGAAATTTCGTTTTAAGGAGATTTGAGTGTACATATATCAAATTGCCTATTATATAAAAATTTTTGTGATCTTCGGATTTAACACATCTGAGTCCGACGGCACATTCTACATTTTGCACTGTGATTTGTTGAAACGTTTTTGCCTGCTGATTGGTTTAGTCGGCTAGCTCATCTGGTCAATAACTTTTTTCTCCATGTTTTTTATCGAAAGGCATTTCTGAAGAGCTGCCATCGCCGCAGTACAATGCTTCGGTGTTGGCCGACATGCGCATGGTGGCCAATGCGAAGTTTCTCACCGAGAAGTTGGCACAAGCTCCAGCCCTTGTTGATGCCACCCGTCTGCTGAAGGTGTGGCTGAGGAAACGTCACCTTGACCAGGTGAGACGGTCTGTCTTTCAACTTGAAGGCGTCTGCTCTATGCATGGCTGGTGCAGAGAGCCTAGCTCCGTATCCAGCTGTATAGAGTCGTATCATGCACGTGCTAACGCCCCCTTCTCGTAGCATGAGTAAGTGCAACTTTGGAAGGTTTGGGCGAATAAGGCAACCAACAGGGTCAAAAAACAACACTTCGTTGCTGCACCAGCAATACACTCAAGTTTCATTGTAAGGAAGTAGCATATAATGCAAAAAATAACTTTGTTATACCCAAAAATTCATTATAAAGGTATATTCCTAACACTGTTCTTCGCTTACTTCGTTATAAGCAATATTTCGTTATATTTGGCTACTTTATATCAAGGTTTTGAGTTTAATTCGTAAATGTTGCTTCGAGGGATGGTCTGCTCCTTGTAGAAAACAAAAGCAAAGTTTACTCCTTCGATTAATAGGTGGCTGGCAGGTCACTGCGAGTTTAATAGAGAGAGCACCCGAAGATGTTATTCTTCAAAAATTAATCCTATAAGCAACTGTAAATCTTTTTTTTATATGTACCACTCCGCCGTTGAAGTGGAGCTCACTGCAGTGAAATGCACTCGCTCATATAGACTCACTGGGTCTGGCCATGTGCCCTGTGAATTATGTAATTTGACTGGTGTGAAAATTGCAATGTTCTTTTGTCCAGGGTGCCGGAGCCTTCTCAGGTTTTGCAATGACCCTGTACCTTGTTCACCTGTTGATGAAACGCCAGCTGAGTCCAATGATGAGTTCGTACCAGGCTGCGCGGTTCACCCTGCTGACTCTCTGTAAGAATTTAACCATTAAGCTATTTCTATGAGACTGGCATTGTGCTGTGATGAGATTGTTGCAAAATAAGTATGCGCATTTGCTCACTGTGTACATACTCTCACCTACAATAGTTTGTTTAACACTAGATTTGTAAAGAATCTAAACTTCTAAGGTGCCTGAGCCTATGGCAGTGTTGAATTGAGAGTTTCGAATTCTGTATCAACTTTTTCAACGTTGCCTATTGAACCGCTAATGTATAGGTGCCTTGTTTGAACAAGGCCCATTTTCTGTTAAAACTGTGTTTAATAAAGTTTTGCAACCGACTGTATCTTTACTCGTATACCTGTCAAAAATTTGCAGCGTCATCCCGAGGTTGTACGTTGCTCTCGGTACAGGCTTGGCGCTTCGGCGCCTACATGCAAGCATTTTTATTTAAAAATATAACACATTTAACATGCATTCCAGTCACAGTGATCAGAAACCGTAATTTTGTCTAATGAATGGTGCTTCACGAACAAAACTTTAGCAAGTAGTTTGCTTATCATTGGTCCTATTTGTCTTCAGTACCAGCAAACTTTCAGTTTATTCATTTATCTTTACTTATCACTCTTGATTGAATGCCTTGGACATCCGCCTCGGTGGATCAGTGGCTAGGGTGCTCAGCTGCTGACCAGAAGGTCGCGGTGGTCGCATTTCAACGAAGGTGAAATGGCGGAGGTCCCTGTACTGTGTGATGTCAGTGCATGAAGAATCCAGATGGTCGTAATTTTTGGAGCTTTCGACTACAGCGTCTTTCTTGATCATACCGTGGTTTTGAGACATAAAAACCCACATAATAAAAAAAAAAGCATTGAATCGCTTAGACTTTTTCACGGCTCGTGCTAATGCTTCATGAACTATGTTTCAGTGCTGACTGAAGTGACAAACACTCAGAAAGGAATGGTCAATCATTAAAACAATCGAAAGTGTCATTTCACAATGACAACTATTATTGGAAATGAATGCTGCGAGTTGCTTTATGTGGATTTCCTATTTGTCCCTAATTTCTACTGGCACCTTAACGAAATCGAGGATACCACACAAGCAAGCTTGTATAGTCACTTTCAGTGCTTTGCGGAGGTTGTCATCTACAAAGCAGTGTTTCGACTTATTGTTGCCGAATCTGTCTGTTTGTCTTGCAGCGCGTTCGGACCTCAGCAAGGAGGACATCACGTTGTGCACCGAGTCAGTCGCGAATCAACCCTCACTAGAAGATTTCCACGCCAGCTATTCGCTGGTTCTCGTCGACGCTAGTGGCTTCCTAAACGTTTGTGCGCCAGTGAGCATAGAAGCATATCTCAGGGTGAGTGGCTTGCCCGACTGTCAACAAGAGCAAAATGAAATAGTTCACCGAATGTGAGTCGCTGGCACTGTGACAGTTTAGAAGCTTATTTTATCGAATAATGATATCAATATTTTTTGTTCTGTAGTGCGGCTTCTTCTTATCTCTTTCACTGCGTAGAAAAATTACAAAATGATCAAGTCAGAATGCCACGTCTCTGCTCTCTGTATCTGTTTCTACTGCTCCACTTTTTCCAATTTCGACGTTTTGCGTGACTTTTGTAGTTTACTAAGTATGCACTAACTTGCCGGACAAGCAACTTTTATAAGATCAAGACAAAATTGAAAACATTGTCTCAGCTGATGTGATTAACAACAAGAATGTCAAATTGGGCCAATAAATGACCTCAATAATGTAGTGAAGCAGAGTGCAAGTTTGGCTTGTAGTACAACATGATTGTAGTAGAGGGACATGGTTTAAATTAACGAGAAAGTGCGTGACCTTGCATAACAAATGACTTCGCATTGTGTAACAAAATTGTGATTTGGCTTCATTTGTGAGGCATAGCTACAATTAAGAACCCAGTACACAATCTTGAATGACGACAAGACGGCAAAATATTCAAGGCACCTGTTTTTATTTGATACAGTGTTATGTAGACAGCAGATTATAAAGCCAACATGACATTATTTGTTGGCTTTAGGAATGTAGTTGATCTGCATGTGGATTGATTTGGCTGACAAAACATTGTGTATGTTGCTCCTTGCCTGATAGGCAGCTGTTAACAGGTACGCAGATTGCAAGTTTTTTCAAAACGACTCGGCATGGGTCTTTTGTTCACTGAAGAGGGCCTTGTAAGTGAAAGTTTGGTTGGGTGTGTTGCTGTTTGTTTTGCAGGTCAAGCATGAGGCTCGCCTGGCAATCACCTTCCTTGACTCATGTTCCGCAGACAGCTTCGAAGTGCTCTTCGTGACTCCGCTGCCTTTTGAGCGCACATTTGACTGCTTCCTGCTGTAAGTTGCCCGTTGTGTGTCTTTAACGCAGTTGTGTTGTACTTCTGAAAGTGCTGCGATGCAGTGAATGTATTGCCAGAGGGGTACTTCTGTGGGGCTTCTAAAAAGGGGCAGAAAGCAAGCTTATGTTCCGAGGAGCCCACTTTGAGAACCCCTGCGCGAAATGTTTTCAGTGAGAAGTCAGCTGCTCTGCATGCCTGTTCACCACTTCTTTTTATACGACTATTGTAGGCTTAACGAGGAGGACTTGGAGTCTGCAGTTGAGGCGCAGTCTCTCCGAGCTGAGCTGGCAGATTTCAGTGGCTCAAAGTCGAGGCCAGTTGCGAAAGCCACGTGCCAGCTCCTGCGCAAAGGCTTTGGCAACCGAGTTGATCTGGTGTCAACACGCATACTTACGCCATCGGAGGTTAGTGAACAGTTTTCTTTTTTTAATGAGGTATACTTCTTTTTTAATTATTCGTAGGTATTCATAGCATGTCACAGGGGTTTGGAGACTTTTATTCATCATGTCCATACTGGTGCTTTCAGCTTTGCCAGTTTTAAAGACACGATTATCTGTCCTGTCGTAATGTATCGTCAATCTCCATTTCTTACTGTTAAGGAGCACCATCGAAGCAGTAGCTCTTGGTTCATGGTACCATCGAGCTACTGGCACATGGTGCCTCAGAAACAATTGAATGACTTTCTGTGTGTGGTACCATCATTCACTATTTGCAAATTGTGCAATTTTACGTACTCAAATTTCTGAAAAGTTTTCGATTAGTGTAAAACTTCTATGTCTGAAAAATGTCAACTTCGTGCGGTTAGGGTGTACCCCTGAAGCAATCACTTTTTTTATACACAGTACCATCGTACTACTGGAACGTGATGCTACTGAAGCAATCAATACATTATTCTAATGCACTATTGGCAAATTATGCACAGTTGAGTACCTGAACTCTGATATCGTTTTGGTGGGTATGGAGCTCTCATTTTCAAAAAACATCTGTACGAATTCTATGTGACCTCCATGCTACAGCGAACAATACGCCGGCTTTTAAATTCCTTGATTTTTCTTCATTCTGTTGGTCTCTCTTCAGTTTGTTTCACAAGTGTCTTTTTTTTTTTTTTTTTTTTGTAGTGGAAGATCACTGAGGAACCTCCAGCCGTGCAAGAGTCCTTGGAGATTGGGCTCCTCCTTGATGCTGCACACTGCTACGCCACTGTGCAGCGTGGTCCGGCTGCGGACTCACCAGATGCGGCCGCCTTCCGACAGCTGTGGGGAGACCGGTCTGAACTGCGCCGCTTCCCGGACAGCAGCATTCTGGAAGCAGTTGTCTGGCCTGGAAAGTCCGCCTGTGAACGTCGCAGCATCATTCTTCGGATTGCGCGGCATCTGCTGTCGAGGTGCGAAATATGCGAAAACATTTCAGTTACCTCTTTTTAAAAAGCCAAAGCGTAAGGTTTTAAAGAAGTGAACTGTCAGCTTTGGCAGATAAGTATAAGTGGTAAGAACTTGACTATTGTATTTGCGTGATTGTTAATTGACTTAAATGTAAGTCAGCGCCAAAAAATTGTACACCAAGAAATAGTACACGAGCTCATTTTGTAATGCAAATTTATTTGCAACAACAATTGACAGTTCAAAAATGGAGTGCAGGGCTTTTAGGGCAGCGTTGATTGTCGATAGAAGAGCCGCAAGTCAAAACAGCAGCGGCACTCCTGACGACAAATGACACCCTGCTAACAATTGGAAAAAGAAGGAAACAACTTGTTCTTCTCAAAACAACCCTGCAATACTGTCATAACCACACCACAGCATGCCTGATTCTTATTTTTCCTGCCATTCCTTGTAGTCCCAGTTTCATTTCAACGTTTTATAAAATAGGTTAACCTGCAATTGTGTAAATAGGGTAGAAGTTAATTTAGATTGGGTAATTAACTTAATTAGCAACATTATGGTGCATCTTGCAATTAACAAGTTGCAGCCAGCAACTTTACTAAGCACATCCACTTAAAAATGAAATTTGAGTGTGGTGCAGATATCAAGATCTACTAAGGAAGAGTAGCCTTACGGACATCAGTTTCAATGGAAGCCTGCGTACCTTTCTTCTCACCTTTTTGTTTTCTCTCTCTCTCTCTCTCTTGTAATCTCATGTGCCATGGCTTAGTAGTTAATCTGCATGATTATGTCAGTGTGCAACTGTAAAAGGCTGCGCTATTCCCTCCTCAAATCCAGGTGAATATGGGCCCTCACCATTTGGTCCACATGGTTGGCTAATGTCATGAATCAGATGGCCAGTGCCTTCTCCCTTTGCCTCGTGGACAGGAGTACAGTGTTTTTTTTTTAGTCGTGGATGCAATCTGTGGACATGCTTCAGTAATCTGGGCCTGCCTCTCCTGCTTGTCCAAGTTATATGCGACTACCGTAGTCGTGTACCTTTCTGTCCAGCTGGAAACCCAATCAAAACAAACATGCCATAACTAGCATGTCTTGTCTGTGCGCAGTGCTGGAACACAAAGCTTACTAAAGTCCTCCTTAGAAACGTGCTGGGGAAATGTCTGTCTCCTGTACGTTCTAGGGGAGGATACATTTTAGGCCCTGAAGACCACTGAGCTATATGTTGTGTTGATGCAAGAAGCATTGCATACGATTCCATTAATCAACTCGATAACATTTTACCTTGTAAGACTTTCACACATTTGAAAATTTATCAACAGTTATTATGCAGTAAATCGTAATGACAGTCAGAAAGGGAAGGTAACGAGTGACAACCTTGTCGCTGCTTGCCCGTGTTGAGGCATTGTCGCATGGGACATCGCGCCAGCATGCTTTCCACGGTTGGTCACTCAGCAAGCTTGGTTTAACCGTGTTCAACCACGGCATTGTTCTTTTTTGCAGGCATGCTGGCATCGAAGCATGCACTGTGGTTGGAGACTTCCTGGATCCGCTGTTGTGCCCCGCGGGTATTGACTTCTCGTCGTCGCACCCTTATGGCACTGGCGAAGAGCTCGGCAATGAGGTCGTCTCCGTGTATGACGAGCTGTCACGCACCCTGCGTCGTCTGCACAACCTTCCACTCACCGTGTCGTCTGTCAGAGGCACGTCTCCCACCTTGCGCCTGACCGAGGTGAGCTTGCTCGGCCGAAACTCTCAAAATGAAGCGGCTTGGGATTTCATGACATGGAACAGTGTAACTGCTGATTCTTCGTTCAGAAGGTGTTTCAAAACTTTCACAATACCGTATTTACTCGCGTAATGGACACACTCGCATAGTAAATGCACCCCCAACTTCAGTCATCAAAGTATGGATTTTTTTTTTCCACCACGTAATAAACGCACCTCCTACATTCATCCGCTGCAGTCCTGCTAACCGACACCTGGCGCCTGCTCACCCTTTGGATCTCTTCCATTTATTATTCTTTTGCCGACTCACCTTCGGCTCGCTCCCTCCACCCCTTTGCCCGTTGCCACGTGCCGTATTTTTTTTATTTATATCTGTGTGCGGCAGGTCCCCCGTCTTATCTGTGTGTCCACAGCAGGGTTCCTAAACGATGCGAGTGTAAAGACACCGCATTGGATAAGGCACACAACGAGCGAAGGTCACGAAACTGCCCGCACCAAACGACGCGGGCATTTTTAAAATGCCCAGCCACGTGCAGGCGATTTTCGAGCGACGACAACAGGATTTGCTGTCGCAGAGGGTCATTCATCGCTACCGCTTCGCAAGTTTCTGGAAAACCATTAAGAAATCACTCGTCACTCCGAAAAGATTCTGATGATTTCCACAACATCGGTAGCATCCCCGATTCTCGCTTCGCTTGTTATCCGTACGTAGAGGAACTTCTCATGTAAAAGCGAGGTGTCAGCCGTTACTTGTCGTTAATCTCACTTATCGACAGTTTGTTTTGATGCTTCGGGGGTAGCTTGCTGCAATGTTGTTTACTTGCTGCAATGTTAACGGCGTCGTCACTGTCGTTCGTGCAAGGTCAGCCGCGAAGTTGCCAAAGTGTGTCATAGCGTACGCTTTTGGGCGTCCCTCGAGGTCACAGTAGATACCACTGATTGCGGTTAAACAATTGCGGGAAAAGAGAGCTGCAAAACGCTTTTATGGCGTGCGTGGGCAACCCGGGGACAGCTTGCCGAAGATGGCGCTATCAGCCGTCTGAAATGAGTAAATTGCAACAATGAAGTTATTTCCAAACATTGTACACGTATGTCAATTGTGAAAGGCTAAATTATCTAACTTTTTTTTGCATTACTGCACTTTTTGCTCCTCCCAAAAAAAGGTTTGCGTAAAATTTACCCCGCGTAATAAACGCACCCCACAACTTTGCTCTGATTATTTGAGAAAGAAAATGTGTAATTACGTGAGTAAATATGGTAATATCTGGCTTTTAACATCCCAAAACCACGATCTGATTATGAGAGATGCTGTGGTGGAGGACTCCGGAAATTTCAGCTACCTAGGGCTCTTCAATGTGCACCTAGATCTAAGCACGCAAGTCTCTAGCATTTCTGCCTCTATTGAAAATGTGACCGCTGCGGCCGGGATTCTATCCCGCGTATGCGAGTCAGCAGCCGAGTGCCTTAGCCACTAGACCACCGTGGTGGGTGTATTGCTAAACTTTCTGGCCTCTTGCACACATTCGGACTGTTTATATTTCATTATAGTATTAAAATATTGTCATCAGGTACATTGAATGCTTTGAATTGTCAAACATATTTCTTGTGTCTTATGTTGCATGCTCGCCCCAAGCATTTGATAAACTGGAAGTGAGTTCTGTTGTTTCGTATTACTTGCATGTGCGTATCCGTTGGTGGCACCATTTGTAAATGACAGCATAAACTGTAACCGAGACATCTGGCGTGATTGTTCAACATCGCAGTAACCTTACCTACCCCCCACTTTCCGCAGGTCTTCCCGCCATTGAAGGGGACTTTGTCGACAGACTTTGGCACGTGCTTTGTCCAGGACAATGTCTACATGATGCCGCTTCCTTTCAAGGCCCACATCCCGCATCTCATACCTGTGTCAACAGGCAAGATTCTTTGACACGAGTGTTTAACTCCAGCATATTAGTTCTGTGGAAGCCCAAAACGTGGGGAACGGTCACAAGAGAGTAAAACTCATAAACCACTCGACTGAAGCTGCAAATTTTGTGCTTTGCTGTTGACCCAAAGGTCGCGAGTTCGACCATAGACACAGTGGTCACATTTCGATGTAGGGGAAAGGTTAGAGGCCCATGTTCTGTGCAATGTCGGTGCTTGATTAAGGAATGCTGAATGGTTGAAATATATGGAGCCCTACAATGCACTCTGCTTAGACACTTTAATCTCCAGATATTAATATTATTTACTGTGGCTTGAACTGCAGAAATTTTTGAAATTCAAGTTGGGCAATACTCGCCAAAATCACAGTTTGCGTTACAAGGTAGACTGTAGTGGTGGACTCTAGATTAAGTTTGGTCACCTGGTGTTCCTTCTGTCGAGCTTGTGCAAGGGGCAGCAAAGGCGTAAGCCCGCGTCGGAAGGCCAGAAAGCTTTTAAATTTGTAGACGATATGGCAAACGCAATAAGGACGGTGCTTTTCCCGACGGGAAACTCAAAGCGCCCTTGACAAGGACACGATCGTATGTTCCATGTAAAGCGCACGCAGCCTTTTAGCAGCTGGAGCCTGCCAGCGCCAGTGCAAAAGTGACTCGGACACACAGGCAGCTGCCCTTCTTCCTCATTCGGCAAGCCCGCGGGGCTGGTGCGGTGCTGCCACGGCCTTTTTCTTTTCTTTTTCCTCGATTTTTCTCGCAACCAAGTAAGTACAGTGCAGAACTAATCACAGCCAAGTTCGGGGTGCACACATTATGCACTGAAATTAAATTTTTCGCGACCAGACAGGGGGTGCCCCTATTGTGCGAGTAAATGCGGTAACTGATTGAGCATTGTGTGGCATTTGCACAGGCTTCAACCAATCGCGTGTGGTGAAGACGAACATATTATGGCTGAATGCGCTCAAAATCGCGGCCTATGTGGCTAAATACAGTGTTAAAGAACGTTAATTGGCAATTCAAACTTGCCACCCTGTTTATGCTAGGGCTAGCCAGCCGTTTTCTGACAAATAAATATGGTCAGCATCAGTAGAACTATGTTTTGCCAGTCTCAACTGCTTCTTTAAAACTCTGTGCAGTTGTGGTCCACATGGAAGCCACTGGCAAGTGGCCCGACGACCTGGAGGCCCTGCGCCGCGTAAAGGCTGCGTTTCACCTCACCCTGGCTCGGCTGCTACGCGACGACGAGCACTTGATCACAGCCGCACACCCAGAGTACGTGGACGTCTTCAAGGTCTGTGAATTTCCTGATATTGAGAATGAAAAAAGTATACCGTATTTACTCTATTCTATCGCGCCCTCGATTGTAACGCGCACCCGATTTCCACCGAGAAAAAAAAAAAAAACGTAAGACATCGATTGCTACACGCACCCATTTTTCTCGCTGGCCCGCACGATCACACCACTCGAAAAACGACTCCTTTCGCGAGCGTCTTCCATTTAACTATGAGGTACGGGCGACGCTTGTGCCCATCTGACATGTAACAGAGCATTGCCGTCACTGTAGTTTTACCGTGGACCGATGTCAGCACGCGAACTTGCTTCGCCCCTTCTTCTTGACAATTGTGGTGCCAGGCATGTCGAAGTAAAGAGGCGTCTGATCGGCATTCCCGATGTGCCCAAGCAGGTAGCCGTTGTTGCGCCGCAAGTTTAGGACGAACCTCTGAAAACTGTGAAGCTTTTCATCGTACTCCTCCGCAAAACTTTTCGCATATGCATGTTCCCCTTCGGAGGGAAAAGCTTTTCCTCTTCATAAAGTTAGTTAGCCAGCACCTGCTCGCTTTGAACTGGCTCCGCATTAGACCTTTTTCTAAGGCTAACTGCATAGCCTGCACTTGGAGCAGTTCTGTCGTCACGGGCCGCTGTGCCGCTCACTGCTGCTCAATCACATACTCGCCGAGCAGCTCTTTCATTTGCGGAAACCGACCCTTGCTGTGGTACACTGAAGCCTTTGCGTGAAGCTTTGCTGTCGACAATCTTCTGCTTTTGTTTCCGCCGGTCCCGCACGCACATTTCGGGAACTCTGAACGACCGCGATGCGGCCCGATTTCCGTCCGTTTCTGCACACGCGATGACTTTTCTTTTAAAAGCGGCATCGTGGTGCACTCGCGTTTTTGGAGTTGGCCCTTCCACGCCGTCGATGCTAATGCACTACTAGATGACGAACTCCTCAGCACACGTACGAAGTGCCGCACATGGGAAACACATAGGCAGAAATGGCCGACGCGCCATGCCGACGCACGGCACCAGGTTGGTTGTTCTGTGACCAGGTGTTCTGTGACGGCACGTAGGGGGCGGCCATTTTGGATTTGCCGATGGCAATAGATTGACCGTAATTTTTTTGTTCGTACTCGATTCCAACGCGCATGCGATTTATGAACTCGCTTAACCGGAAAAAAGGTGCGCGTTAGATTTGAGTAATTACGGTATCAGAAGTTCCCAGATATATGACTCTGGGCAAGGTGACACTTTGTTTTTGTCACATATTAATTTTTTGAAAATGTTTTTAAACCCTAACTGCACCTAATGAACAGAAAGCAGAGGTTTAAGGTCCACGAGTTTATTGGCCATTTATTGCTGATCAGCCCTTTTAAAGAAATCGTCAATTGCCCACTGCTTCTTTGCTATATGTGCCTTTAGCACCAAGTTCTCTGTACCAGTTGAGAAGCATCACAGTTTACCATTCATGTGCTTCATTTATAACATTTGTTTACTAGCAAAGCCTTTTTCCTTGAAGGCCTTAGGCGGTTATTTTTCATTTTAAGACTTTTAGGAATATACAGTCACACAAATTTTTAAATAGTAGTAGGAAAGCTGCAGGTATTTTTCAGCATAGAACTGCAAGAAATATGAATTAACCAATTGACAGTGTTTGAATTAAGAGTCGGCCCTTCCACGCCGTCGATGCTAATGCACTACTAGATGACGAACTCCTCAGCACACGTACGAAGTGCCGCACATGGCAGAAATGGCCGACGCATGTAGAGGGCGGCCATTTTGGATTTGCCGATGCCAATAGATTGACCTTAATTTTTTTGTTCGTACTCGATTCTAACGCGCATGCGATTTATGAACTTGCTTAACCGGAAAAAAGGTGCGCGTTAGATTCGAGTAATCACGGTATTTTTTCTCCATCGTGGGCCGTAATTGTCCCGTTCTAAGAAAACCATACCTTTGACCTTTCGGGCTGGTTTTATCATAAAACAGCAAGACATTGTTTCCTAACGTCTTGAATGCACTTGCTTCCTGTAAGGAATGAGCTCAAAGGTGGGGGCTGAATTCCTGGTCGCATTTTGATTGGGGCCAAAAACACCCACATATGCCAGGTCCGTTCGATTCACCTGTACCAATCGGAACCCGTTCACGGCGGTGCGCGGGAAGTTCAGAAATGGTGATTTGCAAGTTCAGTGGTTCAGGCACAGTGCAACACCAAATACAGATGACGAGGTGTTGACATGGTGGAGGCTTTATTTGCGTCCACTTTATTTGTGCCATCCACCTCACTTTGACAGGTGGCAAACCGCATAGGTACATGGACAGTTTATGAGGTGCAAACATTTTGGCAAAGCGCACCACGTTAGTAGACAGGAGTACGACGCCCATGACTAAAAGCCGCATTGTCTTCTTAGCTGCTAGTGTGCATGCGCTCAACTGCACCTAGCCAGCACTATCAACATAGCGGGTGCAAGAAAATTGTGTGCCAACGATACGCTACACCTCTCCTGCACCTTTTAAAATAAATGGTACGGTTGAGAGATCATCATTGCAGCACCGTTAAAATGAATTTCAAAGTGGAGCACCTCATGAACTGGTTCAGGTGGTGCAGGCAAATGAAATGGACCTTTGGATGTATTAGGTCCTCTCAGTTATTCCAGAGTCCAGATTCTGGCATGTAATTCTAAATTGTGGTGGTGCTTGTAGTGCTCAGTTTCTTGTCTTTGTCTTTTTGTGCTAATTTTACGTCATTATGAATCCGTGCCAACTAGCTCACCACTCCATTTTGTTGTGTAATTCAGGATAGGAATGATTCTGGTTGGCTATCAAGTTTAACTAGACCTGTGTGTATATTAGAACCAATATTGCAGTACTCGAATTCACCTAGGCACTAGTTCAAGAATTCTGAAATCTCCTAGTATTCAAAACTCACAAATAAGACATACTATTTGATTGTATGTTTGAAAAGCTTTTTGCTGCAATGTAGGGCTGCTATGCCACGAAACCATCTATAACTGAGGAACATCTATAAAGACACACTTCAAGCTTAAATATGCATTTTACCTGCACACCAATTATTACTTTAAGTGTGAAAGCGTTTTGTAAAGAGTTAGTATGGCAAATTTCAAAATTGAATGTACAGTGGACTCTCATTAAATGGAACCTGAAGGGACCGGGAAAATGTGTTCTGTTTAACTGGAGTTTTATTTATTGAGAGATCAACTGGGGTGCAGTATGCAGAGATGAAACGAATCATATCAGAGGCAGTTGTACTAGTTAAGCAGAAGTTCTGTTAATCAGATTTCTCTTTACTGAGAGTTCACTGTATTTTATCAATTATAACTTGCACCTTAATACTACTCAAATCCTCCTAGTATTCAAACTTGCTACAAAACTGTTTAATACCATCCGCCATTCACTTCAAGTTTGCCTTGAACCAAAAAAGTTGCATTTCTGCAAACCCAGAGTTAACGCATAATTTTCCACGTGATGCTCTCGAGTGCGTGTTCAGGTGAGAGCCTTTGCGTTTTCTTGTGTTCCAGAGCGGCTTCGTGTTTCGAGTGCGCATCGCCGCCCACAAGGAGATTGGCCTGGCACGGCAGAGCGTCACACCGAATGGTGCTATCAAAATCAAGGACACCGAGCTCAGCTCTAAGATTGAGTTGGAGACTGAGATCTTGCCAGGCCTCACCAGTGCGTTGCACGGGTGAGTGAATGGCACACGGTGGGCCGCTAATTTTCACACTCAAGTCAAGCGCAACCTTGCTGTCTATGTCATTGCTGCCACTATACTACGATTGCCATGCCAGATTGCTATATGTATGTTTGGGTGTTCAGCTTCCAAATGCCTAAATTTGGCTGTGAAACATTTGGGTGTTAAAAAGGTTCTGTGTTTACTCGCGTTACAAATCCCCCCCCCCCCCCCTTTTTTTTTTTCAGAAAAGTCGACGTCGATTTGGGAGGAAGGGTTCATTACGCGGGAGAAAAAAGGTCACGGGAGTTACAAATGAACATTTGGCATGGCGTTATTGCTTGCTCTGGCCCGCGAAATGCGTGACGAATCTTTTTTTAGCCTGAAGCTCTTGTTTTCTCCCGTAACGAACGCGCGCGGATCGACGCCATAGTGTCGTCCAGCCTCTCAGTTCCAGTGCTCCAGCGCATGCTCGACCAACTATAAGTTCCAGCCGTGTAGCTAGCATACCAGCCGAACGCGCCCTGCGCAGCAGGTGTCCTCAACTAAGTTCACTACGACAAGCCCTACAACAAAAACGCAGCATCGGATGGCGGTGAACAAATGTCGCAGGCGACAGGAAGTCGGCACGGTGGGCGCTTTGCATGGCCTCCGAGATGGCAGGCGCGTGGTGAGTTTGTGACCGAATTGGTTACAAGACCTCTGACTATTATTGCATCGAGTTCTGCCGTGGGTGCACATTTCCGATGAGGTTGAAATTAATCTGTGGCAGTCTTACAGTCCTTCATTACACACTTGTGATTTTGGGACGTATAATCTCCAAAATGTAATTTACTTAGTCATCTTTAGTGGCACAGACTTCTGGTGCAGTTTTCAGAGTTCATAATTCATGTGGTGGAGTGCAGCACGACAGGGACATAGAAGAGAAATGCATACACTATTCACGCACTTCTGTCCCGTTCTTTTACTCCTTGTAGATAATGAACCTTAGCCAGTTAGCCTGGCAACTTGTTTTGGTCAGTTGCAGAGTTGTTCATTGCTGCAAATTTGACAGGTCGCTTATGTGTTTAAAAGTCATGTGGGAATGCTCATTTCGCAGGCTGCAACAACAGCACAGCACTTTCAGTGCCGCCTGCCGACTGGCCAAGCGCTGGGTGGCTTCGCACCTCCTTAGCAACCATGTGTCAGAGGAATGCATCGAACTACTCGCTGCCGCTGTCTACATCTCTCCCGCACCGTACGTCGTGCCCAAGTGAGTCGAAGCTCGTGATCATGTTTTCGTTATTTGGCATAAATCCAACAACCAACGTTTTTATTGTAGCTCCTAAATGCAAGGGAACAGAAAAATTTTCTTGCTGAGCTGTTGTTTCAATGAAATTGGGGAAGTCTGCTGCATCTAAAACATAAAAAAACACACAATGATGTAGCGGTCCTTTGAAGCTTTCTTTACTTGCTCTGTGTTTGCTTTTAAAGAAAAATTGCTTATAAAGGGAAATTTTATCCTCAAAAATAAACTTTAGTGCAAAGTTTACAGCTGTGTAGCTTTGTGTTGGTTATTAATGTGTCAATTACATATGCTAGCTGCACCTAATAAGGCACCGAAACTGGAGTAAAGACTAATGCATTGACGCACTGTTCTGAAATATGTTACTATAATTTGCGAACTGTACACATGCCATGTTTCTTTTGGTGGGGCAGATTGAAATGCTTGCGTTCTAAACGTGCGGTATCTCTGGTTCTGCTCAGCTCGGCGAGACTGGGCTTCCAGCGATTCCTCGCCCTCCTTGCAAACCACGACTGGGCGAGACAGCCACTCATCATCAACTTGGCCGACAAGTTCACTAGTAAGTGATAGACCGCTGCTTGGTTCATTTCATCAGGGCAGCCAGAAGCGTGATGAAAACGACAACTATTCCATGAAACAAAGAGTGCGCTTAAGTTTACAGGTGTTGGTTGAGGAGTGAAAATTCTTCCTTGTGTACCTTAGTGTAAGGAACTAACGTGGCAACACCTATTCTTGGCCTTCAAGAGAAAGCTACAGAGCCAAATCGTGTGCATCCCACCACCAGAGAGTGTAGCTCTACAATAGCACGCGTATCTTCAGTGCGAAGTATAAATGTTACCCTTTTAGTATTTTATATGTGGAGCTATTTCAGACAGGGTGTAGCTCACACAAGTAAAATGTTTGTATTTCTTTTAATTTATTCGTTGTGATTTCGCACTTTTGAACATGCGAGAAAGTTCGCCTTTTTACATGTACCTCAAACGCTAAGCGGCGTCTGTGTCCACATGAATCGCTGATGGTGCGCCCTCGTCACTTTCCACAGCATTACGAGACGCGTGCCAAAGCGGACTACTTTGCGTAGTGCTACATGTGCAGAAGCTCCGCCCCCGTAGCTATCCCTTCAGTACCAAGAAGAGTTGTCACCAAGTGTAGTGGTCCTAATGTAATGCATTGTGCTTGCTAATGTTTGAATCATAAACGTGCACTATGTCACCTGTCGTTCAAAGCCTGTATAAAGAGAAAAAATGTGGGTCATGCATGTAGACAATGCACGCATGCTCTTTCCTAGTGCTCTCACCACTTATGGCTCTTGTAATTTTTTGATGCTCTACCGAACTCATCTTAGAAAGCCATGCCCAGTTTTCCACAATGAGGAGTTTGTGTTGATGAAATTGATGTGGAGGATGATGTCATGGTGCTGCGTGCTTTGCTGTGGTATTGCAGAGGACCAAGTGGCAGAGTGACTACTTTGCGTAGTGCTACATGTGCAGAAGCTCCGCCCCCGTAGCTATCCCTTCAGTACCAAGAAGAGTTGTCACCAAGTGTAGTGGTCCTAATGTAATGCATTGTGCTTGCTAATGTTTGAATCATAAACGTGCACTATGTCACCTGTCGTTCAAAGCCTGTATAAAGAGAAAAAATGTGGGTCATGCATGTAGACAATGCACGCATGCTCTTTCCTAGTGCTCTCACCACTTATGGCTCTTGTAATTTTTTGATGCTCTACCGAACTCATCTTAGAAAGCCATGCCCAGTTTTCCACAATGAGGAGTTTGTGTTGATGAAATTGATGTGGAGGATGATGTCATGGTGCTGCGTGCTTTGCTGTGGTATTGCAGAGGACCAAGTGGCAGAGTTGCACTCCACCTTCGTCAACCAGAGGTCAACGCTGCCGCCGATGTTCATCGGGACGCCTCTGGACAGGCGGCATCCGTCGCTCTGGACGCGGCACTCACCGACGGGACAGATACTGCGACGCCTCACAGCCCTGGCCAGGGAGTCGCTCCGTGTACTGGAAGGCCAGGTTCTGCGTCCAGCCGAAGCCGACGTCAGGGTGAGTGATCGGCGCGTCAGTATCAGCATCAGTGAGTAAGAGGCGCAGATGATAAGTTACTGCATGAATTTTCTTTCTGGCAAACAAAACTTGATCAGTGCCTAGAAGTAGTCAATTGTGGGTTGTGCACGAATAAGTGAATAAATTCATTTTGAAGAAGAAAATGTTTTCATCTGCGATGGTGTGCAGTGGCAGACGATCTCGGCATTCTATGGGGCATTTCTCACTCGTATTTGGAAGGATTAGAACAAATTGCTTTGTCGTTTGTAAGAGCTGTAACTTGTGAAATCGCAGAGAAAAAAGGGGAGGCTTGAACGAGGGAAGCGGGATCATTCTGAACTCTATTTCGGTTGCTCCCGAAGGGCTGTTGCTAGGCTTTAGCCAGGCAATGCTGGGTTGTTTCTAGGTTGCTCCTCAGCGAGGAGATGTTCGAGTAAAACCACGTACAGTCACCGGCATGACATGAAACTCTGGAGACAGAAACTCGCACGGAAATGGAAAATTCGCACTTCCCACATGTCTGCGGGCACGTCGTCATTTCGTTTAGGGCATCCATCGCGTCAGAGTATTCTCGCAGTCGCCGTTGCGTTTCCGATTACATCGTATTTCCTCGTTGTAGCATGTATCTCGACACAAATGCTTCAGCAAAGCTGAAACATGTGGCTGTGGTTTTTGTCACTGGGTTTATTCCGTTCATTATAAGTTTTCTCAATTACAGGTTTCGACTGCGTAGAAGTCTTGGTGTCTGTTGCCCATTCATTGCCTTCTTCATTTTTAGTTCACTAGCGTTGAACCGTGAGATTTTACCCATTTCTGTGGCAAGTGCCTGGTCATGATGCTGATGGTTTGTTGTACGCATTTGTGCACACCAAACTTTATAAGGTCACTTTATAACAGCTTCCCTGTTGAGTAGTGCAGTCCTTGCAGAAGTTTGTATAAGTATGTTGTAAACTGTACGCAGTCTGCGGAGGGTGGCATTGGTAGCAGTAGCATTAAAATTGTGATGCTACCCTGAAAAAATGGTGGACTAAATCAAGTAATCGCTCAAGATGCAGTCATCAGATTTATTACACCAAAGTTTTTTAAACATTTAATGTCATTGACACGTGGTGTGTGCGTTCTGTACCTCTTTGTAGACCTATCAACTGCACCCCTGCCCTGAAACTTGTTTTCATAAAAATCATGTACACACAAACCTCATTTCCTCAAAATTGTATCTTACATGAAAGCAAGCAAAGCAGAGGTTTAAGGTCTACGAGTTTATTGGCCATTTATTGCTGATCAGCCCTTTTAAAGAAATGGTCAATTGCCTACTGCTTCTTTGCTATATGTGCCTTCAGCACCAAGTTGAGAAGCATCACAGTTTACCATTCATGTGCTTCATTTATAACATTTGTTTACTAGCAAAGCCTTTTTCCTTGAAGGCCTGAGGCGGTTATTTTTCATTTTAAGACTTTTAGGAATATACAGTCACACAAATTTTTAAATAGTAGTAAGAACGCTGCAGGTATTTTTCAGTATAGAACTGCAAGAAATATGAAATAACCAATTGACAGTGTTTGAATTGAGAGGCTTTTATATACATTGAAAGAATAGAGGGTCAGCCAAAAAATTAAATTTTGTTTGAATTAACCTAAAGTATGAATTATCAGAGTTTGAATTATTGAGAGCCTACTGTAATGGTATATTCCTAACTGTATATGTATTGCAACACTATTCCGTATTTGCTCGCGTAATGAACGCACTCGCATTATAAACGCACCCCTTACATTCATCCGCTGCAGTCCCGCTAACCGACTCCTGGCACCTCCTCACCTTTTGGCTTTCTTCCGTTTTTTATTACTTTGCCGACCGCCCTCACCCACCTGGGCTCGCTCCACCTCCCCCCCTTGTCACCTGCAAACAGCCGCGTGCCCATTGCTTTTCGTTCTATCTGTGCGCGGTATGTCCCCTGTATTATCTGTGCACCACAGCGGCGTTCACGCGCAGTGCCAGTGTAGAGATATCCGAGCAGATAAGCAAACAGAGTGAGCGAAGGTGAAAGCCCCCGAGCTGCCTGTGCTAACATCGGTCAGCGACCCCCCTCCTTCTTTCTTTTTTAGCCTACCCTCTTTTTTCTTCACTCTAACTGTTCCTTCATTCCCCGTGAGTACACGCTTTTGGACGGCCCTCGAGATCACTAGCAGATACCACTGTTGTGGTTAAAGAATGCGAGAAAAGAAAAGATAGTCGCAAAGCGTTTTTATGGCTTGGGCGGGTGGCCACGGGACAGCTTGCAGAAAATAGCGCCATCAACCATCGAGAATGAGTAAAGTGCAACAAAGAAGCTGTTTCGAAACAGTGTACGCATATGTAAATCGCGAAAGGCTAAGCGACCTAACTTTTTTTTTGCATTACTGCATTTTTTTCTTCTCCAGAAAAAGTTTTCAAAAAATTTACCCCGCGTAATAAATGCACCGCTTAACTTTGCTCTGATTTTTCGAGGAAAAAAGTGCATTCATTATGCGAGTGAATACGGTGTTTCAATTACTTTGTTATAACCAATATTTTATGATATATTGGTTTGTTGTATTGGGGTATGAGTGTACTATAATATATTGGCGATTATAAGTAAACTCCAATTATAGGCCTACCCCCCTCCTGCAACCTTTCTAGGCAAGAAAAAGTTCACTCCGAACACAGCTTCAGGCTGCAGCCATAGCACATTAGTGATTATTTTGGAAGAGAGAGTGATGCAAAGAAACATTCATTTGAGCATGAAAGATCGCTTACAACTCATCGCCGCTTGAGAGAAGGATGTAGCAGTCACGGTCATTGTCATCGTGTGAGCCACTGCTGCTGCTCGTTGTCGGAAGGGCTGCTGGAGGTTGCACCTGGAAAACGCCGCGCGGACCATGTCGGTTGGCAGTCCATACCAGGCATCATTAACCCATTGTGCCACTTCACTCAAAGAGCTCGATTTGAACTCAGCGGGCACATATCATTTGCAACAGTAAACGCTTTTGCGTTAATATTATCGTAGCAAACACTCAGGCTTTTGCTTCTTTGGTCATGAACCCAATCTCGAACTGCCTTTGCAATGGCAGGGTATCGTCCAGACTTCGATCCGTGAAAGGAACGGGGTGTCGCAGCGCACGTGAAGATCTTGGTCCTTTGTTTTCTCTATTCCCTCACGCACTTTTCCGACACATCGAATTTCCGTCCTGCCTCAACGTTGCTTTCCATCTCTGCGTAAAGGATCACTTGCCGCTTGAAAGCAGCGCTCAACTGTTGCTGGTGTAGCGGGGGCATCTTGCGTTCATTGAGCAGCTTTGCAAATCGTGCACACCACTTTTCGCAAGCGAGGCAAAATGCCGAAATGACAAACAGGCGTGAGCGCAAAAGCCGTGAAGACGCTTGTGGGCGCACGCGTGGGGTGCATGTGTCTGGTTATGTGGTTTAGTTCTCCGCGAAGTGTTGTCAGCCCTCACGATGCTGCCAGCTTTTTCATGAAACACACATGGTGCTTCGCCAGTGTCACGCGTATATTTTGAGGCCTGTTTCGCACGTCGGGCATTGCGAAATGAACCATAGAGGCTGATGATACCAAACGAAAACTCCCACTTCATTATCATAAAAATCACAAAACGAAACAACAACAAAAACACGCACACGTTGAAAAACAAAGAAAAGGAGATGTCTTAATGACGCGCGTTTCACTGTCCGTTTGCGTTCTCTAGTTCTCGCGCTTACAGTTGTGGCGTGGCCTGGGAGTCCCTGTCAGGCGTGATGACACGCCATATCGATGCTCAACAATGGCGACGATGTTGAAAAACCACTACAGCGGTAGCTCCAGTGGTTTCTCGCCGAGGCACGTGCTCGGGCGGGAAACTGCAGCTCAGGATCAGCGGTTGCTCTGTGCGCTGCTCGCCGAGTCAGGTGCTCGGTTGAGAACCATTACCATCCAGGGACACCAGCACTTCCTTGCACTGTTCGCCGAGTCAGGTGCTCGGGCGGTAGCCTGGGGCGAGACCCAGTCCGAACTTCCGCAGCTCTTGGCCCCTCGAACGCCACGTCCTGGCTCTCACGTTCCTCACTCACCCCGCGCCCTCTTCTTTTTCCTCTTCTTCTCCCTCATTCCACCATTTTAAATTACCTATTCAAGACAACTTCTTTCTCTTCTTCTTTTCTTCTTCTTTTCTTCATCTTGTCATTCTTGACAACGAGATATCTGAATTTTTGAACTGCCTAGTCAGCAAGCACTGTTAGGGCACGTTGTCCACTAACGCGATAAACCCATGTCATGTCTTTTGCGAATGATAAATGTCACATTTTTTGCTAGCGAGAGATGCATGTCATGTTTTGCATGACAGATAAACCTATGTTGCATTGTTAGCAAGCGATAAACACATGTTGCTTGTTGCGTTTCTTCGCGAGCCAAATGCACTGTTATACGCATGTGCAGCGAGTGCTGGGGTTGTTGCCGGTCTCGCCCGACAGACAGGCCAATGTGGTGCCGCTACCAATGAAACCGAGATGCCGTCGGTGATGTGTCATGAAAAAATGTATCTTCGACACGTCATTGCTGACACCTCCTCCTATAGCCACCATAGCTATACCGTAGTTTCATGATCGTCGAAGCAGATCGTGAAAATGTTCGGCACCAGAAGCGGTGTGCACGCGTTGTGAGATAGCAGTTTTTGTGACTCATGCCTGTGCAACTGATATTATTGATGTGTCAAATAGGAGGGAAACTTAGCTCGACAACGGTTCGTCGGACCCCTCAGAAAAGTCTGCTTAACGATTCCCCGTATAGGTCGATTCCGATTATAGGTCAACCCCCGAACTTTGTAAGGCCATTTTATGAAAAAAAAAGCATAGATTTATAATCGGCAACTTAAAGTAGACTGCGACAATAACTGGTCACAAAGGCTAAAAGTCCAAAAAATTTTGTAACCATGTATGTTGTATCGGTGGACAATACAAACTTATTTGGCTTAAACTTGACGTATCAGAAGAGACCCAAAGCCTTAAACGTCCCTGTGTTCACAGCACGAACTCCTGCTGTTAAAATGGCTCTTTCTGTCCTGTTAAGTGTTGGAGCTGTACCCTTCAGAACTACAAGCACTGTGATGCAAAGCTGCTTTTTTTTTTCTTTTGCCTAACCGAAGTGTGGTTCCTTACCGTGTGCGTAGCAAATCTTCCGGCCTCCTCTGGAACCTTATGACGTGATTATCCACCTTGACATGAAGCGAGTGCCCACCATCCACACAGCCGTGGACTGTCCCTTCAAAGCTGCACTGAGGCCGTTCAAGGGCGATGTCCTTCCGGTCGTCGGTTTCGACATCGTGTCATACTACGTGCAGGCGCTTGAGGTAGTGTGTGCTTGTACTGCTTTTTTTTCTTCCCTTAGTGAATCTACTTAGTGCATGTCGTGAACCACTTACAATAATGTGTAAGAGTTATGAGACAAAGATTTAAAGAGACAAGTGAATTTATGTTAGCCTAACGTAACCTCTAATCTCTCCCATGTGAACAATACTGGAATCTTGTGAGCGGTCTCCACTGGTGAGGAAGAGAATTCGTCCACTTGTTTCAAAATGTGCCAATAGATGCCAGTTTAATAAATTAATGTGCAGCTTGTGCAGTCTAGAACGTGTCGAAACTTTGCATTCGTGGCCATGTTTTCCATGCTTTGCAGGATTTGCAGGAATCCAGCTTTCTTGTGAATTGCATGTGCCATGTTTTTGCAAACAATGTTTGCATGCTCGTTTTCTGATTTTGTCATTTTTTCGTGAGTCCAGCGCTCAGACAACTGCTCCCCTCTCATTTTTGTTTGCCATCAAACCATTTTTTTTAACACTGAGCCTGTGCCAAAAAATAGTAATTTGCGAAAAATTTAGCTGTCATTGTGGCAGGGTCACCAAGCTTTCTTTGGTTTTTGCGAAATGATATTTAAAAAAAAATTATACAGCTCAATGTCATGTCTGGCGTGCAGACTGTTGTGGATGTTTAGGCATAGCTGACCTTGTGACCACCACACTCCTAATGTTGTGTACAGTACTTACATGCATCACTTAAATGAGAATGCATGCACTGTTTTTTTCATTGTCTTCAGTTTGTCACATTGGCATAATTTTTACTTGAATGTATATGTACTTGCATCTGGACCCAGCGTGACCTTAAGCAGCCATAATCACATCGCCATAATACTGTTATCCCGAGCAGTTATTAGTATACTATAAAACTGATGCCACATTTTAATCCGTGAAAACTGTGCATCGTAAAGCCATGAGCCAAAACTGTTGACTTGTTTGCAGTACAAGTTTTTGTGACTTGAATTGGCACTGTGTATTTCAGAATACGTACGGAGAACTGGCACTCTTCTTCTATGACCGCTACGGGGGCGATATAGTGGCTGTGTTGTGGAAGCCAAATGCCTTCGTGCCACAGCCACTGAAGGTGAGCTGCCCTTATGGCCATAATCATTATAATCAGTTTAATCTGTGTCTCTCACAAGATTAATAGTTGCATACCCTTTATCCAGTGCTAAGGAAAGTTTAGGCTAAAGCATACGCTGTCAAAAACTTTTAATATTCTCAGTTGATTGAATTTTAGTTGACTGAAATGGCCGAGAATAGCCCTAATTTAGCCAGTATGTAATTGAATCATCCTGACGTCGCGCTTGGTCATAGTGCTGCCATTTCTGTTACTAGTACTGATGATGCTCAGTGATACATTTGTGGAAAGTTGATTATTTCGCATCAGCACAAATCCAGCCAAATGCAAGGTCAATCAAAGCACGAGCATTACGAGTTGACTATGCCATGATCTTTGCCGGTGACAGTAATGCTGTTGTTACCACAATGAAAACGCCCGTGGGAGAGGGAAAAACACTAGAATGAAGTGTCATGTGACAATCTAAAAGTGTAGTCATTAAACTTTGATGGGGAAACAGACCCTGGTCATGTGAAAGGCAAGCACTGCTATTGGTCAGCTCAGTCTGGTTGGATTCGGCTACAAGAGCGTAATCCTACCCAAGATGCCCCACCAATGTGCCTCGGAGAGAGGGAAGGGCGGTCTCAAAAGAGGTTGGCTTACAGAGCCTAGGAGAATCATGGGATCCTTCCCTTTATTCTCTTAAAGCGAAAGTCTCAGATCTCTCATCAAACGTGAAAAGTGACCATTGTACAGCAGGCTCCTAGTAAACGGAAATCTGTCGGACAAAACTGCTGCTTAAATGGAAAACGTGCCTCTGATATTGCTATGTACCAATGGCATAGCGATAAATAAGACGAAGAAAAGAACGACAGCAGATAGACTGGAGCGAGCTCTTCGTATTGGCAGCTCTGCTCAGCTAACCAGTTGTAAACACATATATATTCCCTCGACTCTGTGCCTTCCGGGTCTGTCTCGTACGTCTTTTAAAAAGTGTTTCAGCTGTAATGAGATTTAAATTAAGTCCTGTTTCCTGAGTCACCTACGACTGGAGCAAGTGTGTCATTTTAACGTATTAAAATGCAGGTTTCTCACATTGGAGGTTACATGCTCAAGGGAAAAGACATGATGGTGCCAAACGTTGAAGCCGTTTTGGAGGACTTCAGTATCCTGGGGAAAGGCCTGGTCGAATCCGTCGAGGCGAGGTCCACCAAGTGGACGATCTAGGTGACACTCGGCATAGGAACTTATATTTTAATTATCGAACATTGCGCCATGTAAATAAATCACTTCTGCATGACGAAGTGCTGTCTTGCTGCTTTCATCGTATGCAAGTCAAGTTGTGTTAAGTTCAAATCCCAGATCGAAGCATAGAATATTGAAGAATATCATAGGTGGGGGGGGACTTTGGATGAATTCTTTTACGTCCTATATTGTCGTGGTCACTGCGCAATGATAAAAAAGACTAACATATGTTGTACAAAGATAAATAATGAAAAGCAAAAAAGCATTTTACCACAGTTGGCAAGCTAACTACTGTGTGACTTCTCATATTATGTTTTCTACAGCACTTGAAACAATAGAAACACACTCCATGAGAAAAAAGAGACTGCTGCTTATCCTGTCCTAAGTTTGCATTTCTCATTTATTCAGCATTTGAAGTATGTAATATATCAGACCTGGCAGTTTGAGAAGCGTTTCATGTATACAATACAGATTCCATGAGCAGTCGTGTCAGTGTGTACTGCAGGTCATGCTGTAGTGCATAAGACCAGTAACAGTGTTGTTCTCCAGTATATGGCACAGTTCCGGAAAAGAGTTCAGTGATCTTACCCCCAAATACAGAGACGTTGCTTGGCTTGTGCCTTCGACTTGACTTGAGTAAGTCGGCATGAAGCAAGCAGCAGACTTCAAAACACCCAAGTCAGCTTTCGCGTTTTATAGATGCTCAGGCTGTCTTGCTTGATGAAGTCAAGAACGAGATTCAAAGCAGAAACGCATTGCTCGCCTGGTAACGAGGTTAATAATGAAGTTGTTAGCATAAGGCCTGTGTTACAGGAAAAAAAGATCTTACATTTCAAAATAACTATAAAAACAAAGTGCCACAAGCATATTTTTGCCATTTTGCGACCATCGAGTGGCACGTGGTGCCCGCCACCGCAGCGATGTGCAGTGTTGCTTTTGTAAAGCGTCTGTTGCCCGCTAGCTTTAGTGGCCACTCAAGTGCAGCGCGTTTTTTCACACTTGCTTGTTTGGAGGCGAAACAAGCATCATGTAGGGATCTTTCGACGTTTTTATTTTATTTTTAATCGAAGGCCATGGTATGTATTTGTGCTGACCTGGCTCGCGAGGTAACGAGATTTTCAAGGTATCCGCCTTTCTATTTCCCTGTGGACATGCTTGTAGCAAGCTAGGTCACAGCTATGTATGAAAAAAAAAAGAAAAAAAGTTTTGGGAACAGAGCGATTCCTATCCTTTTGTTGAGCGTGGTAAACAAGATAAAATGGCGGGGGTCAGAACATTGTCTTCACCGAAATTTGGTCTTGCGAGGTGCAGCAATTTCTTAATACACACCATCTTCACCCTCTTCCCTCTTCACCATCGTCACATGATGGTGAAGAGGAAGGCACATGGTCAGGAAACCCGTCATAGGGGTACCTCTTTGTTTTTTGTTTTTTTTGGTGGAGTTTTGCATAGCGTTGTGCTCCAAGCGATGCCTGTATGAGTGAGAAACAGAGCCCTAGACTGGACGAAAGGATAGACGAGGCACACAGACGCAGTGCTGAGTCAATTTTGTACCGAAAGAAACGGAAATGACAGCAGATGTCGTGTTCTAGGAAAATAGAAATAGCCTTTGCGGTTACGGAATACTTTGGCGTCATCACCACCGGGGCTAATAATAACAATGTCTGTGCAGTCGACACAATGCCAGGAAACTCAGCCACTTCACAAAAGTCCTGCATAACTATAGGAAGTGCCACCGGCTGCGGAAAGGACAACGGCATCGCGTACAGGTGCCTTGCGATGAGTAGCGTAACTTTTCAGACTGCACGGCACACTGTTGGCTATGGAATGCGGACGAGATTCTTGGTGACTGTTTGGAATGTGCTAGCGCCGTAAAACATGAGCGCCATCAGTAGCTGTAACACTGGATTCACAGGTCGTCTTCGGTTGTCCCCACTTTCACGGAGCGGCAGCATCGCCAGCAGCTGCTGCACGGCATTCTTCGTGAATCTGTACTGACCGTGGAACTGTTCCTCGTCGTACAACTCCATCGGATTTCCTCGGTCACATAAAGCGGGTCGAGGAATCTTCGACAGGCCTTACAAAACGCTACGCTTATGGCGAGGCAAGCAAACTCAAAAGCGGCCACCCTTCGGGCGACGTCTATTCGAGAGGTGGCCATGTTTGAATAACACATGAAGTCGCTTTCAAGCTAGCCCTGCAGCTGACTTGAAACTTGTCCCAACTTCGACTGAGCCAAGTCGCCTTCAAGTCATCCGCAAGTTCGAAAACAATTTATGACGAGCGGCAAGACTGTCTGCAGTCAAGAACGAGGTACCCTCAGTAAACGGAACAAAAAAAGTTCATCCCAAACCTCAGCAGTTAAGGCGTCGACAAATAAGGCATCACGCGAAATAACTTTCGCAAATGTGAATGCGCGCAGCATCATGAACAAATTAGATGCTTTAGAATCGTTGCTTATCGGCCTCAAACCCGACTTCTTGGCCGTTACTGAAACGTGGCTAACGAGTGATATCGAAGATGCTGAGCTAACACCCCCAAACTACACGATCATACGCAAAGATAGACCAACACGAGGCGGCGGTGTAGCTGTCTTTATAAGTAAAAGAATCCCCTTCACATTACTTCTAGACGTAGAAGGCGTAGAGGCTGTTTTTTGCAAACTTAAATTCACAACCCACGTTATCGTTCTCGGGTGTGCATACTGCGCCCCTTCATCAAACCTTGAGTGAATGGATGCCCTGTGCACGTATATGCCGCGTCACGCATCGTAATGCCAGGGTTATTCTAGTGGGGGACTTTAATCTGCCTGACCTCAACTGGGAATCAATGCAGTACCACAGCGCCTGCTCAGAAATAATTTACGATTTAATTCTTTCTTTAAACCTTTCACAAATAGTGACACAGCCTACGCATGTACAGGGACACAACTCGAGTGTGCTAGACTTAATCTTTCTCACTGATAACTTTCCGGTACATGAAGCAACGATAGAACTTCTAGACGGCATTTCAGACCATAAAATAACTTATTGTAGGATACCTATAAAGGACAGTAAAACGCCTGAATACGCAGAGGAAACATTTCCAGACTTTTGTAATGACGATGACGTAGCAATACATAACTTACTGTTCGACAAATTTCCATCATTTCAAGATTTTGCCTCTGACTCCACTGTGACTATAGAAATGTTGTGGCATAAATTCAAAGAAATTGTTCTTTTTTGCTTACAAAACCACATTCCTTCGAAGAAAAAGAAGACCAGAAAGATGAATCCATGGGTCACACGTGCCGTTATACATGCTAAAAGAAAGGTGAAGCGTTTGAGGAAAAATTTAAAAGAGAAACCAAATATTTATAGCGCAGGTATAACTGACATGAAAAATAAAATAAAGGCCACCAAGTCTACTTATCTTGAAAAAACTCTACCTCGGTTCATAAAAAGTTCTCCATGTATTTTGGCAATACATGAATCCCAAGGTCCGTAAAATGACCCACGATATGCCTGAAGGAAATGCCTATTCCGCAAACGTATTAAATAGCTATTTACAATCAATTTTTACAGTGGACGACAAAAAACAACCTCACACAGAAATTAGAGACGAGAAATCTATTAAGCGATTATTCGTTTCAGAGGAGGGAGAGTTCAACTTACAATTGAAGTTGGATGGCAAAAAAAGTTCCGAACCAGACAACATACCTAACGCGTTTTTAAAAAGATATGCCGAATGGATAACAAAATACCTGTGCCTGCTTTTTAAGCAATCGTTGTTGCGTACCCTACCAAGGGATTGGAAAATAGCAAAAGACATTCCTATACATAAGTCCGGATATAAAAACGAACCTTCCAATTATTGGCCCATCTCATTAACATGTACGGTTGGTAAACTGCTCGAAAACATAATCTTAAAGCACATAACGAAACACCTAGAAGAACACAAAATACTGTCCCCTTTTCAACACGGCTTCCGCCAGGGCACGCCTACTGTAACACAACTCATTGAAATGGTCCATGACGCCTCATTAAGCATCGATCTCCAAAAACAAATTGATCTTATTCTGCTAGATTTCTCGAAAGCATTTGATCGGGTGTCACACAGCAAACTCATCTTGAAACTCCAACTTCTTCTAGGCAAGGGCCAAATTGTTGACTGGATTACTAACTTCCTAACAGACAGGTCGCAGTTCGTGGAATTAAACCATGTCCAATCTTCAATCGTACCAGTGACCTCTGGCGTACCGCAAGGCACTGTTTTGGCGTCGGTATTATTCTTAATTTTCGTGAACGATCTTCCTTTATCTGTTAATGTTGGATGCAGATTATTTGCAGATGACTGCATCCTGTACAAAGAAATCCACTCACACGATGACCATATCGCCTTAAATACAGCGCTAGACGCAGTTTCAGCCTGGTGCAGTGATTGGCAAATGAACATCAACGAAAAAAAGTCCGCGCTCTTATCTATAACTAGAAAAAAGAATCCATCCAATTTAAATTACGTCATCAATTCAGCTACCCTTTCTAAAGTCACGAAACATAAGTATCTAGGGGTCATTCTTTCACATGACCTACGGTGGGACGCTCATATTCATTACATCACTTCATCTGCACTGAAAAGACTGTTATTTATAAAAAGGCGATTACAGCAAGCACCACCACACACAAAGTTACTGGCCTACAATACACTTATACGACCCATCCTGGAGTACGCAAACACTGCCTGCAAGCCAGCAACTAACTGCAAGGAACAAACCAGCAAGCTCGAAGGTGTTCAACGAAAAGCGCTTAGGGTCATCTTTAACAAATTTAACCGAACAGATTTACCTACGGAGCTGCTTAAAAAGGCTGGACTACTAACCATAAAAAACCGGGCGATATTGGCACGCTTAAAGCTGATGTACCAACTGTTACATGGTCAACTAAACATAGACAAGTCTCGCTACATAAAGCTATCCGCAGCTAGAACTACCCGCCACAAATACTCTCATACCCTTGCACCTAACAGTTTTCACACAGATGCCTTCAAATTCTCGTTCTTCCCGCTTGCGATCAGAGAATGG